GAGACTCCAGCCATACATCGCCGCTATAACCTGTTATAATTATCTTAGGTTGGATAGGTACAACAGGTTAACCCTTGCCGCCAGAAAATTCGGAAGTGAACGGAAGAGAGAAGATGACAGGACAAATAGAAAGTCAGAGATAAAGACGAAGGTTAGGGGGAGAGAGATAGGAACAGGCGACTGCCGATTTCCCCTGGGTGGGTCAGCCCAGGGGTGCCGTCTACGTGAAGCTGGGGCCAAACGGGTGTGTTGCCTCTGCCGGGGGGCCTCAACGGTCCAATCATCCGGCATCAGCTCAACCCCCAGGATCCCCTTTTCCCCGGACACGGCTCAGCCACGCACAGCTAGGCGTGGGAGGGAGTCGAAACCCCCCCGTTAGCTCGGGTCCGTGGTGGCGCTACACACCAAACGCCTGCTTTCACAGATGCCCCTGAGGGGCGTGCGACAGTTGTTGCGGACACCTGCGGCGGCGGACAACTACGGCACTGCGCGGGACCCGAGTTGTGATCCCATAACAGCTTTCGCTGTAATAATACGCATGTAACCTCCTGTAAAGATGGTTTTACTGCAGTATAGGAATGATAAGCCGCGAAAGCGTCTTACCAAGTAAATTTCACAATGCTGCAATGCCCCCCTTCAAATTTAAAGGGACCCTGCAACACTCTTTGAGCATGGTCAGAAAACGCTACCGATTGGTAGTCAAGGCTACCAAGAACACGTGATTCAAATATTATAGCGCAGCACACAGCTGGCCAATCAGAATAAATTCTCAACGTACGCATAAACTTGCTTTCTTCTCTCGACAAATGACACCACCAGCTCAAAAACCACTTTTCACAGTTACTCTATCTGCCATTGGCTGATTAGAACATGGCAGCCCGATTGCTACTGGGGCCACCGCAAGAAGCCGCGACTTGTCTACACGTACGTACATGATCGCACAATAAAAGCCATGCATTCGAAGAAAAAAAAAATGTGCTCAAGGCCACGAGGTGACCTTCACGTATATCGTACTGGATGAATTCAAAACCTTTTTGTGGAGGTGAATTCGTGAGACAATCATTGAATCCATTCTATGGCTACTTAAAAAGAGTGTTGCAGGGCCCCTTTAAATGAGCATATTACCCTCAAATCGATTCCTCATTTTTTAAGCTAAGAAAATTGTTATGCTGGCTTATATGCTTTAAGCATAACAAATTTTAAAATGTTACAGGTTTTACAGGTTATCACTTGCATCCTACCAAAAATCGAATCCTGCGCAGCTACTACTCAACATTGTTTCGACTTCCTTTGAATGAAAAAAAAAAAAAAAGCAGGCCTCTTTGCATAGAGGCCTTATTTCAATTTTTAAGAAATATTTCGCTGGTTACTTAGGTCAAGATGAATATGCCCCTTTTTATTTACATGTCATAAATACTGTTCGAATTCGATTCAAAATCATTCGAGCAGTATCACTATTCACTTCGAATTCACTTTGAACCTAAAATTCACTATTCACCTATCGACAACCTTATTGCAATAAGTATCTTCAGCTACACAACTCGGGCATTCAAGTGGCGTAGTTAAGCGTGTTGCACACTTTTAATGGGCGAAAACTTGAATGAGCTGGGAAGCTACTTGCTGTCACCTCATTGTGTGGGACTGTGTTCAAGCACACACTGTTTTGTAGAAATTAAAGCAACTTACTGCTGTGAATTTCAGCATTGCGGGTCCCGATTTCAAATAAACTTCGCTGCATTAGATTGATAAGGCTGAACACACATGTACGGACGGCATTGTAAACATAGTGCTGTTCTAACCATACTGCACAACTTAATTAGGTGGAAAATCAAACACGCCATCAGCTACCAGAACTGCTAGAGCATTGTAGGTGTGCAGCGCTTGCAGGAATCTTGTCATTCCCACGTTAACCCAACAAGTAACTCGCTGCATCTGTGTATGATCTGGAGCATGGTGGGTATGAAAAACAATCCACGGCAAATGCGCTTGTATACTACAGCTCAGCAATCACAGCACGAGCCAAGCAACCTCTTTGTTATCTCACTGCACACAACTAATCATGAGACTGGCTCCATGCGTCCGCACCACATATCAGTGAAGCTGTGTCAGTTTTAAATTACCTTATTTACTTGCTTAATGAACGCACTCGGATGGTTAATGCACCCCCAACCTCAGTCATCAAAATGTGGGTTTCTTTCTTTCACGCAATAAACGCACCCCCTACATTCGTCCGCTGCAGTCCCACTTACTGACACCTGGTGCTCCCTTGTCCGTTGGATCTCTTACGTTTTTTTATTATTATGCTGACCCCCTTTGGCCCCCTTGGCTCGCTCCTTCGCCTCATTCTCTTGCTGCCGCACGCCATATTGTTTTTCTTTTTACCTGTGCCCAGCACTCTTTAATTACCTGAACGCCACAGCGGGGTTCACGAACGGTGCGAGTGTAGAAACATTGCAGCTGATAAGCACACAGCGAGCGAAGGTCATGAAACTGACCGCGCTAACCGATGATCCCTTCCTGCAAATACGAAACTTTAAGGCCCAATCACATGCCCGTGATTTTCGAGCGACGACAACAAGATATGCTGACGTCATGGCTGTTGCGAAGGGTTATTTGTCGCCACCGCATCGCAGCTTTTCGGAAAATCAGGAAAAATCACTTGTCGCCCAGAAAATATTGCGACGATTTCCGCAACATGGTAACGATCCCGATTCTCGCTCCGGTTGCACTTTGCTCTTCATGCTTGTTATCTGCACGTACTTTAAGAAATGCAAAATGTAGGCTACCTTTTCTGCAGTAATTTCTCCTGTAAACAGTGAGATGGCAGCCGTATTTTGTCGTTATTCTTGTTATCGGCACATAGTTTTGATGCTTTGGTGGTAGCTTGCTACAATGTGAACGGGGGCGGCGCTGTCGTGGTGCAACGTTGTCTCGAAGTTAGCAAAGTGCGTCATAGCGTCGTAGTTCACGCTTCTGGGCGCCCCTCGAAATCACAGCAGATACCACTGTTGTGGTAAAACGACTGCAATAAAAGAAAGCCGCGAAACGCTTCTATGCAGTCTGTGCGTGGTGCCTGGGCAGCTTACAGAAGATAGCGCCATGCCAACTACCGAAGATGAGTGCAGTGCAACAGAGGCTGTACAGAGTTTGGGCATGTCAATTGCGAAAGGCTAAGCGACATAACTTCTTTTTTGCATTACCGCATTTTTTGGTCATCCTAAAGAAGTTTTCATAAAATTTGCCCTGCATAATAAACGCACCCCCAACTTTGCTCCGACTTGAAAAAAAAAAGTGGGTTCATTACGCAAGTAAATATGGTAGTAGCAGATCGTGGTATGGTGGTAAAAACTAGACTTGTGCGAATATTCTAATGCTTCGAATATTCGAACAAATAGTACAGTATTCGAATTCGCTTCGATTCGATTTTTCAATATTGAAAATTTCAAAGTATCTGCAATAAACGAATAGGTGTGTATTATACCACATGTAACTGCCTGTAGAGATGGGTTCACTGCAGTGTACGGGTGCTAAGCAGCGAAAACATTTACCCAAGAGATATCCGCTTTGCCGTGAAGCCCCATTACAAATCTAAAGGGGCCTTGCAACACTTCTTGAGCCTGGTCAGAAAATGCTGCCAATTAGTAGTCGAGGCTACCGTGAGCCAAATGTTATAGCGCAGCACACGGCCTGGAATCGACAGTAAATTCTCAGTCAGCTAAAAATTGCTTTCTTTTCTCTCAACAAATGATAGATGAAGCTAAAAAATTACTCGTCACAGCGATTGTATCAGCAATAGGCTGACTTGAGTATGGCACGCTCGGTTGTTACTGGGGCCGGCGCGAAAGGCCATGAATTGTCCACGCGTACGTGTGCGATCACACTAAAAATTCGCGTATTCGAAGAAAAAAAGTGAGAGAGAAGAAAAGTGCTCATGGTCATGACTCATGAGGCACGCCTGACTTATTTTCTTTCGCCATACCATTCCTTCCTGCTTACCTTCCAGTGCTCCCGTTGGGATAAGACAAGCGAAAATGCAATTGAAGCGTGCACCAATCTGCAACTCTGCTCGTACTGGACGTATTCTAAAAATTTTTGCGGCGGATGATTCATGAGGCAATAAGTTTTTTTGGTGAATCAATTCCGTGGCTACTTCAAAAAATGTTGCAGGGCCCCGGTGAATGATCATATAACCCTCAAATCGATTGATCATTTTTTAAAGTCTAAAAGCCTGCTATGCCAGCTTATATTCTAAGTATATTAAATTTTAAAATGTTACGTATTTTACAGGTTACAACTTGCATCCTACCAAAAGTCAAATCCTCCTACTACTCAAAGTTGTTACGACTTCCTTTGAACAAAAAAAGACATTTGCATAGATGCCTTATTTCAATTTTTAAGAAATATTATGCAGGTTAGTTAGGTCACTATAAATATGCCCATTTTTCTTTATATGTTATACAAAGTATTCAAATTTGATTCGAAATTATTCGACCAAGATCACTATTCGCTTCAAACCTAAATTTAACTATTCACACAAGCATTGTAAGAACGGATACGATGTGTCGCATAAAGTCGGTACTGTCTGTTCTGTCGCCATGCGAGTCTGCGCATCTCGGACCCCACAACAGTCTTAAAATGCTCCCTGGCATCATGCAAGCTATTTAACGGTCCTGAGAGACTGCAAAAACTTTCTTGAACTTTGGGAAAAAAAAAGGGTAAAGGCTTTATGGTGGGTACCCTGGGCAGTGTTTGCTGTGGCACTGTATTTCTTTGTTGGTGGCGATCACACATCAGGCGATGCAAATTTATACTTGGTGATTAATGTGTACTAATGTTTAGTGTGTAGTTATGCTTCGTTCCTTATAGGTATGTGTTGTAAGGTTTCACTTTATATACTTTTTGCATCACTGCCATCAATTTAGATTGATTTTGTGTGCATACGTGAATGCCTATGTATTTTATTTATTTCTCAAAATGCATATTTTGTGAAGTGGTCTCACTTGAGAAAGAGCTTCCATTGGCTGAGGAAATGGCGCGCAAGCAGACGGGCTGTGCTTTCACTGAGATCGGGTCGGTTGCGCTCTTGCACAAGGTCGGCAAACTGCTGCCGCTCCTGAGCTGCTTGTTGCTTCTGTGCCACTTGCGCTGCACTGTCCTCCATTTGGTGAGCCTGCCACAAGACCGCAATTGTCGATGTGAGGCTGCCCACAATGTCACACAGTGAGTGCAGTTACTTGCCGCGTTCAAAAGCTCCTTTGTTTTTAAACTGTCCCAACACCACTGAAAGTGGAAAATGTCTGTTTATGAAAGAAATTTTCATTCGCAAAGGTAGAGCCTTGGTGGAGTAAACATGCAAAAGTGTTAGTACACACAAAGTGTCAAGCTAAACTTTTGTATGTATGCTCGTCACTGGAAAACCTTCGAAATTCATCAATAGTACTTCTTTCACTTGCATTCCCCTAAAGTTTACCGTTTCCAAATGAGGGTCACACTGAAAACTGCTCTCACACTAAGCAAATGACTGGAGTGTTCTGCATGGTTGTAAACAATCTGCCATGCTCTTCATCCTTCAAGATGGCTTTCCATCATATATGTTTGTATGGGTGCCAACTGATGAAACGATTTTCAATATTTCCAGGGAGAAACTTGACCACTGACCAGGCACTGTTGGCAATCTTCTGTCGACTCTGGAAACTGGGGTGCCGAGGGGAAATGTCCCATGAGCAGAGTCCAAACATCCATGCTGACGAGCCGCCGTATGTTCTTGTTAGGATTCAGGCCCCCTGTACAAAAAAAACTGGAGGATTTAAAGGCTTACAATTGTTTGAACCTCAGGTTGGCACGAGGTAAAGTCAAAGAATTTTGTGCTTGGAGCTACAAAGCAGCCACGATAAATTGCGCTAATAATAATTAAATAAAAACAGCTGCTGGGGTTTAACCTTTCAAAACCACCATACGATTATGAGAGATGCCATAGTGGAGGGCTCTGGGAATTTCGACCACCTGGGGTTCTTTAACATGCACCTAAATCTAAATAGATTGGCCTCGAGCATTTTCGCCTTCATCAAAAATGCAGCAGCCGCAGCCAGGATTCGATTGAGGCAAAAACCCCGCGAACTGCAGGATTTTCGTCTCTATCGAAAAATCTTGCAATTTGCGGGTGAACAGCCAAGTGCCTTAGCCACTAGACCACCGTGGTAGGTGTGATAATTGCGAGGTGTTGGTAATGTATCGCAATAGTGCGCATGAAGTTAATTGTAATTTTCAAAAAAGTTTTTTCCCCGCAAGAACTGAAGATCCGAATTCGTTGAATGGTGGAAGAGCACTACACAAAGCATGCAGAGAGACACACAGTATAGCAGATAAAGTATGACTAGAAACTAGTTATCAATATGTATTTAACGAATAAAATGGTACAAGAAGTATTTCAAGTACTACCACACTTACATTTCTATAAATAGCAATATGTGCCTTGTATAATATGTGCCTTTTCTATAAAAAGCAATTGTGCCTTGTATTACATATAAAACAAGCAAACTGTAGTATTATACGCAGTATACGCTACTCTGAAATATTAAACCATGAATATGAATTATCAATGTTACTTTTTGGTCTAGGTAGTTGGTTAAGCGCATCAAAATGTGTCATAATGCTAGCAAACATGCACGAGGAAGACTCAACGAGACAAGCACTAACTTTCAAACTAATGTTAATTGTCAGAAGCAGCTGTATAAGTAGATCTATATACAGAGGAATGCCCAATCACCACACATTCAGGCTTTAGTGGTAGAACATGCGCTAAAAAACCTAGACAGATTGGAATGTTTGTGAGCAATTCTGATCAAATGAAAAAGCTTGTAGTGCCATACATGCACAATGTGTCACGTGCTTTAATGAAAACTGACTGAAAGATAAAGGTAGATTTCTGCTCCACAGAAACTAATTAGCATTTGCAAGGCCACAGACCCATTGGGCACAAGACGGGCAGAATGTGCAAAGAAGCATCTGTCCCCTTTTGTCTCATGTGTAACTAATTGCAGTGTATCTCGTCCAATTTTCTTGTGAGAAAGTTTACATTAGACAGTCGGGGAGACGCTTGAACGACAGGCTGAGAATACACAAGCAAAAACTGGGTTGATATCGGGATAGCCATACGTGTGCACATGCAAGTAATTGTGAATGTGAAGCTTAAGGGGAGATGCTACTCGAAAAAAGATTTTCTTTAATAAGAGTCTGAACTTAACACAAATTGGCATGCTAATAGAGTTTTTTCTCCTCTTTTCAAATATGTCATTTATTTTCATGTAGATTGCTTGGTTTTCTTTCTGCAGGTCAGATACTGCAAAATTATGGCCATTGTTATGCAACAATTCTGACCTAAAAAATTTGAGATGAAGCATGCAGATATAGCTGACTATGATCCTTTGGAACTGTAGAGTGCAAAAAACTATATAAATTTTGTGTGTAAAAAGATGAAATACAATAATAAAATAGAAAAATTTACTATGGCTCTAGTTGCCAAGGGCTTTCAATGTTATGTAATTTTTGAAAAACATAATCAAGCAGCACTGACAATCTGAATAGATACTTGCACTCTATGGGCCTTCATCATGCTATGTGCAAAATTTCATAGAGGTATGACAATTCTAAGTATACGAACTAGCGTGTATAAGAAACACAGATCACACAAAACTGCAAGAGGAGAAAAACGCATTTGAAAGTTTGAAACCTTTTTTTTTTTTATCACAGAGTTGTTAGAAATGCATAATCTTTGGCCATAATGTTCAACAGAACTTTGAAAAGCACTGCAAGTTACTAGAACTGTCCTGCAGCATAGGTTGTGCCCTCATGGTCCTTGCGAGCACTCTCTTCTAGCCGTGCCCTTTTCACTCCACGACGACGGTGCGCCCTTGCTTCTGCTGTCAGACGCTCGGACATTCTTTTGATGCGCCTCGCATCATGGGAATCACTGAAAGTAACTAGATCTCTAGATGGCAGTATGTTGAGCTCTTCCAGGATGTGCTCGAAAGTAGCATGACCTTTGTTGAACCACAGGATTGCCATATCTGCGGCAGTCTCGACAACCGTTCGGGAGACAAACTTAGTCTTGGGGCAAAGTAGCCAAATTTTGATGTTCAGGGATTCCGATGCGTTCTGGGTTTTCCCTTTGATGCATCGAGCAAGGAGCTTCTCATCCGTTAGCCGCTTATAAATGGGCAAAACAGCCAATCCCTGTGCTTTTGTCAGGAGAGGTGTGTGGCGTGGTGCAGGTTCACCAAGTGCTTCAGCGCGTTGATGTTTGCACCACGACTCTGTTCCTGCAGGGCAAAACTTGTGGCTGCCAGCATTGTCAGTAGAGCATGAGTGGAAGTACGAAGCCCATACTGCAGTGTACATATCCCGTACACTCCCCCTGTTGCTTGTTATGGCAATCTGATAGTATGTTTGGAGCTTCTGAATGGCTGGCTCTTTCATTTTCTGCCCTCGTGCTAATGGCACATGCAGCTTCCGTAGCACGGTGCCAAGTCTCTAGGCCACATGATTAGTGCAGTCTTCTTTTTTATATTGACAGCACCATAGACTTTTGACTCTGCAACTGCACTATATGCTTTGCTGTCACCGTCACTCAAGAATGTCATGAAATGCAGTGGGGTGTCATAAGTCAATGTTCTCTGCCAAATGCGCATTGCAGCCTCCGTTTCCATGGCATGGGAGGAACAGTTTGCATTTTTTCCACAGACTGGGCCATGGAATGCCTGCCACACTTCCTCGTCTGGGCCCATATCCTTGTGCCTACTGCATGTCAGGCAGTAATTTGATATGACCTCGAAGTCTAAGCAGAGGCCAGTATCTAAGGAGATAACTGCGCCAATCCCGTTGTGGCTTTTGTGGCCCCTCTTCTGCCAAGTGCTGTCGAACATAACAGCCACATCAGTTTCGCCTGCTACTTCTTTCGTCAACTCTCTGGATTGGCGCAAGTTTTCACTCACAGCTGCCATGGCAGCGGTGTGCACCTTCTTTGCTATCGAAAAAAATCCTCGGTGGTGCAATGGCTTTGGGAGTCCAATAATGGAGCAAAATCTCGACAATTGCTCATGCCCAATGCCGACAGCGTGTGCAGCCACTACTGCCTTCACATTTACAGCGAAACTATCTCGGGAGCTCCCACTGTCGTACCAATGGCTCACTCGGCTGCTGCCGTCCGCCGTAACACGCAGTGACGTATAGGAGCACGAAAGAACAGTCGCTGAGCATTCGCTGTTTTCGCAATGAAGTTCGAGGAGCGACGAAAGTCCCTTGCGCTTTTCTGCCGGCTCCCGAACGGCAAGTTTTTGAATACCGCAAGCAGGGCACGCCGCACCTGCCACAAGTGCCGTCAGCAAGAGGGTGTCGCACAAAACTGCCGTTGCACAAACCTCATCGCGCTGTCTTTCGTCTTTTTCGAAGAAGCCGAGCTTCTTTTCCGAAGCACTGACGAAAGAAAGCGCAGCGTCAATCCCTTCATCGCAGCCACTGTCGCTCGCGCACTCGTCGATGCCGCCGTCAGGCCTAGCACACGTAGGCGCGTTCTCGTTCGTCGCCGTCGTTCGGGCCGCTTTACGCCGCCTTCCCTTGAACTTGTGCTTCGTTCGAAACTTCTGCGGTCTCACGTTGCACTTTTTCGGGCTTGTCATCGCGGAAATATGCGTAGATGCGCAGAAAAGCAGACAGACCAAATGCCGATGGCCGCCACCAACACAGCTGACAATGACTCGGTAGCCAATGGCGATGCGGCTTAGGGTGCCGCGCGTTTCAAACCGCTCAAACCACTTGATAAAAAGGCCTCGTTTTTTTTTTGCCCACGTACAAAACTGGCGGTCGTCGGAGCTGTAAGAAGGCAGGACGCAACTTTCCCAACCGATCGCGATGGCGAGCGGCACTGCGACGGGGAGCAGGGCGCAGTCAAAAATGGCCAATATCAGTGCAAATTCACGAAATTTTGAGCTACCGCGATGCCTTCATACACATTTTTTTGCATTTTGCGGTTCGAATTTAGTTTTGAAATTTTCACAGATGAAAAAAGAAGGTTTGAAGATTACAATGCAATAAAAATCAGAAATACGAGAAATTTCGCTAAAAACGCAATTTTTCGACTCGCATCTCCCCTTAAGAAATATAAGAAATTGCTGAAGTCACTCCCATAGCTAGGGGCGGTAATAAGTGCGTCAGCAGCCCTTCAGAGGCACTGATTGCAAGTGAATTTTTCTTGCAGGACGTCCCAAGCTTTCATGTGCGGTGATTGGGCCTCCTTCTATGTATGTATTTACTTATACAGCTGCTTCTGACAGTAAACGTTCAGTTGGAAGTTAGCGCTTGTCTCGTTGTGTCTCCTTCATCAGCATCAGATAGCACTAAGACATCTTTAATATGGATTTCTTATTTTTTGTAACACCCTCATGAGCAGTTCAAAAATTTCATGCAAGCTTCAAAATCCATAATATATTTAGATGCTTCAACAGTAGCAGTTTTTAAAGGTTTGTCTTGGAGCAAAATTATCCATTTAGTATCAGCTTCAATGCCTCAACTTTGATGAAAGCTAATCAGTTTGAGAATTTTTAGAACATTTCTTCCAAGAGTTACTAGAAATAAAACTTGGTCCTCAAATGCACCAAATTTTTTTCACAATGGTCTGGTGATTGTCTAGAAAAATGCACTTTCATACTTTACACCTACTTGGATAGAGAATATAAACAGCCCTAAGCTAAAGCTTCCTCCCCAACGCGAGGCTGAACACCCATGTGGACAGCAACGCGAGGCTGAACACTCATGCGGGCTGTATACCATGTGGGCAGCAGATGTCCTCATTGAAGCTGAAGGTGGCAGCCGACACCGGTGGCAGCGTTGTGTCGGAGTCATCTTCAATAGGACCTGCAAGACGGCAGCAGTTTGCAAACATGCTTGCAATTACATCGTCCGTACAGTTTACCTCGAACACAATAACTACTAGAAATAGTGAACTGAGAGCAAGCCTTCCTTTTGACTTTAGTGATTTTTTTTTCAGTTTTAAAGGAGAGAAGAACTGCAACAATGTCTTTCTGATCTTGTTCACTTTCTCTGCAAAACTAGCTGTAACAGCTTTTTAACAATTACTATATTTGCTGATGTCCTACGGATCACTGCTTCTATGTTCTTGTAAAGTCTGCCAGAGGCCAAATGCTGCTCACTAATACCTTCCTACAAGACTTCATAATATCTTTTACATCATTATGCAATAAATGGCATTAAACACATAGGCAAGCACTGTAAATAATGTAGCTATAGACAACAGAAAAGAAACTTTCAGGAAGAGCATAATGGAACAGTAGTGCCAAGAGTGAATCTGCCGAAACATGGCATAACCTGGAGCTATATATGCATACCTGCCAACCTAGGAGCATGAAAATTTGGGAGACCGCTGTGGGGGTGGGGTGGGAGAGGTATACCATATATAATTGTATAATAGGTGCACTTTTCTTTCCAGAAGATCTGGCTCCAAGTTAACGGTGCATCTAATAGATGGGGTAAAATTTCCAAACATTTTATTTTTGACGACAGCATAGACCCTTGGTAACGTATACGTCGTCGAAGCCATGAATATCCAGGCTACAGCCGAAACAACCTCTTTCAATAGCTACACTAGCGCAAAACATGCTAAACATGCACTCTTGCGTGTCCGAGAATCAAGGCAGGCGATGCATTAAAGTTCACAAAAATCAAAGTAAAAAGACCCCCGTTGCCAATGAAATGAACCCCGAAAAACACCCTGCATGGATTGGTCGATTTCCAGGGCTTGCACCCCCATATCCAAGACATTGAATCGCATTGCTAACCACCATTCGAAAGTTACAAGCGCCACCGAAGCCCCCTTTTCCTTCAAGAAGAGCCACCGAAATGAGTTATGCTGATTCCGCACAAAACCCCAAAATGACTGCCCATGACTGCCCCCCTAAAGAATCAACAGTGATTAGGCCTAGCCTACGGTTCAGCATGTTGTTGCCGGGAGTTTGTACAAGACAACACAAAGATTGAGCGTCGAAAAGATCATACTCAGGCACTGATCCAAGAGCAGCGTGCAGGATACGATCTTTAGCTTCCCAGCCTGGAAATCAACAGCGACATAAGTCCGTCGAGCTGAGCTTGTGCAAGTCAGCGATTCAGCAAGTGCGAAAGCTCGCATCCGAAATCCAAAAAGCTTTTAAACTTGCGGACGAGGTAGCAAACGCAATAATGACGATGCTTTTTCCGACAAGAACCTCAATGCACACTTGACGAGGACGCAATCGCGCATACCATGTGGAGCATGCGGGGGCCGGCTAGCGGCCGGAGCTACGCCCACGCATCGGTGCAAAGGTTACTTTGACGCCCAGGCAACCTAAGTAACCTCCCTTCTTCCTCACTAGGCGAGCCCGCGGAGCTGGTACAGCACTTCCCTGGTAATTTTTCGTTTCCTTTTTCCTTGGTTCAGTTAACGTAAGAGGACGTCTACTTTTAACCATGAAAATACGGTAGAGAACTACGGATCACAACCAAGTTCGAAGTGCACCTATTATGCATGGAAACAAAAATATCTGGTTTCTCGCGACCAAACTGGAGGCGTGCATATTATGCGAGTAAATACGGTATACTGGGAATTACTGTGACTGAGACATTTGTGACCCGTTGTTGTTGCTTCCATCTAATGTGATTGCAAAAGCACGGCGTTTCAGACCATGTATATATTTTCGGCATCTTAGCCACTTCCCAGACAATGGCAGTTCTTCTCGTACATCTGCACTATTCATGGACTTCGTGTCCTTGCACTTTGGGAACATTTTCTGAAACAACGTTCCTGCGTGATCACGAGCGTTTAGTGGCAAGTTGCGTTCTGCAAGAAGTCCCATGAATAGGCATTTGCGCAGATGGCACTGCCATCTCAGCCCTTTTAGAAAAAACTCCGGATATTGCCGTGCCCTTGCACAGACTGGATGTAATTCTCATGCTCCTGTCAAGTGATGTGCACCATTATTTAGACGTTGTCACCGAGCAAAACTCTTACATTACAGGCGCACGAAGTACAGGATCCGTATTTGCCACCTTTCCGCAAAGTTACACAGCCCAGAAACTCAGCTGTGTATGAGTCCAGAAAGACTTGCAAGTACTTTTTTGCTTTTGACACCGGCATCGACCTTCCAACTGAACTTGGGGGAAAAAATAAAAGCCCACAACTACGTAACAAACACAACTGATGCCTAGGCAAGTGGTGTAGGCCTAGCATGCGAAGTGCAGAAGTCAAGATAGACAGACACAGTAGTTGTACATTTTCCCTAGCCTTCGCGCAGGTGCGCAGTACTATAGTGTTTGAATATCCTTAGCGATACTGAATGGTATGGTGGCAACTAGAAGTTTAGTGCAGTGTGCTCTTCCGCCACACGGAAACAGCAGAAAATGCTGATGCACACAGATGGTTAAAAAAGTAGTGGCCACATTTCGGCAGATTTGAGATAGCATTCATACAATCGGGAGATTACGTCGAAATTCGAGGGTCTCCCGGACAATTCGGGACAGTTGGCAGGTACGTATATGGCCCTTCGCAGAGGCTAAAGGTAAACAGTGTGTAACTGAATCATTCATGTTAGTAACTTAAAGTGATGACTGCAAGGCACCAGTTTCAAAACAGTTTCTGTCCGATACTCTTCTCCAACGTGACAGAGAAAATTCGTTAAATCAACCACAGATCTAAAAATTGCCGTGGGTGGAACCAATAATAAAAGAAGGCATAAAGCACAACAGCCCTCCTGACCTGTGTCATTGCCGTTTGTCTCCTGGGAGGGAGATGCCACCTGTGCCATGGCCAGCTTGCGCCACCAGAGCAGCGACTGCTTGCCCACCCACATGGACGACTCTGTGCTGCAAGTTTTTCACAGTCTGTACTCTTGCATAGTGGCTGCCAGACCACATGTTACAGCCGTACACATGAGCAGGAACTCTATATGAACCTTAAAACCTACATTAGTGGTTTTCATCGAGCCTCTGACTAAACCTACAACTTTTCACAGCAGCACTCTCGAACCCCTGAGCTGCAGGGGTTGAGGGTCCTCAGTGCTGCCATCGTGCCTTGGGCTGCGCATGTCATACCTGCACACATTGTACGCTTGGATATAGTATGTGTAATAGGCGCCTCCCTCCAGTAAAAAGTGACTGCCGTGGCAGGAAATTGTGCGTATTCGAACAGACCATTTGGCTATCACTGTGTCATGTATGGGTGGATGTACAATCAGCCCAAGAGGAACAACTTGAGCAAAATCGTGTCTGCAGCAAAGTACACCATGCGACCAGTGCAGATGTGCGATATGTTCACGCTGCATCGCTTTCCGTCATCACCTGAATTTCGGAAGCAGCGGCTGTCGTCAGTAAATCAAAAGAACCTCCGCGTGTAGCCATCATCACGCTTCTGTTCACAGCACTTCATTTATCGCGGCAAGAAAACCAATGAGAACAACATTGCTGTGCAGCATCTTGGATACCCAAAAAAAATAGATGCAGCCACACATGTCTAGAGTGCCCAGTCAGTCATTTCCATAACCATTTTCTGCAAAGACATGCAAATACCAATGCTGCAATAATACGTAACATAATTGTGCTGCATGCACTCTTTTCCTATATTTCAAGCATGATCAGAAGCTTGTAGCTAATGTGAAGTAGCATCTCCAGCCACACACCCCACTGCTCTAGACAAGAGTGATTACGTCTGTACACAAATCGCTGAAGGTACTGCTCTTGCTGCTAATACCAACGACGAAGCACCGCCGTTCGCAGACACTGAGCTCATTTTTGCGTCGCTAGCACAAAGGCGCGCCGATGAACAGTTCAGACAGAGATGGACCAGTCAGTGGCAGCAATGATATCACACAAAACAGTCTAAGCAAATGAAAAAGTTGGGAACACAGAGTGTAGCAGGGATCTCACACCAATAGGTAACTCGCCAGTTCGAGTATGCGCAGCCCTAGATGGTGATTTTGCCAAACTTGTACGTAAGACAGCGTGCACTTAAATATGGCGGCCCCCTGTCGTGAAAAATTGAAATTGTGTACAGTCCACATGCATTTCCTTTGCCTGCTTCTGAAAAATAAGGGAACCCTTCATTCCTCCAACAACAAGGCCTAGTGGTTATTTTCTGCAAACTGTGTATCTATCATAAAGTGTTGATCTATATGTATAAGGAAGTGTGAATAGCAAATTTAGGTTTGCAGAGCATTTGAAGTGAATAGTGCTTTGGCCAACTAATTTTGAATCAAACAGCATACATCACATATTAAAAAAAAATGGGAACATTTTTCATGACATAACTAACCTGCACAATATTTTTTTTTTATTGGAACAAAGATTATGTGAACTTCATTCGTTAGGGTTCGAAGTGAAGTGGAAGCAACCTTGAAGAGTAGCCGGACTTAAATTTCAGAAGAATTTAAGTGATAAATGGCAAGGTATCTTAAGTTTTAAAACTTGCTACACTTCGGGCATATAAGCCCTTACAACACGCTTTTGAATTTTAGAAGTGATGATTCGATGAGAGTTTAATATGTGCTTTTAGTTTAAGTGGGGCTTTGTATCGATGCAGGTTTTTCTTGGGTATGTGCTTTTACAACAAAGGACTTTTATGCTGCAGTGGAACACCACCTTTACAAGGGGGGGTGTTACATTTGGTATAATATATGCCTACTTGTCCCTTTCAAATACTTCGAAATTTCAAATAAGTGAAATATGTGTCAAAGCCAATATTCGAAATGCTTCAATAGTTGCACATGCCTAGTGATTGCCACCCCGTATGGGGCACAAATTACATCGAGCAATAGCACACAGCACTCAAATAACTGTCAGAATTAAGAAAACGTTTCCCTGTGAGTGCATTTCTTTTTTCTAGCATCAGGCTACAACCCTAGCAAGAAAGCAGCACTCATTTAGGAAGACCCCGCAAGCAGCACACAGAGAAGCACAAATCGCTTTCAGGCACACTGCAGCAGTCCCAAAAGAAAGAAAAAGAAACTGTCAGCTAACCTGCTGGGCTTGAACTTGAGAAGCCTGGAGATATTTCGCTGATCATCTTGCACCCTAGTGTGGGCCCTAAGGTAGCGGCACTGCTGCACCACACAGCTCGTACACAGGGCTTCTCTGCAATGTGGAAGACAGCTGCCTCCATAACTCAACCTGCCCAGCACGACTAGAGCTGTCAGTTGGAAACATTTGTTGGCGAACTCACTCATGAGTACACTCGCCAGACTCGCTCAGACTCGGATCAAACCACGAGTCTGAGTGAGTAATACTTTGCAGAGTTTGAGTCCGAGCAAATCCAGCCGAGAAAAATTTAGCGAGTCAGGTGAGTCTTATTCTAAGCCTCAAGGGCAAAATATAGTATTTCGTGGGTCTTAGTAAGCTCTACATTTTTTTGCCGACCTATGGTTGAAAGTAAGCTAAATTTAATTTATGCACACACAGAACCAAGGTTACAGTTTTATTTGGTTTTTGTAAAGGCAATGCACAAGAACTCGCATCAGTCAAAGCAATGTCTGCCTGCTTAAAGACAAGCACCGAAATTAGGGGCTCCTTCGCGTGAATTCCTATATAAGCAGCCAATAAAATGAATTCTTTCTAAATTTTATCGGCTTCCTCACCTTAGCCGTGGCCCACCACCATACTTTTGGTAGATAAGGTCAGCCTGTAAGAAATGTCGCAATATCAGGCAAAGCATTCCAACAAATAGATGTGCCTTGCAAATGAACTCAACTTACAGCTCGACTGCTGATGCACTTCACTTTGCTCACATGCTGAGGGTCCAGCCTGTTCAAAACAAGATGAAAGCAATCAAGTAAATATAGATAATAACACACTAGCAGTGCATAATCTTCACTGGTAAGCATACAGTCTGATGACATGATGTGAAGAAAATATGGAGGAAAGGTGTGGATTATCACGACAGATATGATAGTGTAAAAAAAAAGCTCATTTGAACGTCATTTACAGAAGCAATACAATGTACTCCAAGGTGGCGATATGACTGTCTTCTTTGAGCCACCGTATCACACTGGCGTGCAGCAGGGTTCGAGTAATTCAGTTTTACAAGTGCTAATAATATTACTACATCTAACAGCAAGAAAAAGCACAGTTTCTTAGCTCTATTTCATGCCCTGTCTCTGTGCAAAACACTTGCAACAGGTACCACTTCAAAGAACAAGAAGACATCTGTGGGACATAGAGCCCAATTTCTCCACAAAAGCGACCAGTTCAGAAGGAGCATACAGGCTATTCCCTGACTGAGACGAGTGAAATATGACAAAAATTGTGTTAGTGCTGTTTTCAGCAAGAAACACTGCTATAGTGGTTAGTGTGCTGACATACCCCAGGTGGTCGAAATTTCTAGAGCACTCCACTACAGCGTCTCTCATAATCATATGGTGGTTTTGGGATGTTAAACCCTACAAATCAATCAATGTGCTGACATAAAGAAAAGTAGGCCATTAAAATATGGAAACCAAAACAAGATTCGTGCAGTTTTCCAAGAAAAAAAATTCAAATACTTTTTAAGGACCTTTTAAAAAACTTAAGGAGCATGATTGTAGTTGACGGTAAATTTAATTGCACAAAGCAAAGAATGCTAAATTTGCTCATTGCACAGTTTCACTGCACAGTTTCACTCAGGGCAAGTCTTTTAGTCTCTTTTCTATCGGCGTCCTAATGCTATTAAGTTGAACACAAATTAGTAGTCTACTGCAATAAGCACATTTGCGCAACTTTCTTACGGAGAACTCAATATGCTGTAGCCTCATTGTGGCCATTAGGTTGTGGCTTATGGCCAACCAAAGCAAAACCAGGCGCGCTTACTTCAATCTCGCCAATCTAATACAGGCTGTTTGGCCGTGCCTGAATTCGAAATTGCGTTGTCACAGAATGCTATAAGCAATGAAGTTTGCACAAGACTACGCTCAACTGCCATGAAATGTTAGTTGTACAATCGGACCCTGCAAAAACTCTATATATTCAAGAGTTTTCCAGGACTAAAATGAAATTTCAGCACTTCTAAGGCCTTGAAAACAAAATTTTCTATTTCAAGGTTTTTCAAGAATTCCAAGGACCTGTGTGCACCCTGAAAGCGGAAAAGAACAGGGAACTGCACTGCCAGCGAGATCTTTGTTGGATATTCAGGGATCTGTATTCCCACCATGATGCAATGGAATAAGACTAAGCAGGGCTTTAAATGGCAGTCTGGTTAGAGCAACGAGCATTGTCCACTATACGCTCTCAAGCAAATCCATGCTTGAAAGCCTACAGCCTCTGAATGACATTGTTACACTTGTACTGAAGAATACAAAGCATTGACGACTGTAAGTGAAAAAAACAACACTAGAAGTGTGGTTGTATTTTAGCACACAGATTTCAGGACAATGCCAACAAGGAAAGGAAACTCTGCTCTTGAATAAGCTTCTTACAGCGAGTGCGTGCACAGCACAGAGGAGTTGTCCACAGGCGGCACTGGCTCCTTGTCCTGAGCAAGCCACTTAATCAGCCAGTCAGTGGTAATCCAGTCCACAGGCTCCCCTGTAGTGAAACGACACGAAGTGTAGCTCACTTTTAGACAGTCATCTTTCTTTACCCACTCTGTGTCATGACAACAAAAGACAAATTTACTTGGGAGCACTCAGCTTCCCTCAGAGCCTAAAAGAAAGGGGAAAAAATGGGCCACTGTGTGAAGTGTACTAGCAAAATGGCTGCCGAATGCCCAATCATATGCCAGGACATTGTAGCCTAGCAATATGCTACGGCTCTGTTTGCAATATCTAGGGCTCGAAAAACACCACACAAAAGCACACGCTCTGACTAACAAAACTGGACGCTGATGGCTAATAATATAGAAGGGAAAAGGCACCTTCAATGACGGGCAGCTGCTCATAAAGGGAGCGCACCTCCTTCTGTTGAGCTCGCCCAGCAGAAACCTTGTCTGCCTGCAAGAGATTTTTGGTGATGATCACAAATCACAAGCTGAAGGAAATAGAGAAAGCAAGACCTCATAAACACCACAGGCCTATTTTATGCCCTTTGCAGGCTAAACACCTTTCCCAGAGCTCAATTCCATCCAATGCCTACAAGCTTCTCAATCTCCTCATACAACTTATTTCTCTTATGAGTTACAATGTGCTTCCCTTCCCTTGACACACACTTATTAACAATAGTACCACTGGTACTACTGTTAATGGAGAAATGTGCATTGCATGCCTATTCAACTGCCATTTATTCATAGCACCTCCTCTAGAGGTCATATGACGATTTATGATCACGTAGCAATGTCCTAAGCAGGTCAGGCAGAACACGAAGGCAGATCGTGCACACAGCAACTGATGCCGAAAACTCATCCTCATTTTCTACACTACACTTCAATAAAGAACATTGGCTACTATTATTTTTTGCTAATCAACACAGCTGAGTGTTCTTGACACTTCGTGCTGTGCCTGCAATTCTTCATTGCAATCCTTCTTGTCTGTCATGAGCTTCTCAAGTTGTCAAAGGAACTTAAAAACCAATCAGTCTTTAAGTTGTCCAACTAAGTTCATGGATTTTCTGTCAAACTCACTCAACCCTACGAGAAGTGATTTCAATTGTAACACACGGCGGCAATGTCAATGCTGTAATTAGGCATCTTCAAATATTCAAGTATCCAAATTCGCTTCCACACAAATTTAAATTACCTATAATTTCAAAGTATTCAAAATGTACAAATAAACATATTAACCAAAGTGTAGCTCCCTGTAAAGGTAGTTTCACTGCAGAGTGCCAGTGCTATGCCATGAAAACACTTAGGCCGACAGAATACGCACTGCGACAAAGCCCCAGTTCAAGGTTAAATGAACCTATTACACTTAACACTTATTCGTTTTTTAATATTAAAAGCTCATAATATAGGCTTATGTGCTCTAAGTATAGTAAATTCTAAAACGTAACATATTTTACCGGTTATTTCTGGCATCGTACATAAACTTCAGTTCCGCTACTATTCAACGTTGCTTCCCCCATGAACCAAAAAGAATGACATTCGTACATGACTCGTTCCAATATTTAAAAATATTCTGCAGGTTGGCTATATGACAAGTATGCTAAAATTTCTTTTTAATATGTGACATATGCTATCTTAACTATTCAATTTGATGTTTTTTGACCAAACCATTATTTGCTTTGAATTAACTTAGAAGTTACAATTAGAATGAATAATGAACAGTTCGATGAATAATGAACTGAAACTGAACATCCGTAGCTTTAGTGGTTGCACTTGACAAAAACCTTTCTTCCAAAGAAAAAATAACAATAATAATAAATAAGTAAAATAAAAGAGCTTTACAGCTTCTTTGCCAGGTGCATGTGCATATGAACAGTTGCTATTAAAAAATATTAGCCTAATGAATAAAGCGGCTAAATGCCACTTTCCTATGTGAAAATTCTGCCAACGCTCGTGTCACACTGAAATACAATTGTTGCAACTGCAAGGTTGTTGCTACAACACACTAGCCAATACCAGGTGCATATCAGTGAGGCAGACAACAATCACATTGGCAAATTAAATTATGCCACTTGCAAAATGCCCATCAATGACCCCTGCTGAAAATGATGGTTACAAGAGGCTGCTAATTCATACAAAGAGAATTGCTATGGGATCGATTGATACTATGTATCGACATTTTGAATTCGCCCATAGTATCGACGTTCTGAATGCGCCGCCAAAAATTTGTTTTGGTGACCACGGACGCGTGGCGCCCTCTGATGTGTTCGAAAATAACTATTGTTTTGGTTTCGATTTCGTTCTGCTGTTTTTACTGCAAGGAGGTACTGAGAAAAATACATGTTGAGTAGGGTTGATGGCGTAGTTTGGCAATCATGGCTGCGGCGCCCCCGCGCGCTCCTCAATGCCAAAAGGCAAAACCGAGCTCTTCGGCCGCTTCAAAGTCCGATTCTTTTGACAACAGCAGCAGTGAGGAGCGATGATGTTCAATCATTGGACTTCAGTTCAGACAGTGACATTTCATCACAGCAGCCGGGGACATCAGCCACTGTGTGCACGTAAGTTTTGTTTTAGCGCTCACAATGTATAAATGCAGTGTGCAGTCTTTATAACTGACGACAGTTGTTTATTTTGTTTCCTTAGTGTCTCCACAATATACGGTAGAGATATTTTGCTCAATGCTCCAAGACGTGTGAAGTTTGAGCCCGAGCGACAGCCCGGGGTCATTATTGACGCTACACGGCAGAGTGGCACCCGGCAGTTCGCAAGAGCACTGGATCTTTTTACGATGTTTTTTACGACTGAAGTAATCAGGATGTTGTGTGACAACACAAACAAGTATGCCTGGACGAACATTCTTGACAAGCCCTCCTATGCTTGTCGTGATGGCTCATGGGAAGAAGTCACTCCACTAGAGATGATGCGTTTCATTGTGATCATCATCTACATGGGAATTGTTGAAGTACCACAATTGCAGTTACACTGGAGTACGGGGAATATATACAGTGGCCTTCTCCCATCAAAGATTATGCCCCGAAACTTGTTTGTAGCTCTACTAGCCTTTTTACACGTATCGGACCCGAACGACTTCGCAAGTGAAGCTACTGTTGGCAAGATCTGGAAGGTGTCATGGCTTTTGGAGCACATCAATAAGACATCAGCAAAATTTTTTCAACCAAAGCGGGAGCTCTCGGTTGATGAACGTATGGTGAAGTCCAAAGGCAGATCAGGAATGAGGCAGTATATTCAGGCAAAGTGATTAAGTGGGGCTACAAGCTTTGGGTACTAGCCGACTCGAAAACAGGGTATACCCTACAGTTCTCTGTATACACAGGCAAGCGTGAAAGACCAGGACCACATGACCTAGCTTTTGATGTGGTCAGCAGCCTGTGCTCAGAGTATCTAGACCAGGGGTACAGGATTTACATGCACAACTTCTACACTTCTGCGAAACTTTTTGACCATCTACTGGAGCGCAAAACCCTTGCCTGTGGTACCACCAGAAAAAATCCCCGATGTTTCCCAACTGAGCTTAAGAATGTTGCCTGGGAACGAAGAGCTCAGCGCGGAGATGTTCGGTGGCTTTGCGATGGCAACATTTTATGTATGCAATGGAAAGACCGGCGTCCCATGAACCTGATGAGTACCATTCATACAGCCAACTAGTTTGTCCCAGCCACACGAAGGCAGAAGACAGGTGACAGATGGACTTTAATTACCATTAAGAGGCCTCTGCTTGTCCAAGACTACAATGCTGGCATGCTGGGTGTGGATAAATTGGACCAAATAATAGGAACCTACAATGTCTTGAGGAAATGCATGCGCTGGTGGAAAACCCTGTTTTTTCATTGCGTGGGCGTAGCCTGTGTCACCAGTTTCATCCTCTACCAAGGCCATCGAAAAGAACACCCAGGAGTCCCAGAGCTAGCCCAAAATGCCCATTCGACCAGCTTGCTTTTAGAGAGCAGCTCATTTAGCAGATCTTGGATTACAATGACATCGATCAAGACCGTGCCCCATATACAAGTCTAGAGCTGATTCGCCACCAACCCCAGAAAATAGAGAAGTCGAAAAACTGCAAGCTATGCTATCGAAAGAAGAAAGTAGAGCAGAAAACATATAACAAGTGCAGCACATGCCAAGTGCCCCTATGCTTCACGTCCTCCCGCAACTGCTTCTCTGAGTGGCACAGCAGTCACCACCCCTAGCTTGAAGGGCCATGAAAAAGAGTTTATTACATACAGAAATGCCACTTTCCAGAATGTGAGCTGACATCATGTGTAACGTTTTGTATATTCTAGAATTTGAATTTAATTTTGCTGCTTTGTTCAGCTGTATGTGTATGTTTTGTTTAGTTCAGTTTCGTGTGTTTTTTCCTTTGTTAACAAATAATATAACAAGCGTTTCCTACATATCAGCCTGTAGTTATTTTTGTTCGAAAGCTTGATATTAAAAGTGTACAACTTGGTATAGCACAATGCAAAATGCAATAAAAATTACCCAAGAAAAAAAAATGTGATCGAGGATGTCGAAAATCGGGCCTTTTTCCGCGGTTGCGAAAGAGTGAATATGTTCCCGGAAAATATGACTATTTGGCAGCAACGTTCAGCAATTCTGTGATCATATGATACGTTATGCCAGCAAAAATCTACTTCAAATGTGGAAAAAAACCGCTCTCGCGTGCTTGCACCAAGTGGCAGACGGCCACCAGGCGGCGATGGCGGTTTCTTTCCACACATACACACACAAACCCGTTTGTGCCGTCAGTCTTTAAATGATTTTCAAAAAACAGCCTGTTAATTTTTTCTTCAGTTGGCACCTTGGGCAAAAAATTTAGGGATACCATGTCTACTGGCATAATCCTTGCACTTTTTGAAGAAAAGTGACGAAAAGCAAGGAGGTAGGAAGACGTACGGAGCGAAAGAAAAAATCGAAGTGGCCGCAAATCAGTATCCTCACGATAGGAACTAACTAAAAGCTTTGAGAAGTTCTAATCAAGACTTACTCTAACAATAAAACCACAGGTTCAACACAAGGCAAGATTTATTTGAGGCACGAAAGCCGCAAACAAAGCATGTGGGCATTAGCGTTAATGTGCATCCTTCAATGGGAGCCCGCAAAAAGATTAGCGCACGACGTCAACCTTGTGCTGATGGCCATCTCACACAGAATCATCTGCAGTTCTGCAGTTACCTTCTGTTAAAATTAATTTTTACGATCCATCCCGGTCTTAGGCCCCGCGCATCTTGGTGGCTTTTAGCTGCCTGTGCTGCTGTCACCAGTAGCGAACACAAAACTCGTCAACTTCAAAGTGCCTACAGGTGGCCCTGTTATTGTTTAGTGCATGATCAATCACTTTTAGCATGAGAACAGCCGTGCAGCTTCTGTATGAACCCATAGTGTAACCACAGCACCGACACAACGTACTAACACGCAGCAACGTGCACTTGCCATTTTGGCCTGGCTTGGCTTCGATTAGATTGGTGCTTCTTTGCTCGCATGTCGCGTGATGACCCTGGGTACTTATTATCGATACCCAAAGCGAAGCACTACCTGACCATTTCTTGGGACAGTGATGAGTGAAAAGGTTAGCAGATGTTTCGGGAAGGGCAGTTTTCGGTGGCAGCTTCCATCGAAAGATACAGAGTGCGGCGAAGATGACCTTGTGAAGTGCGCGTCTGACATCAGCGACGACATTGATGTGGAGTTCCTCTTCACTTGCACAAATGCTCCATTCGCCGAGTTCGTCTCGATAGACGACAATGTCCCGGATGACTTGCAAGCCTCAAAGTGTTGCTGAGATTGTCGCGGAGGTGGTGTGGGCCGAGGCAGCGAAGGAGGTGGGGCACGAGGCATCAGAAAACAGAGGTGAGAACAAAAATGTGCGCCGACCGGCTAACTTCGCCGAAGCCTGTAAACTTTGTAAAACTGGAAGCTTTGTAAAACTGGAAGCTTTACAAAGCTTCTTTCACACGAAAGACGATGAAAAAGTAGACATGGGTCCACAATGTGTTCAGAAGGAGCTTCTTTTGTTCGATGGTGAGAGGCATGAGCAGAAAACTACTATGTTTCTTTTAGAAATAAATGTTTTTCGCCCTTGCACCTCTATTTCAACTTGTCAGAGTAAATTTTTGCTGAATTCGGATTGTACGTTTTCCCGAATCGTACGTTTATTGTCCGCATTTTTTTTTGAAACCGTATCAACAATAGTCTACTGGATCAAAACAAAGAGGCAAGCGATTTGGTACTTATTCATTATGGCATAAATGAAACGCAAAAAATAAAAGGGCAAGAAAGCACTTGTGGTGTTCACTTTCTTGCCCTCGTCTTTTTTCACGCTACATTTACGCCAAAATGAGTCTACTCGATATTGAACCCGGTTATATCGAATGATTGGCTATATCAAACAGTTGATAAATGACCTTGAATTTTCCATGCTATATATGGGACAGTTGCACACGTATTCTAAACTCCCGCAGAGCTTAACATCCGATATACAGTTCTTGGGGTTTTATGTAGCAAAGCCATAATGCGATCATGAGGGGCACCTAAGTGTAGGGCTCCGAAATTTCGACCATCTGATGTCCTTTAACATTCACAGACATTGCACAGCAGACACATTTCTAGCATTCGGCCTCCATTGAAATGCAATTGTCGCACCTGAGATCGAACTCGCAACCTTCAAGCTAGCAGCCGAACACCAAGGCCTATACACCACAGCGGCAAACTCTCGTATCAGCAAGTTTAACATGACTGCCTAAATGTCAGAAAAAAGGGTGCGATGGGAAAACCACCCAGACACTAAATTTCATGCTATTTACATCTCTACTGTTAACTCTGATGCACACAGCTGGCAAACTTGATCTACTGTGTAAAAACTTAGAAGTTGGCAACAGTACTCACCCGCATGGCATCCATTTCAGCCACCCACTGCTCAAATACAGCATTATCAGTGTCCAAGGCTTCTTGCACAATTTTGGGCAATAAACAAGCCCAGAAAGGATCCTGGTCAGGTGGGAAGGCTGCACATTGTGCATAGGGCAGAAGCTTTACTACTATTGATAATTATGGTCGATCTCAATAACACAAAAAGACAAATCGTCCAGGGAGACATACAAATATGACACTGAACTCACAACTAGTGTTCTATTACTTTGAGTGCAAGGCCTTTTTATGACAGGCATCAAAGCTACATGAAATAAAGCGATGAAAATGCTTCGTGACAAGAATTTGCCACAAAGGACAAACAAAGAATAATGACAGTGCAGTGAAAAATCTTAAAACCTCTAGCACACTCACAATATACAAAGCTGAGACTAAGGAAAAAATTACAAATAGGCATTCTAAAAATACTTGATAAACAAGATAAAACTAAACAAGTCCATGAAAGTACACAAGCACGAATATAAGACGTGGTAAAAATGCTACTGTGTACGCATGAGGCTGCAAGGTAAGGTACCTAGAAAGAAGTGTAAACTTAAAGGGCTCATTTTGCTTGTTAGAAACAATATTAATGAGAACCTGACAGACAAATATGCCAAGGAAAGTATAGTAAATATTATTAGAAGTAATTGTAATGTAAATGGGAATAAAGAAAAGCGGATAAAAAGATAACTTGTCCGTGGGCAGGGTCCGAACCTGCGACTTTCGAATAATGCGTTCGATGCTCTACTAACTGAGCTACCACAGCAGCTATGCCCCCCCCTCCCCACCTTTATCGGGCATGTATGTGCATTAAACGTGGAAGCGTCAGTCATCACCGCTTGTAGGTATAATTGTCAGTCAGTTTTCTTTAATATTGTTTGTAACAAAAAAAATGAGCCCTTAAGCTTACTCCTCTTTCCTTAATTCATTAACGAGGGTCTAATTGGCAGATTTATTGCCTTCAGGTGGTATGCAAGGGATTGTTGGTCAGCTGCCGGCTCATGATAAGGTCACATGCTATATGACGAAATGAGTGTCCCACACTCGCCGCAATAGCAACAGGCGGCCCTGACTGACGCTCTCACACTTAGTGCACATACATACCCAATAAAATGGAGGGGGGGATAGTCACCGGGGTAGCTCAGTTGGTAGAGCATCGAACGTCTTGTTCAACTGTCACATGTTCGGATTCTACTCACGGCAAGTTAGCTTTTCATCCATTTTTCTTTCTTCACATTCACATTACAATTACTTCTAATAATATTCCCTACACTTTCCTTGTCATAATTGTCTGTCAGTTCTCATTGGTAATGTACCTGCAGCTCCTGCCTACTGAATAGTATTTTACACACATACCTACTCAAAAGCAATAGATTACCCAACATCCCCCCCCCCCCCCCCCAAGCCACCCAAAATGCATCCAAAAAGCTCAGGAATCGTAACCACGCTCTCGAGCCTTGGAACGGTATCTTAGGTGCTGAGCCACTACAGCAAGTCTACTATCATTACAAGACATATGCAGACTACTGCAAATAAAGGAACGGAATCACTGGTTGTCTAGAATAATTCAACAAAACTAACCGCTATAACTCATTTTCGTCCAGGTAGGCTCGCTACGCTTCAAATTAATGTCCTTATGTTGGTTGGACCCCTGACAACCTCAGGCAGTAATAAATAAATGAAATGTATTGGTTGTGACCATTTTACCTATCTCTTCATGGTATACTTACCACTTTGCAAATGGTTTCTTGCATACAGAGAACATTTTTTAATTTTCTCATCACAATAGCAGCTGATATTTTACCATCATGCTTCTTTAAATATTTGTGGTTACATAATGAATTTTTAATGAAGTTATGGAAACATAAATCTAAGCATAATTGAATACGTTACCTGGCACTTGAGAAGAGCAATAAGTGACCAGAAGCTAGAGTCGTGAATGAATAAGGCTTTACCTTAAACTGAAAGGTGCACATAAGTGAACTTATTTTATGAAGAAGTGGTGAAACAGGATTGGAACATTCATTCACAGCATTACCTTGCTACAGACAATGCATAAATCTACAAACCCTGCTGATACTCACAATTTGTGTGACCACTCTTTTGGTAGACCAACATATATGCTCCTGTGGAGTCGTGAGTTCCCTTGGCTAGTCGCTTGGGTGGCTCACTTGCATCATCTGTAATTTACAACACAAGACTGTATTCCTGCATTTCTTCGACTCGAAGCCACATTACGATTCTCATTCTAGCTAGTAAACTTGACAAAAAAAAAAAGATATGGCTTGCTCACCAGAGCCAGCCCCTTGTGCACGTGTTGTGTTTTCCTCATCCGTGTTGAGCTGAAGATGGCGCCCACGCATTTTGCAGACGCCATCGTCGTTGAAGAGGTACCACGAACCGGAAGTTCGATCTTTGATGTGGGCCACATAGTGGCCAGAGTTGGCGCTGGAACCTTGGTGAATGAGCACTGCCATCAAAGTATATACCATGCTCCCAGCTGCATTGCCAAGGAAACACAAGACCATGTCAGTCTTAGTTGAAACACACACACTTAAAAAAGTGCAAACAGTTCTGCAACCACAATAAAGTAGAACCCCTCTAACACGTTTGTCACAAAACAAAAACATGTACATACTTGTCGGGAAATGTACAGTTGAACAGCTTTATAGCAGACATGCACAGAGCAGCAATTCTCTTTCATATAAGTAGTCCCTCATAGGCACACCGCCACGCACACACTTTACTTATCAACACCAATTTCAACGTAGGCACACTATGTCCCTTATACCGAACTGTCTCTTACACCAGAGTCTCTTATAAATGGCTTCAGCTGTATAACTTCACCATATGATTAAGACCAGAAAAAAGTGTTGCTAAATAATAAAATGAAGATATCACACACAGTTAAGAAATATTTAATCATCAATTTAGAGCTTCAAAAGAGTTCTCGATGGGAGTCTGGCACTTCTTTTGCACCTATAACTGAACCACAACTTTTTTGAAAGCCCAGATGGCTTTCAGTGTACATTACTAAGCCCATTGACATACTTCTTCAGTAGTTCGCAATGTATCATGAAGGAACATTGCAGAAAAGATGTGTGAAAGTTGATTCAAATACATCTGTACACTGCTTGGTGGGACAGCAAAAAGGTTGTGTTTGGGAAAACGTCTAACTCGGGGCAAGACTCAACTGTATATTATATAACGCTGTTCAATGTGAGAAAACATGAACTGCATTGATGCTGGCTTATTGTTATGACACGAGGTACAGTTAGTATATAGCTTTTCCCAAATGAAAGCTTGTACTATAGAATGCAAGGCAAAGTATTGGACACAGTAAAGCATAATTAGGCTGCACTTCTTATTGTCCTCACACTAGGGCAACACATTTTACCCACTAATTGTGCATAAGTATTTATAAACATTTATGCAAGTATGTACATTGTTTTTTGTATCTACATTTCCAGCAAATGTTTTCAAACGACATGAATATTACACAGGTATATATAAAATTGAAGCATGGCAGCTCATGGCTGTGAAAGTGCTATTGTAATTCTTTTTTTTTCTTAAATAGCCCTCTGGCTACATTCTTATTTTCCCCTCACTTACTGATTGTAGCATTCCATTACCCAACTTTTCAATCAGTGGCTGAAGACACACAAAGTCTGAATGCAGAGTTGTAGAGTATCTCCAGAAACCACCAACCGAATGGTTTCCTGTACGATATGGATCACCAAGTGCCCTTTCTCGCATTGCAAGGAAAGCCCGCAAAATAAACAAAAAAAGCCGCATGACAAACTGCTTATGTGCTTCTATCATGCTGCCCTCAAGCTCACAAGTAGAAAACCATGTCGCCTGTAGTTTCATGTGAAATCAATTCACGAAAAAATAAATTCCAATACTGAGGTGGTTCGATGGTTACTTGAAGAAGTGGTTCACGACCACCTTTACTTATCCACATATTACCGCAATATCAATGAGAGAGAACCTTTAAAAAAGTTGTATCAGTGCCTCTTTCTTAATGCGACGTACGTGGTTTTTGTAAGTGCGTGCTCAGGTCCAGGGTCTCGGTGAATTGCAGCGCAGTGTTGATTTTACGGCAGCCAGCCTGCCGGTCGAAGCCAAAGCGCAGCAGCTGTAGATTTAGCACGGGCGGCAGGCGACGCAACTGAATGCAGCGAACCGCGTTGCGCATGCCTCCGCACACTCCGCAACGGTACTGGTTGCTACCTTCCAGTTTCTCCTCCTGAAGGTGACCACAAGGAAACAAAACATTGCAATCACAATTAGTAACTTTAATAACTATGCAGATAGAGACTGCAGCACCAGAAATGTGATAGTGAAATGTGTATGTGAAACTAAACAAGTAAACCAACACTGATACAACTCATGAGATGTGATCAAATATAAACCTAAGACGTTCCTCGCTGTCTGCAATGTGTTATGAAAGGTACATGTTCATAATAAACATCACATATAACAATTAGTTATTAGCATATGAACCAATCTTCACCATGCAGCCTTTTTTAAAAAGATGCGTGATGAGGTAGTTTGGCTAAGCACGGTTTATGACCCCAACCAAGGGTAAAAAAGCCAATATGTAAAAAAAATTGGCTTCTGATACAGGGCTTTAATTTAGTTTCAGTTTGAAATTGCTGCCTTTGAGTCCCTCCCACTGACTGAATTCGCTATTTGGCATGGAATGTCATGTCAAAAGATCAAGCCTAGCTAACATTGTGTCGTATGCTCCAAAACAGTCTGAAACCACTTTAACATAATGTAGGAGGATGCACACCCATCTCTGTGCGAGTACATTTCAGGCTGCCTAGGGACATAAGAACAATATGCGCGCTATGTACACTGATTCACTTTGTCATAAGTAAGCATTGCCAGGCATTGCATATTCTGCATTGGGCATTGCATATACTGCAAATGTGACGAACAATATTAAAATTTGACCTATAAACTTTATACTACAAGTTTGTTCATTTTGCCAGCCCGGCATGGAACAAATGCCGTTTAAAACTCTTGAAACATGGGCACAGAAAATGGCGACGATTTCCAAATCAGTCATGATTTAATGCCATCTGCATGGTGCCACACGGGAAAATTAAATGGCTTTTGCCATAATGTAATTCATCACCTAACACATTTGCCAGAACTCATTAGATTGACAAATAAATATTTCCAATGCCTACGTGCAGTGTAGTATACATGAAACATTTGAAAGTGCCTTAAATAGAGATTATATACTTGTTAAAATGCATGCTTATTTTGTTTTTTACTAGCCTAAAGTTGTGCACTTCAGGAGTCGCCGTTATCAACATCAACTGGTCACATGATATTAAGTTTAGAGGGACTTAAAGGAGTAAAATACTGACAAAGAAATGTGCACTTTCAAATAGTACGAGTTCTTTTGGATTGCTGGTACATTAAAGAAGATGCGCATCAGGTTTGGTTTTTATCTGTGTAGCAGAAAAAAATAAAACTCATACTTTTCACAAGACAGTGGCCCACATTCGCTGCTAAAAGTGTCTCTAAAACCGCCCTAATTAAGACACAGCTGCAAAGCAGGCAAGAAGGCGAACGCAAAAAGAATGCCCCTGTTAGAATCTTTGTTTTTTGCATCTTTCAGAAATGAAAGAACTTCTGCTGAAAGTACACCAGAAGACACAAATAACTTAAGACAGCACATTTTTGCCTTAATGACAGCAAAGTCGCTGGAAACTATAAGCGAAACTCGAATTGGCCGAGACATAGCACATGACCATCCACAGCTGGTTTCACACCAATTACGAGTTACTCCTGCTTTGGTTGTGTGCTATTCAGCTGCTCTCTCCTGTGAATTCATTGCAATCAGCAGGTGGCCTGTTTAAAAAAAAACAAATTTTGTGAGCAACACTCACAGCTCAAAAGCTGCAAAAAATTGAAGACGATTGTACTCAATCGTCGTAGAATAGTGCCGGGTTGAAGAGGAAGACCGAACCTATGAAGCAGGTCACTTCAATTAAATTTTTTTAACATCAATGTAAACAGCATGTTGTGAAATCTTAGAGCTTAATTTTTCTAGTTAGCACTTTTGGAAAGAACAAGCCAGTTGAGAAAACTGCCTTTTACGATCTGCTTCGCTGTTAGCAGCTTACAAGACTGCTTCTTGAGTGAAATTTTCTCAGGAACAAGATGTTACTTTCTTGATCCCTAAGCATATGCTAACCCAAAAAATATCTTCAAGAGTCTGACATGCAGTGCCAAGAAAAAAATGGTCTTTGCTTTTAGTGTGACAATATTTTTATAGAAACTTCATAAAAATATATTACTGGCTTTATCCTGCACTACAAACTGTCCAGTATGAATGTGATTATATAAACAATTAATTAAGGGATGATGCTACTCGAAAAAAAATTTTTTTAAATAATAGTCCGAGTCTAACAAAAATTCGCATGCTAGAAGAGTTTTTTCTCCACTTTTGAAATATGTCATTTATTTTCATGTAGCTTGCTCGGTTTTCTTTCCACTGATTAGATACAGCAAAATTATGGCCATTGTTATACAATGATTCTAACCTATAAAAATTTGAGATAGAGCTGCAGATATAGCTATAATCCTTCAGATCTGTAAAGTGCAAAAAACTAACAAATTTTGTGCGCAACACGGTGAAATACAATATTAAAATAGCAACCTTACCATGGCTCCAGTTGCTTGTGCCTATTGCATGTCAGACAGTAATTTGAAATGACCTCGAAGTCTAAGCGGAGGCCAGTATCTAATGAGATAACACTGCCAATACCGTTGTGGCTTTTGTGGCCCCTCTTCTGCCAAGTGCCGTCGAGTATAACAGCCACAGCAGTTTCCCCAGCTACTTCTTTCGTCAATTCCCTGGATTGGCGCAAGTTTTCACTCACAGCTTCCATGGCAGCGGGGTGCACTAGAGTTACTGTATATGCTCTCTATGGGAGCAGAGTTGTGCATAGGTCCGCCATTATGTTCAATGGCTGTGCAGTGAAGCCACTCACCAATAGCGCGCAAAAGAAAAATACGATGTGATGTTCCGGCGCAGCAGCGTGCCACACACGTATTTGCATGCACTGAGCAAGATTGCACTGTTGCAGTGAGGTGGTATGTTGCTATAGATTGCAAAAATGCTTGAGACCCTTGTGCTTAGATTTAGGTATGCGTTAAGAACCCCAGGTGATCAAAGTTTTTTGGAGCCCTCCACTACAGCGTCTCTCATTATGATGTGGTGGTTTCGGGACGTTGAACTTAACAATTGATAAAATTAGGTGAAAATGATTGAAAAGGTAACTAATTCGAAATAATGCTGCTGCGCAGTTTTTACACCAAACGTACGAAGCACACTTTTCCTGAAATAAGAATTTTGAGATTGCTCTGTACATTTTGACCCCGCTAGATGGCGCCACCTATCCAGTCTGTCGGGGGCTAACACGTTTGCGGCTTCGATGTTCTGGCCATTTTAGCATTAGTAATCCGGCTCAAAGCATGTAATGGCTATTTGTTCTCGCACTTCTGCTTATTTCGACTGAATGTCTAAAGTTTTCGCAGTGCGGATATCGCGAGTTCCTACAAGGGAAGGTGGACTTGCGAGATAGCACCGCAAGCGTCAAGTCGATTTGGCGGGTAGTTTTCGTTACGTAAAGGTTACGTTCCGTAAAGGCCCGAACATGCGCAAATTTTATCTGATGACATGGCAACGCAAAGAAGTATACGAACAAGCTAAAAGCCCTTAAACGTGGTCACGATGAGACTGAAGTCGGCACGGGCAGAAAACGTGCGGGCGTTGCGCTATCGTGCACGTAAAGTTGGCTTTGCAAGGTAAAATTGAACATTTGACGTCACTTTGCACCACATGACAGCGCTCGTCGAATAGTGGCGTAGCGGCGAAGGAAAAGGTATGCGCAACTCTGCTACATAAAAGTAGCATATACAGTAACTTTAGTGTGCGCCTTCTTTGAAATAAAAAAAAAATCCTCGGTGGTACATTGTCTTTGGGAGTCCAATTATGGACCAAAATCTTGAAAATTGCTCATGGCTAATGCTAACAGCGTGTGCGGCTGCCACAGCTTTCACATTTACAGCAAAACTATCCGCTGTCGTACCGTTGGCTTACTCGGTTGCTGCCGTCCACTGTAACACGCACTTACATATATGAGCATGAAAGAGCAGTCTCTAAGCATTCGCTGTTTTCATAATGAAAGTTGAGGGGCGACAAAAGTCCCTTGCTGCTTTCCTGCTGACTCCCGAACGGCAAGTTTTCGAATAGCGCAAGCCGGGCATGCCGCACCTGCCACAAGTGCCGTCAGCATGAGGGTGTCACACAAAACTGCTGTTGCACAAACCTCATCCCGCGGTCTTTCGTCTTTCTCGAAAAAGCCGAGCTCTTTTCTGAGGCACTCGACGATAACGCCGTTAGGCCTAGCACACGCAGGGTAGGTTCTCTTCGGTCAGCGTGGTTCATGGCACTTCACTCCGCTTTCCCTTAAACTTGTGCTTCGTTCAAAACTTATGCGGTCTCACGTAGCACTTTTTCAGGCTTGTCATCGCAGAAATATGCGTAGACCCGCAGAAAAGCTGACGAACTAAATGCTGATGGCCACCTACGACACAGCTGACAATGACTCTGTAACCAATGGCGATGCGGCTGAGGGCGTCGCGCATTTCAAACCGCTTAAACCACATAATGAAAAAGCCTAAATTTTATTATTTCTTTTGCCCACGTACAAAACTAACAATCGTTGGAGCTGTTACAAAAATCTGGCAAACATAAATAGGATACCGTTAACGCTGTTCCGATGATGTTCTTATTAAAGTGCTTGGGCCTCGTGTTCCTGTGTAAAAGTTCTGCGCTTCCTACCAAGATGTAAGAAGACCGGACGCAACATTCCCAACCGCCCGTGACTGACTGAAAACATGACTTTTTAATTCGCACCTCTCCTTATTAATAAATTTTTATTACTTTTGAAATGACAGTTTTCTTGGGTTGACATACCTTATTGATCCCTATAACAGTGTTTATTTTCACTGTATTCATGCCAGGATGCTCAAATTCAGAATTAATATGCTTTAATAAGAAAAACGTAATTGATATTTTATTCAAAATTGGTGGAGCTGTTCAAAAGTTGACTCGAATTCTGCACCCTCTCCCACTATTGAGGCACTTATGTATGTCATTTTTCTGGTGCCTGTTGGGACAAGAATAACACAGAATGCATAAATCAAACTCAGAAATATGGTGTACTGGCCCCTGAAAGGAGCCCCTTAACACAGCTAGAATGTGACTGGTGCAAGCTGGGTCCCAAAAAAATGTCATCAGAAAGCATCGTAACCACTATAAGTAAGAGCACCAGATCATGTTGAGGTGTACTTGCCCTGAGGAACTGATTGAGCGCCTCTTCCAAATGCCTAAGGCCTTTGATGTTGAGGTCCAGCTCATAAAACTTGGAAGGGCATAAGGATTCTGTGCTGCATTCAAGGCACCTGCAGGAACATCAGGTGGAGTCTCAAGATAAAAAGTTGAAGGTGCAAGCTGCAGAAAGAGAAACTAGAACGATAGTGCAATAGAAGCTCGACAATCTCATGCTGTCTTTTCTATGTGGCTGCTGTAAGCAACAAGCCAATGGACCTTTTCTAAAGGTGCCTTGCAACCATTTTCCAAATAACCATAGAATAACTTCACTAAAGGAGTTCACTGCTTCAGGAATTGACCGCTGCAAAAATTGTTTAGGATCTGTCAAGTACAAGCAGTCAGAGATTTCTCACACACTGGAAGATAAGCAGGGAGAGATGGCACGGGTAAAACAAGTTATGTCATGCGCAGGTCATGACCATGAGCACTTTTTCTTTTTTTCAAATGGTCGACTTAGTTTCAGTGTGATTGTGAGCATGAACCCGGGTAAGTGGGGGCTTTGGTAACAATGCAACTAACAATGCTCAAATCAGCCAATGGCCACAAATTTTCGTATATGGTGCAGTCATTGGGTATATGGCATCATTTGTAAAATAAAGAGGGAACGAGTTCTAGTTGACATTAACAATTAATTATAAATCCCAGGCTGCATGTGATACTATGTTTCATTCGCATGTTCTCAGAAGCCTCAACTACTAATCAGATCCATTCTTTGAACATGCTGAAAAAGTGTTGCAGGGCCTATTTAAAAAGTAAGACATGACCACTACCTAATGCTACTGTGGCACATTAAGGAACAAATTTAATAAAGAAATTTTACAGCCCGTGCTATTGCAGTATACAAGACCTTGCAAATATTCTTAGCAGGTGAGTGTGCTTGTAAACTTTCAAAGTTGTTAAATAAAGTGTAGCTCTATTTTTGAGAACGCCTGGAGTGGGTAGGCAGACACTACAGACATACTTCCTCACTTGTTCAAGTTAGTCAAGTTATTTATGACTTGCATGTTTACCAGAGCCATCAGGGCTGCCACCATTAAGAAAACAATGTAGAAACATGGTAAGATGAGCAGTAAGGGGCATGGCTACTTGTGACTACTGGCATGGTTCAGTCATCTACAAGACAGCAGAGCGTTAAGACCAAGATGTGAGCCGAAGTGCAAGAAGTACAAGCTGCACCATGAATCAGGACAAGCAAACTGAACAAAGAGACACTCAATGATGAAAAGTGCACCTCTATCATTTGCAATGTGCATGTTCTTTTAATGTTATACAGAACAAAAAGTGGAAAAAAATGCTGACAACATTGAGGTTTTACTTGGAAGACATGAACTTTCTAATAAACAGAGTTTATTTAATATTTTTTAACAGTTCGCTGTACTTTATGGAAGACTGTTAGCTTGCAGCAGCTGCATGCCAATGCGAGAGCGGACGTCACTGGTCGCCGCAGCTGAAAGGTGCACATGTTTCTGTCCTGCTACTTCCCTTTCTGCATCTTCGTTTTACATTCCACTCTCCTCCTTCCGCAAGGGTGCTGATACTGGACTCTCTTTCAGGGCTTTATTAAAGCCACAAGCATTGTTCCCTGCTGGCACCGTTTATAGCAATTCTAAGAATCGTAGTAGTGGGGGCTGAGAGGGGTTTTGAGATATGGGCGACGGCTGGCATTGATGGCATACTCACTTCCAGTACATTAAGCTTTCCCAAACGTCATTATGTTCATGCTGTGGCTGCTAAACATGGCTGTTTGTTAAAAATGCACTATATTCGTTATTCTTCACTAGTTTTCAAGGGAAATGAAGGTTAAGAGAGAAACGAAGTTTTTGAGAAAAAATGACAGTATACCAATTCCAGATACAATCTTTCAGTTTGGCTGAAACTCTCAGTAACTAAAATTTTGTTCAAGTGTACTTGCTACAGCATTTCACAAGAAATTAAACAAGGCAAGTTAGGCTGAAAGCCGGCCAAGCATGAACCACAAGGTGTGAATGCCTTCTTTTTTCACACCCTCAAAGAACTGGCGCAGTACAGTGTTTGCACAAGTCTACTACTTATAAGTACTGCTGTGCAATGCTTAGGAAGTCACGACAGGTTAGGAATAAGTCATAATTGCCAGTTACAGCTGATGAAGCGCCCTTGTTCTCTAAAGCAGTTATCACTGATCACCCTTGCAAAGTTGATGTACCATTTCATTTATCTCCTAGATAAAAAATATTCTCAACACATGTAATTGACGATTGAATAGTGCTAAAGGACACGAGAACTTAACTGAGAACGAGCTTTTTCACAATGTGGTGGCCTTATAACCAACACACTCTGTTTGCATGCTGAGGTTCAGATCAATAGCTCTGGTAAATAGGACAGGTTAATAGCACTTGTCAACAAAATAATTCTCAGACCAGTTGAGCAGAGAAGACATGCTCGTGCCAGGACATGCATAATGGTACGCACTTGGTGACATAATCGTATTCTCCTGCATACTGTTCCTGCACAATGGTGCGTGCACTGAGCTGTCGCTGTGAGGACAAGTGCTTTTCCAGTAGACACATCAGCAGCTTGCTGAATTCTTGCGCATCCTGAGAAAGAAAGCAGGGAAAGAACTTCAGTTTGCACACAAATCCCTAAACTTTTAAGGGGTCAACAGCTCACGAGAATACACAGAACGAAAGGTAAAGGTGAAATATACTTAACGCTGTTTTCGAAATTGTCGCACTTTTTTGGAGCGACTGCTGCAAAAATCCATGGCATCAAGGGGCACCGTCAGCAGGAAACGTCAAGAAGGCAGTGTCGCTGCCCATCTTGCAGTTTTCAATCTTTACTAGCTCGCCAAGCCTCATCTCATTGGAAGGGCGAATTTTCACAGCAGTGAAGAAGGCCGATTCACCACCAAAGCTCAACTGATGGGCTAGCAGACGCACACATGTATGCGAATTTCTTTTCCAGTCTAGCCTTGCAAGTCAACCGAGGGTTTTGCAAATAAAAAATATTGCTGTTAGTACACTACTTTTCAGTATAATGCTCCCCTACAGATCCTTTTCATTGAAGCTGTACCATACAGCTTTTCATCGGAAATTTTGCCTGACCAGGCGATAATAATGCCATTTTTTTAGCAGTGATTTTTCTACGCATCCTAAGAATAAAAACAGCAGGTGGCACATCTATTACAGCAAGTTAAAAAAAAAGTAAACGGTGACAAAAATCTGGCAAACATAAGGGTAGCGTTGACACTGTTTTGATAATGTTGTCATTAAATTTTAGGAACCCTTACTTGGAGATATTATCAGCTTAAAATTTTTTTTTTCTCTTTCACAGTAGTAAATTCATTCACTGTTTTCCAGTAATGTTAGCAAGCACATGGGGTCATGATGTCAATTCACTTTCCTTACATAAAAAATTTTTTTGGCAGTGTTATACTGAATGCAGACAAATTATAGGTAGCTGTTAAAACTCGCATATAAAGAAAGTAAAAAAAACCTGTTATTAACAGAAACTATACTTGGTTTTTGAGACCACTCCTGCACAAAAGAACACAAGTGTACTGCTAAAATGATAGCAGGACAATGCATGTAACAATACTTTGCACTGCTTTCATCTGATTACACTTCTGCCTCTTCAATTTCAAGCACTGATCTTAAGCCATAGTTTATATCTACAGGTTCAAAATGACTTGCATGCATTCTCACCTTTAGGATCTTTTCTATACTGAACTTTGATGCTTACATCTTTCTGAAAAACTGATTTTCTGAACACTATTTCCAGGCAGTTTCCAAGCTATTCTAACAAAAATGCTGTGCCTTAACTGTGACCTATACAAACTAAAGAAACTTACACTATTGGTTTGTGAGAAACCACAAACATCTTTGAATGAAATAAATGATGCTGATTGTACAACTGACATTCAGCCACAGAGGAAGAAAGTGAGTGGGACCCAAACAAACATCATGTCTGCCTAAAAGCTGTTGCTGGAGCCATTTCAGCACCTAGAAATAGTGCTAACTGCATGTAGCGTGATTTGTGGAAGCACATCATGCCCAAAAATGTGTGAAAAAGTTAGCGGCAATATTAGCATGACAGCTGGAAAGAGTTTTGTACAAATGGCTGTGCTCCTTATTACCTGCTGTTGGGTTGTGCTCAGGCCAAGACAGGTGATGAATGGCTCAGGGTCTATGTACCTGCACGAAATCAAATTTCAAAATTATACAATAAAGTTACAACCAGCCAAAATTTTTTGATTAAAGTAATCAGAACGTTTCTTCGTTGAAGTGTGCAAATTGATGCTTCAAAAGGAAATATTGTGGAAACCTTGGGCTGTTTTGAAAATTAATGCCTTCGCAGTCTAGGGATGGTTTGAAAATGGCTTCCTTACTATTCAAAAACTATTCAAACAGTATTTGGTTCCTATACGATTAGATTTTAAAATTCACTATTTGCACACCTCAACTTTCAAGCAAACATTTATTTATGATACCACATGTTATTCATACAATGACAGCAAATTGATAATATATTGAGACGTTCTGTGAAATGACAAATCCTAACCAACTAGCCCAGCAATGCACCTTAGCAAATTACACAACACTGCACTTTTGTCAGTTTGACAAAAGAAATTTTTCTAAAGTAACGCTCTCTCACAATGATTCTAAAACAAAAGGCTGCAGCAAACTGTGTAAATCATGCATGTTAGATTATCATTCAATGACTGATTGTCAGCAATTACTTGATGGCATGAGAAAATAGATCTAAAGAACACTCTTAATGGCAAAAGTTTAGAAGTTTCAGGCCATGTAATCAACAACGTTACATGTTCTATATAGCAATTAGCAACATGCGGAAGTGAGGCTTTCATTCAGCCATTCACAAGAGGGACAGAAGTGCTGACCTTCTGTTACTGAACTGAAGCTGTGCAAACAAGAGTTGCAGATGCCCGGTGACCGACGAAGGCTTGTATGTCGCACAGGAACCCGAGGCACTGGGAACTGTAACCTCTTTCTTTTCTGCAAAAGAAACAAGGACAGCAGCAAACTAAGACACGGTGCACACATGATGGATTATGCAGCAACAAAAATATGCATCTCTGTGTCACAAAAGCACCCTTCTCCATGCATACAGCCTCACATTAATTGAAGCATACTGTAGAATCCTGCTCAGCACTAACACATCAGCTAATTTACTAAACAAAGGAAGCACATGGAAAACACTAACACAATAAAAAAACAGCAACCAGGCTAAAACTTTTTTTTACCTCTCCCTAACAAGCTCGCTAATTCGTGCATATGAACGCAGAAATCACATTTTTGTGAATATCACAGTGTTGCAAGCTGCACAGTCGTTCCATTTCCAAAAACGATTCCCCTAACCCCTCTTCGAGCCCCCATCAATTCCTCCTCACACATAAAGTGATGAAATCTTGCCCATGGGCAACATTACACAGCAATGACTTGCTCGAACGGTCCTTCGCGCTACAAAACAGTGCTTTGGCCCTTCAGCGATGCAGTTTCGGCCACGCAGTACTGCATCTGCGTTTTCCTGTGCTGCCCTCTGCCATTTTGCTAGAGCCCTGAGACTACTCGGACAAGCGACATTGCCAGATGGTAAGCCTCCAAGATGAAAAGTCATCTCGCGATTTTACTGCTAGGAGAAGAGTGCATATTTCACCAGTGCCTCGTACTCCTTGCACCACGCTTCTTCCTGCGCCCCTGACACAAGTGGCACAGGCAGAAGCATTGCTATGTAGTTGGCTGCTCAGTGACGACATATTCACTGACGTTATGTGTTACGTCGAAGAACGAGGCGTAGTGATGACAAAGAGCTACATCTGCCCATTTCAAGCGAGAAACCAAAACCAGCCGAATAGAGTTGTTCTGAGCACTTCAACTTTCTTATTACAGCACTTATTCGTTAAATTATTCAGCAGCATGTTCACACTGTACAAGTGCCCAATTACTTTTCCATCAGAAATTTCGGACCGTGAAGTTGCTTACTGGCCCATTAATCAAAACTGAGCATACCTGAGAAAGGTTAGCTGTGCAGCAAGTAGAATTGTAAATGTTTCAGTTGCACTGCCAGGAGTCAGAATTGAAAGACAGTTAAAAAAAACAAAAAATGCACAATTAATATATAGAAAAAAGCTTACGGATGCACTAGCCAACTTATCATGATGAAGAATGGTGAGAAAGACATGCTGCTTTGCCTGGATATAATAAGTGCATTGTTATAACCATTATTTTTTTAGGCTGTTTTTAGTCTTGAGTGTCAAGTTTGTTTGTTACAAATTAAAACTACTCTGCCCTCCTACAGGACCGGTCAGATAACATTAATTAAATGAAAGATGGTGGTTATGTGACAACAGGATGACACTACCAAAGACAATATTTATTTTAACAACCTTGCTCCACGTCATGCACATTCAGAGAAGCAATATGGCAAATTTAATTGGAAATTAAACAAATGCAAGCAGAAAATTACACTGTCTCCCACTAAAGAGAACCATGAATAGCATGTGAAGCAGTGCATGGGTCGACCTGAACTTTCGTACATCACGGGCACCTTGCCTGAAGTTGACAAGCCCTTGTAAGTGAAGCATACCATGAATTCACTGTAGTTTCCGTTGCTGTTACTCGTCCCAAACTCTTGTTGGAGCATTCCGCGCGAGTTCGTCGCCACGTTACGTGGGAGCACGTGGATTCATTGTGCATCTGCAGAAGCTCGTTCCCCGATTCGTCCTACACAGCCACTCACACAGGCCTGAACGCACTAGCGCATGCCAGAGCATTCTGACAAGGATACGTGTTGGTTCATAGCGCTTCTGCAGAATTTCACTCCTCGACCCACAGGATTGCTGAGGGGGAGAAGCCACAGGGTCTTACGCAGCCCTTTACACATGCCGGAACGCGCTAGCATTCTCTAGCAGTGCTTGCAGCTGTTGTGTGCGCGCAGTAAGAGTGGTTACGCACACCAGATTGCCCTTCACCATAAGCTGCTTCGCATCTAAAACATCATAAACAATATTTATAACTGCAGCAATGCTAAGAAAATAGCATAACCATGCTCCTCCTGGGCTATGAAAATTCTGGACATTATGGATATTCTCTGCAAAGAAGAAATAGTCTCATTATGGATGCTGCAACTATTTATTAATAGCGCAATGACTGTTGGTATGCAGTATACTAATGCTGGCACCTACCATTTGAAATTGCTCGCTTGGAACTCTCCTGTGGATCGTCCTGAGGATCCCATTGATACAGCGAATGTCTAAAAGCAGGGTTGTGGTACAACACCTGCACAAGACATATTTCACAAGCATAAATGTTTGTGTGGACAAGAACAGGAGCTCTTTCATTGAAGCATAACCATGGGCAGTGTTTTCATTCAAATGAACACATCTCCATGGTGTCATAATCCATCCTGTAGCAGAATAGGACGAGAATGCAAGTAAGTAGTTTTTTGGTATTTTTTTTCTTCCTTCAACCATAGTTTCATGCTGCACAGAGTGTTTCAGGACAGAGATCATCATCATCATCAGCCTGACTACGTCCACTGCAGGACAAAGGCCTCTCCCATGTTCCGCCAGTTAACCCGGTCCTGTGCTTGCTGCTGCCAATTTATACCTGCAAACTTCCTAATCTCATCTGCCCACCTAACCTTGTCTCCCCCTAACCCTCTTCCCTTCTCTGGGAATCCAGTTAGTTACCCTTAATGACCAGCGGTTATCCTGTCTACGCGCTACATGCCCGGCCCATGTCCATTTCCTCTTCTTTATTTCAACTACGATATCCTTAACCCCCGTTTGTCACTTAATCCACTCTGCTCTCTTCTTGTCTTTTAAGGTTACACCTACCATTTTTCTTTCCATTGCTCGCTGCGTCGTCCTCAATTTAAGCTGAACCCTCTTTGTAAGTCTCCAGGTTTCTGCTCCGTAGCTAAGTACCGGCAAGATACAGCTGTTATATACCTTACTCTTGAGGGATAGTGGCAATCTACCTGTCATAATTTGAGAGTGTTTGCCGAATGTGCTCCACCCCATTTTTATTCTTCTAGTTACTTCAATCTCATGGTTAGGCTCTGCGGTTATTACCTGCCCTAAGTAGACATAGTCTTTTACAACTTCAAGTGCACTATTACCTATCTCGAAGCGCTGCTCCTTTCCGAGGTTGTTGTACATTACTTTCGTTTTCTGCAGATTAATTTTAAGACCCACCTTTCTGCTCTCCTTGTCTAACTCCGTAATCATGAGTTGCAATTCGTCCCCTGAGTTACTCAGCAATGCAATGTCATCGGCGAAGCGCAGGTTACTAAGGTATTTTTCATAAACTCTTATCCCTAACTGTTCCCATTCTAGGCTTCTGAAAACCTCCTGTAAGCACGCGGTAAATAGCATCGGGGAGATTGTGTCCCCCTGCCTTACAGCCTTCTTGATTGGTATTCTGTTGCTTTTTTCATGAAGCACTATGGTAGCAGTGGATCCCCTGTAGATTTCTTCTAGAATGTTTATATATACTTCATATACGCCCTGATTCCGCAGTGTCTGCATGACGGCTGATATTTTACTGAATCAAACGCCTTCTCGTAATCTATGAAGGCTATGTATAGTGGTTGGTTATACTCTGAGCATTTCTCTATTACCTGATTGATAGTATGAATGTGGTCAATTGCTGAGTAGCCTGTTCGAAATCCTGCTTGTTCCTTTGGTTGACTGAATTCTAATGTTTTCTTTACTCTGTTAGCAATTACCTTTGTAAATAGCTTGTATACTACAGAGAGCAAGCTGATCGGCCTATAATTCTTCAAGTCCTTGTCACCTCCTTTCTTATGTATTAAGATGATGTTACAGGACAGAGATGGTATCACTCAATGTGTGTTTGAGAGGTACTTCCAAGCTGTGCATGCTGCTCCACAACCAGTGCATATGATGCACAAAAGCCAATTTAATCAAGCCAAGGAAGGCATAGGATACTTTATTCCTAGATTATCATTGTGGTGCGATAATTATGACATAAGTGGAAAGGAATTAAAGTGAACGATAGAAGCATCTTGAAACCTGTGAAAAATGCATTCAAATCCCCCCCCCCCCATTGATCTAAATACACAGAGCATCAGGTGATTTATGTCATAATTATTATGCAACAGAACCTTGAAATAATGCCTTCCTTGGCTGCATTGGGTTGTGTCTAAGAAAGAAATGAGCTCTTGACACATTCCCCTTCTTTCTTCATAGAAGTCGGTCTGGGAGTTGTCACTCCTACAATACACTGATGGCTTCTTCATGTAGATGAGGATATGATATCACTCAAACCATTTCACAGTGAAGAGAGAAGAAGTGCTACACTTTCGAGGCACAATGATCCCCACATTATTCGAATGCCAAAGCTGCCTCTTTGCGAATTGCTACACACAGTGATGAGGCATTTCGGAAGTACTCCCTTAGCTTGCTTTTTTTTTTAAAAAGTTGTATCCTCCTCCTCCTCCTTTAGCTTTTAATCATTCTTTGGTTGGTGCTGAGAATTTCCTCAGGCTACCCCTAGCCTTTCCGCATATGTATTCATGGAGGAGATCAACTGTATTTACACACAGAACTTCGATTCATTGAGACCACGAATAAGGTGCTCAAGTGCTCATCCTAACGCAAAGCTCCAATTTTTTGGCAGTGTCCACCTTGGAAACTAATACACAGTCTCTTGCTTTCTTTCTTTCGAAAGCAAAGTGAAACGCTTCAGCGATGCAAATGTTTTGGTGCGACATGTACACATCATTTGATGCTCAACTTCATTGTAACATTGTCCAAAGGCACTTGCATGCATATGGCAATGATTTAACCATACATATCACAGAAAATTCTGAAAGAAATACTAAGCTCACATTACTCTCTACTTTTGAATTTCCTCATGCTTCTTCATCTGCCTTAATTCACATCAATTAACATGAGATTTACTATGCTACAGTCAAAAACAACAAATCATGTCCCCTATGCTTTTCTTGGAACAATCGTCTGCTGAATTAATTTCGTTACCCTAAGCTACCTGTTGCGCATAGTTATGTCCCATCTACAACTACGCAGGTTTCACCGAACACTGAGTCAGTTCTCCATGTGTTGTGAAGTAGGAATAACCATCCCTTAATACTTGAGTAATATTCGAGGTACACTAGTAAAGTAACACAAACAGAACCTTAGAATGAAGAAATTTTGGGTAAGTTTGCACCGCGTGTACTAAAAAAGCGATGTTCCTGTTTGCTTTTTTTTTTTTTTGCAATGTGCTTACAATAGTTTCGAGCCCCTGTTCGAATACTTAAACACATTCTCTATATGAACAGGAGGGAGACTGACTGAATTTTCACACTGCCGTTTTCCTGAATGGGAAAGCGAATGCGCTCCGTATCACAGAAATTACCTTTAAACTGACGGAATAATGCATCAAGGCAAAACGTAATTGTTTCCACATGATTTCAACGTACAGACCTGGAGAAAGCTGTTTAGGTAGCAGGTTGCGCCAAGGTTCTTGAGGCCGACAAAGCCGCCCTACAAAACAAACGAACATTTGCATGTAACAAACCTTTCGGATTTATCGAATTTCAAACGTGAGTCTACACTGCAGTTCACTGTACCTCAGGCCTCCTCTCCGCATTGGGGTCACCCACATCATGCCAGGCACTGTCTTTTAGTTCTTGAAACCAATTCCGTTCTCCAAGTCCCGATAAGCAACGGGGATTACCTGAACAGTTTCGCCTTCAAGAAAACAAGTGATATATACACAGATTACAACTCTAGATTGAAACAATGATAACAGTGCAATGATTATAACAAATGTGAGAAGCAGCTGGTTTCAGCTACAAGTCGATGTCGAACTCGGCAACTAATAGGTGAAATAATGCTCGATCTGTGGTCAATGCCTGCGTTGAAACAAAAGCAAACCGGTGTCACGCCGGCGTTCCGTGAGTGAGAATCGAACCCGACGGCACCATACGAAGGGTACACGGGTTTGGAAGGCCACACTTTGTCATTGCACGTTCTCGGAGGCAGGGTCGCGTTTTCTGCAAACGATCAAGATGTCGAGCGCAGCAGGCTTCGTCACACACGCACACATGGCAACTACGAGCGCGTTTCCCGCTTATTTTGCAGCATTGGGACACCGAGTTACACAGCGCGCGCTTCGGCTTGCTCGGCACCTGGAGCCGGCGATGAACACACCACCAAACCTGATGAACAGCGCCCGCACTTACCTGCAGGTGTTCGCCGAGCAAGAACCACATCTAACCCGGTACGCAGCTTCGATGTGATCTTGTTTGACATCGGCTGGTTCCACTATTTCGGTCCATTGCCACGCTATTTTATCCAGCTGCAGCTTCGAAGGCATGACGACATCAATCTTCAACGAACCATGGTACCTTCATCAGTTGTCACACTGTGAAAGGCAGGTAGCAAAATTGTTCCGAATACGAGCCACCGCACAGTGCAAGATATAAGGCATCGTTTCGGATAGCCCGACACACGCTGGATACACGGTGCACTACCACAGTATAACAGTCAGTTTAGCTGGCAATCAGTACTCCGCAAAGCGCACCTGACACATCACACCACTATAAGACCGCCGAGGCATTTTTCGAAGTGAACTAAACAAACAGCGCGGCGATCGGCAACATCCAGTGCTGAGGTGAAGCGTCATTTAAGGAGCAGGAAGTGCAGCAGCCCGTCAGGCCTCAGATGCAGGAAGCGGAAGTTACGCATCCACATGGTCGTCTGCTCTTAGCAAATGGCGCGTTTTTCGCATGCCTCATCTCGCCTTGAGGGCGGTGACTACATAAACAAAATATTTGTTTACGAAAGAACGCGTTGCGAGCTCCTGGGCCACCATGCGCTCTATTAATAAACCCCGGTTCCACAAAGCGCCATTTTCTAGCATCCTAAACTACTCTCGTGAAGTGGTATGCCACCGATTTCATGATACAAGCTTTACACGACTTCTTCCTCTTTTTTGGCGCATTCGATTCGGAACACATGCTCCTTGTGCACGCAGTGCGCGTGGCACACCTGTGTGTATACGAGAAGCACTGCCCACGCAATCGTCCTCATCGTCTACAGATTGCTCAGTGTGTTGCTTTCAGATCGCGATCGAACGATCACTTCAAAAGACAACAGGTGAACGCGCCGGAGCGTGTGTTGCAACTGCCCGCGCTCGGAATGGCGCACAGCAAACAACTGTCGCCCGAAGAGATTGCAGACATAAAGGGCGCCTTCCTGCTATTCGACCGCAACGGCGACGGCGTCATTTCGTGCGCAGAGCTCGAGATGGTGCTGCATGCTCTCGGAGAAAGCCCCAGCGCCGACGAGATGGCGCGCATCGTGCGCCAGGTGGACCGCAACTTCAACGGGAGCATCGACTTCCAAGAGTTTCTGGCCTTCATGGTGCGCAAGATGTCTGTGCGCATCAGCACACGTGCGGATGTCCTCAAAGCGTTTCAGGTCTTTGACAGGGACTCCAATGGATACATCACGAAGACCGAGCTGATACACATCTTCACTAAAGTACGCGCACTTACGCCGAAAATCAGTGTTGTGTGTCAGCCAAATGTTATCGCTTGCCTCTAATATATTTAAACTAGATGGTGGAATGCATATTTAAATATGCATGCAACCGTTGACCATGCATGGTCGACATTTATTATAAGGAACAAGATTTTCTTGTTTAATGAATCTTGCATTCGGTTCAATAGAAAATGGCTTACTTACAATGCAGACCAGTACACCTATGCTCCTCACCAAAGCCTAATGTTAACCAGTATGGCTCAAGATATATGAAGGCAGAATGGTTCATCAGCTTGGAATTCGAGCTAACTGAAAGTCATGACACAACTCGGAAGAACAGTACCCAATAATGTTACAGCAATACAAACTGGTCAAAAAGGCACCCCTTCATCCATTTAAAACCATAAACTTTTGCTGAAATCTCTAATAAAAGTTTTCGAATATTACAAAATAGTCTGCAGCCTTAGATTTTTTATTGAGATTTACATGGCTTAATTGGCACTTTATACATAAGGAGGTTAATATAGCATTATCAGCGAAGCCCCCAATAGCTGACCCTGGCAAGTCTAAAATATCTCACCTGTATGCATCGAAGGTTGCAAGTTTAGCCCCTGCTGGTGACAAGCTATATTTTCGTCCTGTTCTACCATAATTACAAGCCTCCCGTATACTTTTCTTGACATAATTGTCTGTGTTATCTTTAATGTACTGTATGTACCAAGTAACTTGACCTTCATGCAGTAATCATTCAGGGATGTATTCCAGTCAGCACAACAGGTGCAGTGAAAGGGAGCATTATTGGTGTTCAGGAAATTATCGCAACTATCAACAATGTGTATGTACAACTTGCTAATGAATATTAAGTATTAGCTAATTCTCTTACTGACACTTAATTTCTACTTTTCTAATTTACATTCAAAATTTAAGACAATGTTAGGATCACGAGTACAACTCTGGTATCGTAGTTTTTATTGTGGTCACAATTTACACTTAACTTTTCTACCTCTAAGCCTACCCCCCTTAAAAAATAATAAAGCTTTCTGAACTAAACTTTTCATGGTATATGCTCTTGACTAGGCAATTAATGGTATGTGAAAAAAACAAAAGCATAACATAGGTCGAATTTATCTTCAAAAGCAGGCCTTTGAAATCTAAGCGTGCTTCTTGACTGGCTACATGGACAAGCAGCAGGGTATGTATAAAATATACAGAGCCTTTGTTTCTTTATGATTCGAAGTGGAAGGCTAATATGAACATTAATAGTTTTAGAATGAACGTGCACATTAAACTGCTGAGGTTCTTCTGTAGAATCCTTTACAAGTGAGGTAATCACTCAAGTTCACTTCGAAGATCTTTTTTCTTTTTTTTTTTTTCAGGTTGGGCAGAGTATGACCCTTGAAGAAGCTGAAAAAGTTATAGCAGAAGTGGATGCCGACAAGGATGGTCGCATCGACTATGCGGAATTTCTCAACAAGGTGATCAACAGAATGCCTTGATTTAGAAGCTGCCAGACAGCGATTCAAAGGCCTCATTTGCACCTTCCTTGTTCCACCATTACTACCCACAGCAACTTCATGTGACCATAGCGCACATGGCGACAAAAACATTTTCTTAAATACTTTACACATTTGTACCGGTGCTCTCATGCTATGAACAAGTTCTACATACTCCATTCCAAGCAGAATATGGTCAAGTCATTAAGAAAAAGGTTATTTCGCATTTACCTTTCTCTTCAAACTCTTAATTTAATGCACATGCAAGTACTTGTAGAAGGTGTAGAGGACCAAAAATTTTTGGCCTTCCTGTAATATTAGCTGTCTTCATCTAGCTACACAATCTGCAATAAATGCTTAATTATTTACGGATTGTGTATTTTGCCCATATTTTACAGCAGCTTGCTGTGCAGTCAATCATTTTATAAATGGCTGGCTTTCAGTTGCTTGTGTTCCGGTCTCACATTTTCATGCATAATTGACTTTCGTGCTGTTGCATTGGACTGCATAAAAAGCTGAGCTTAAGATTGAACAAGTACACAGTAAAGGAGCTCCCACATAAAATATCTGTTTGAAATACATGTGGAAGGGTCAGAAAAGCAAACAAATGTGAAATTATTTTGCTGAAAATATTGCAACAAGCGGAGCCTCAGCGAGACCTCTAAGGCTATCTGGTGCCTATAAGAGAACTCTCAAAAGTGACATCGTGGGACTTGCGTCATAGCCATTTACTTCATGCTCTTCGGATATCGCATTTATAAAAAGACCGGCTGCGTGGTTTTGCAGGTTTGCTTCAGTTGTACAAACAAGCCATTCCAGCTAACACTAGCCAGCGTTCAAAAACATGTCAATGCATTCTATGATGTGACCAAGTGCACGTTACTAAATATTGCATGAAATAAGTCGCATATATTTCTTGTGTGCTGCTTAACTATGAAGATTAATAAGTTTTTGAAGCAATATAAAGCTAGGCTAAAAATTTCAATGACAGATCAGTTTACAAAACATACCATTAAACTGTTTCTAAGTTCCTATAAGTTAAGTATTAGTACATTTCCACTAACCACAGATGCCCACAAAATACAAAAAAGTAATTCGTGTTCCATAGCATTCAGCTGAGTGTGTTGCCGCTTAAAAGAAGACAGGGCTGCGAATATGGTGGTGGCTTGCGATGATGTGCCTGTAGTCTGCAGCCACAAGAAAGGGATAACAGCTGCACCTGCTTATCACTGTTATGAACAGCCATTAAGGGAAGCAAAGCATTTGAACATAAAATGTTACAAAACACATCAGTCGTGGCGCACAAGCATGCATGTCGCGCATCATATTTTAGCAATTCACAGGCTCCTTTAGCAAGTGGAAAAACACTAATACTAATTAAAGAGGAACTTAAAAGCTGCTTAACAAGATATATTGCAAGCTAATATACAGTGGTCTTATTGAAATATTTTGTCCGACTTCATGGCTTCAAAAGTTAATTAATCTTGGCTAACAAGTAATTAAGCAGAACACAAAAATGTCACGACTTGCTCGATGCGATACTCTGCAACATGCATTAGCCGAGGTGTTGTAAGGTGGGTCAAATTCGTTTAAGATGACCTTCAGATTAACTAAATAGTAGTTTTAACATTTCAGTGCATGGAACTTTCAAAATAAGTTGGGGTGTGCAAATACTAAAAATTTCATATTATTATTCGAATAGCATTTATTTGATTTGGTGCTTGTATTATGCATACTATTAGAAATATAAAATGCTTTTTTAATAATAACCACTGACGAAAAGCCTCAAATGAAGAAAACAATGAAACAGACAGAAGCAACAGTTTTTATTTTAATTACCAAATTACCCAGAAACAAGCACTTAAGTTAATGCAGAAACATGGGTACTATATTCATTATACAATGCAGGTGTTTCTGCTTGAAACTCTAGTGTCCCCGAAGTGAGTCATTAATGCATTGTATTCAAATTGACATTTACAACGATGTTGACTCATAGATATTGTTTAATATTTATGTAAGCCATTGACAAAGTGCCACTTTGAATACTATAGTCACACCTGTATTTCAACTGGCAATCGGAAAATATTAAAGGCAATTACGAAATTGCATAAGTTTCAGTTGCTGCCTTATATAAGTTTGCCTAAAAAGTAATGGCAGTGTTCCTTTCGTAAAGCTAGTGATTCAAATAAAGTGTTGTGAAATTCTTTGTTTCTAACGTGGTTACACTGCCATTCTAGGGCTGCTTTGAAAATAGTTGTCTAATTATTCAGAAGCTACTGGAATAGCCGTAGACACATATTCAATTTGGCATCATTGTTATCCAATTCATATTCAATTAAATTCTAAAATTCACTATTTACACACTCCTGGATAGAAGGAAATTATGTTCACTCTGCATTTGACTTACAAGGCAACGTGAAGCTTTTTCAGCCACAGCAACTGCATGTTGTGAGGGGCGAAATGCCAGAACGCCTCTGTGCTTAGATTAGGTGCATGTTAAAGGTGCCCTGGAACACTTTCGGAGCATGGTCAGAAAACGCTGCAGATCGGTAGTAGAGGCCCCACGAGAACACGCGAGCTAATTATTATAGCGCAGCACACAGCCTGGATTTCACAATACATTATCAAAGTCAGCTAAAAGTTGCTTTCTCTTCTCTCCACAAATGACAGAAGACACCCAAAAATCACTCGTAGAAGGCCATCTATCAGGCATTGGCCGATTTGAACATGATGTGCACGGTCGTTACGAAGATCGCGGCGACTTGTCCCTGCGTGCTCGCGCGATCACACTGAAAAAGCCACGTCTCCGAAAAAAAAAAAAGAAAAAAAAAGATGGTCAAGGTCACCAGGCGCACGTGACGTACTTTCTTTGTCCTTGCTATCCCTCCCTGCTTAGCTTCCAGCGCTTTTGCCGGGACGAGAGGAGACAGAATGCGACTGCAGCGTGTGACAAATATTGAAACTGCACTCATACTGGATAGATTGTTAAAATTTTTGTGGCGTTGAATTCGTGACGCAATAAGCTCTTTCAGTGAATTCATTCCATGGTTACTTGAAAAAGTGTTTCAGGGGCCCTTAAGGAATCTCATGTCGTTTATAGTTAATCTAGTGTTTGCCACCACGGTCTGCCCCATAATTGTATGGTGTTTTTTTGCATTAAAACCTAATTAAGTATTATAGAGAAAATTTCTATGGTGGGCGTGTTACCCTGTAATGTGCTTTATCATGGAGCAATGTGCCTTAAACAGATTGAGGGAGAGTGTTCAAGAAAAATTGTCGAGGTCCAAAAGGTATTGCTCTGGATGTTAACTGTTGCGTGAATGAGACATGCTATGAATCGAATAAACACCACGATTATGCCATTTGAATCACTGGCACATTTACATTCAAATTTTGCTGAGACAAAGCATTTTGTGGATGTTTGTTTGACAGCAAGTTTAGGAACACTACATGCTTATTTATAAATTTGATGTGCATATCATCTCGACTCGATATGCAGATTCTAGTAGCATAGTGAGAGTGGCACCATCTGTCACAGCTTTGCACAAAATACAGTGTTCACTGTAGCTATGGTGGGTGGCACCACTGTATCTTTACAACAAAGAATAACAAATTTTGCGTGGCCTTTCCTCGGATGACAAACATGGGTGTAATGCCTGCAAAAGTTGTACTACTGAACAGTGCTGACGTTGCATGAAATTTCAGTTTTAATGAGCAAGCAGTTTAGCTGGAAGAGTCATGTGTACCCCAGATGTATATTTATGAAGTTTTCTACAGACTTACATCCCTTGTGGTCCAGCAAGTTCACCTGCAAACGTTCTGAATGTCACTGACGTGATTTGGTTTTTCATTGCAGGTGATGCCAGAAGAGAAGGAGGAAGGTGGCTTCAGTAAAAAACAACACAAATGAAAGTAGCTTTATAGCCCTCCCCCCACAGCTGCATCAGAGTGGGCCGGTCATCGCTTGGGCCACTTGGCAACAGGCTCGCCACTGCTGCTTCCAAATGTGCGGCTCTTGACCTGCTGTCTTCTTCGCTTCCTCTTTCCTGCCTGCATGCAGAAAAGACCAACTCGCAGCTGCTGCTTGCACTGTGCACCACTCACATAATGGGTGCAGTCATGCACAAATACATTGCGGACAAAGAATTGCAAAGTCGCATAGGATTTCACTGGCAATAAATCTGAGAGCACTGTCTTGCACCGAGAAAGATGTGGTTGCCAAAAATGACCTAGGTCTCAAATTAAGTGGGCAAGCCAAAATCATATTTACGTCAGGTTTGCTGGTGGTAACAGCCCTGAACATTTTAGTAAAGCATAACTTGTTCATACTTAAGGGGGCAGACTGGTCTTTGGGACCAAAAAGTGACAAAAAAAATCATTTTTTAAAATTGACATATTTGGTTTCTGCAAGTATTTTTCTATCTCTCTGCAAATTTTCACACACCAGGAAGTGGTAATTTTTTGTAATATCATTCTAACCGTCCAGATTCTTGGTGCTGTTAACATGCAGAACCTGCAAAAAAATGGGAAACCGACTTCAAGGCTTCTTTATAATTTTGCTGCGACTTATGTTAGAAGCTCTGCTTTGAATTTATGAGCACCTTTATGAGGATTGTAAAACATGCGCCACATGATTGTTGCTTTTTGAGGAAGCTGTGTGTTTTCAGTTTTTTTTTTCCATTTTTCTCAAAAAAATAAGTTTACGACTGTTCAATTTTGAGGCCTCAATATCTCTACAGCTAGGGCAGCTACAACAATATTCTTTTTGCAATGAAAACCTGTATGGGTGTAAAATGCAAGTATGGGAACAGAATTTAGAGCACAAACCTTTTTGATTAATTACTCATCGAAATTGTAACACAATTCCAACTGCTTCTGAAAATAGATAGTTCATTTTGCTGTAAAATAACTTAGAAAGGCCCAAAAACAAAAGAACTCTTGCATACTTTCAATTTTTAGTCTTTAGTCTATGTTGGAATATCTTAAATATCACTTTTAATTAAGCACTTTTTTCTCTGGCAGCCTTAAACAACAAGGGGTAAACTTAAGTTTCAGGTCTCAGGAACAAGATGAGTGACAGAAAAACTAATTAAACATTTAAAATCAGCAGAAAAAACTGCTGCATAGTCCAGTGCAGTTTGATCAAGATCACTGAAGAAATAAACAAAAAATGTCTAAGACCAGTCTGCCCCCTTAATTTGTCAATAACTGTACACCAAAAGCATTGTACGCACCTTCATGTCATTGGGACCCTCAGGGTTGTAGCTCCAAGGCTGATTTTTCTGCTCTTTGGGTGCTGAAAGAATAAACGGGTCCCATATGCATTTAAATTTGTGTCAACATAAGCCAATGATTATGACAAAAATGTGTATACAGTCGAGCCCGCTTACGACGAACCTGAGCCTGACGTGGCATCCGTTCACTCTATCCCGAAGTTCGTAGTAAATGAAACACAGCCTTTAAAAAAACGTTGCGAGTGAGAACACAAACTTTTTTTGCACCCCAAAAGTCCGTGATGCACGTATTTCGAAGAGCAGAAGTGATAAGGGCGGTCTCGAGTTTATTTAAAACGGCAGGGTGCTCGTTCGCTGAAGCCCATTGCATAAGCTAGATGAGGCACTGGCACCAAAGTTTCGTCATTCTCGCAATCCGATTCCTACAAATCGCTCTCGCCACGTACTTCATTCACAATGCCTCAATTCGTGCACGGTTCCGCAGTGTCGGCATCATCATCGACCGTAATTAAACCATCGCAACAGATGTCCCACCCGCACTCCCAGGTCGGAGTCGACGACGCGCTGCCACAAATCGCCGCCGCAGTTCGGAAGCTTCAGGCTCTGTATCGGGCCCGACGTCAACGAAGTTGGCCTCGCGAAAACAGTTTCGCCCGCATGTAGTCCTCACCGCCGCCCACGAAATATTCACCATCTCCACAGCTGAATAACGGGACGCCCGAAGCGGCAAGTTGGCTGCCAGGTGGTCAACAGCTATGAGCAAGGGCTCCGCAACGCGGCACCTAACGCGCGGATTACGCTCAAGCCAAGCAGTCACACTTTCGACATTTTGTTGAGAGGCAGGAAAAAGCGTGCTAGTCCTCCCGTCGGCCATCATGACTACACAAGCACACTAAGAGCTAGCAAGACATGCACACGCGACACACAAGCTAGAACGCGTAGAACAGCTCTGGGCCCGTTTCGAGTCAGAAAACAAAACTAATTCGAGCCAGCGTGGCGGGCGTCACGGAGCGGTGGAGACAGGCGAAGGGGTTGTGATCAAGAGAGGAGAGCAGACTTGCGAGAGGAGGACAAGGAGTTGCAATAAAGAGAGGAGACGATGCGGCGGGAGGCCGACCTTGAAAATCAAAACACACGGGAAGGAGGCAGGTTGGGTAGCTTGCTTGAAAGGTCCGCGAAACTCGCGCATAGAAAAAGTTGGAAAGAGTGCCTGCGCACGCAAAAGGTAAAGCACTGTCGCCTGGATCGGTGCGCGCGGCAGTGTTCGAAGAATCGGCGGCCGTGGTCAAAAAATCGTTTTGTTGCGTTAGCAGGTTTGCATGGCCTCACGAACTTTGATATTTCGTGATTCGTTGTGTGTAAATTAACAGTCGTTTTAGCGCTTCCACACGCGCGTGGAAGGCATACTGAGTTGAGTGTGAAGTGAACGAGAACAAGTCCTAAACACGAAATGAATCGCAAATTATCGAGTCGGTGGGGTAGCGTGCGTGCACTAGACACAGACAATCGGATACAGTCACAATCGCTGGCCGACGATGTTGGCAAATGGTCTGGTCACTCCAGGCCGGCGACGCCAACGACAGTACCAGCGATCGAAAACAGGGTAGATGGCCGACCGGTCTTCGAAAGATCGGTGCCAGTGTAAAAACAGAGGCCTCGTCTAGCGATGAGGGGTGCTCAGAGTAGCGGGGGGACAAAGGACGGAGGGGTGTGTAACAAAAAGCAGTCGGGGCACAGAGGAAGGAAACAACTTTCCTTCCTCCATGGGTGGGGAGAGCGGCAACCAGAGGGTCGCGGAGGCAGGGTCGGCGTTTAACAAAAAGAATGTATGGGCACCTCGCCGATGCCTGATCCGTGGTCGAAATTGGTTTCCCAGGAAGTCGGCAGACCGCTGACTCCGTTCGCTGTGACCGATCAGTGGCGCTCGGAGAGGTTCGTTGTAAGTGCGATTTCGTGCCATTGAACCAATGTATATTTTCACGGTCACGCGGATATTGTTCATTTTAAGCGAAAGTTCATTTTAAGTGGGGCCGTTACCGTAATTACTCGAATCTAACGTGCACCTTTTTTCCAGTTAAGCGAGTTTATAAATCGCATGCGCGTAAGAATCGAGTACGAAAAAAAAAAATGAATACGGTTATTCTACAGTAAAAGCTCGTTAATTCGACACCCGTTAATTCGGATAATTCGGACTGCTCTATTGGTCCCGGCCAAAGTGCATGTTATTCTGTGGGACCAAACCTTCGTTATTTCATCGGAATTCGGCTCCGCATCGCTTAATTCGGACAAATGCTGACGGCTGCTGCTACACAAAAGTGTGATAAAGCAGCGCTGGCACGACTGGAGTGAAACCGAAACCTGAGTGACATTGCCATCATCATCAAATAGTGGGGGCGATCGCAGCGTCACCGAACGTCGGCGTCTTCTTTCTTCTCCACTCAGCGCCTCCGACGCCATTTTCCCTTGTGTTGTCATGTCAGAACCATCTCTTCTTGCGGAGTTCTCTTTTTCTTCCATTGTGACCGTATTTGCATGCCACCACCATCATGCGCTACAGCGATGGCAACGGCGAAAAAGCGGCAGAACTACGACGCGAAGAACTTGGCGACTAAAGTGGAAATTTCGTAGGCACTGAAGAACGGCGAATCGCGACAGCAGGTTATGACCAAGTACAACGTGAAGCGGAGCACGTTGGGAACGTACGTGAAAAATGAACAACAGATTCGACAAACCTTCGAAAGCGAGAAGTTTCATGCCTCTAGAAAGCGGTTGCAAACCGCAGCTCATCCCCAGCTCGAAGAAGCTTTGCTTTGGTGGATTACTGACTGTCGCAACGCGCATCTGCCTTTGAGCGGACCTCTCATCATGGCGCAAGGTGAGAAGTACGCTGCAATGATGAGCATTGAATCGTTCAGAGCGTCAGAAGGGTGGTTTGCGAGGTTTCGAGAGAGACACGAACTTGTCTTCAGGAGTGTGTGCGGCGAAAAGGCCAGTATTGACGAAAGCGTGACCACCGAGTGGAGAAATGGGAAGCTGCTGGAGCACATGGCCGCATATGAACCACATGGCGTGTTCAATGCAGATGAAACTGCTCTATTTTTCAGAGCTTTGCCCGACAAGACGGTGACTTTCAAAGGGGACGCGTGCATTGGTGGCAAGAAGTGCAAGCAAAGGATAACTGCGCTTCTTGCCGCCAATATGACTGGCACGGAGCGCTTGCTACTACTTGTGGTCGGGAAGGCACTTAAGCCACGTTGTTTTAAGAATGTGAAAAGCCTTCCTGTCGAGTACACAGCGAACAGGAAGGCATGGATGACATCGGACATTTTTCGCGGCTGGCTGCAGCAGTTGGACCGGCACTTCACGTCGAAGGACCGCAAGATAATTATGGTTGTTGACAACTGCAGTGCCCATAACTGTACAGTCGAACTGAAGAGCATCAAAGTAGTTTTTTTTGCCGCCCAGCACTACGTCTGCTCTTCAGCCGATGGACCAGGGTATCATTCACTACGTGAAGTCGAAGTACCGCAAGCACCTGCTAGAGCGAATGATCCTATGCTCAGAAGCTGGAAAGTTATATCAAGTGGACTTACTCAGCGCAGTGCACATCATCGCCCACGTGTGGAAAAACACTCCGCCGCAAGTCATCGCCAACTGTTTTCGGCACAGCGGTTTTGTGAGGCCCGAGCATGCAGCAGTATCTGACGATGGCATCGAGGAGGTGTCAGCTGAGTCCACCGACGATGACTGCCCGACTTTCGATGCTGTCAAGAGATTATTAATGATGTCACGGGTGCCCATGAAGACCACGATTCGGACGAAGAATCATGCGAGGAGGTACAGCCGCGACCTCATCGCACCTCACGGGAAGTCTCGGAGGCGCTGTTAATATTAGAGGACGCTTGCCTGAACACTCCCGACAGCTTGCGTGCTGTTGGCCATTTGGAACAGTTAAGAAAATATGTGATGTCAGCCGGAATCTGCGCGAAAACGCAGACGACAATTACAAAATACTTCAACAAATAAAGGTATGCTTCTGCAGCTTGATTTTAAATGTTGTTTTCCCTGTTCATTCGTTAATTCGGCATTCGGTTAATTCAGACAGTTTTTTCGGTCCCGTGAAATCCGAATTAATGAGCTTTTACTGTATTGCCATCGGCATTTCCAAAATGGCCGCCCCCTACATGCGTCGGCATGGCGCCTCGGCCATTTCTGCCTATGTGTTTTCCATGTGCGGCACTTCGTACGTGTGCTGAGGAGTTCGTAGTCTAGTAGTGCATTAGCATCGATAGAATGGAAGGGCCGACTCCAAAAACTCGTGTGCACCACGATGCCGCTTTTAAAGGAAAAGTCATCGCATGTGCAGAAACGGACGGAAATCGGGCCGCATCGCAATCGTTCAGAGTTCCTGAAACGTGCGTGCGGGACTGGCGGAAACAAAAGCAGAAGATTGTCAACAGCAAAGCTTCACGCAAAGACTTCAGTCGACCACAGCAGGGTCGGTTTCCGCAAATTAAAGAGCTGCTCGGCGAGTATGTGCTTGAGCAGCGAGCGGCACAGCGGCCCGTGACTACAGAACTGCTCCAAGTGTGGGCTACGCAATTAGCCTTAGAAAAAGGTCTAATGTGGAGCCAGTTTAAAGTGAGCAGGTGCTGGCTAACTAACTTTATGAAGAGGAAAGGTTTTTCCCTCCGAAGGGGAACGGGCATATGCGAAAAGTTTTGCGGAGGAGTACAATGAAAAGCTTCACAGTTTTCAAAGATTCGTCCTAAACTTGCGGCACAACAACGGCTACCTGCTTGGGCAAATCGAGAAGGCCGATCAGACGCCTCTTTACTTCGACATGCCTGGCACCAAAACCGCGAGAAGAAGGGGGCGAAGCAAGTTCGCGTGCCGACATCGGTCCACGGTAAAACTACAGTGACAGCAATGCTCTGTTACACGTCAGATGGGCACAAGCTTCGCCCGCACCTCATATTTAAATGGAAGACGCTCTCGAAAGGAGTAGTTTTTTCGAGAGGTGTGATAGTGCGTGTCAGCGAGAAAATGGGTGTGCGTTGCAATCGAGGGTGCAGTAGAATCGAGTAAATATGGTATATGTGGGCTCGACTGTACTGAATAATCAACCAAGTGACAGACATGTATCTGTCAAAGCATAACCACTCCCAGCTTGCCACTGCACCAGTACGTCAGGGGTTGGATCATTTTGAGGCAGAGGACTATGCTGCATGAAGCCGACCCAGGGGGGGACCATGGAAAATTAGGGAGATTTCGCAGACAAAGCGTCAAAAAACTGGTGAATGGACACCAATTGGTAAAACTGGATCAGGAAAGATGTTTGTTTTCAGCATGCATGCTGTAAAGTTGCAATAAAAAGTAGGTTACAAATGAAAATACCACTCTATGTTTAAACTACTACGTCGGCCTTCAGATAGGGGGTGACAAAGGAAAAGGGGGAGGAGGCTGCACCAGGGGGCACACAACTCAACCACAGGGGCCACGGTCTGCAGGTTGCCAGCCCCTGTTTTACGTGATCATGCCACATGTAGGATGAACATCAGTTATGTTCACTGACAGTAAAAAATCTAATCGCATATGCATAAGTTGGCACTCTGGAGAAGAACAAGTCAAGATTCACTCAAAAACAAGGCGAGAAAATGAAATTTATAGGGCGAGAATCAGGGTTGCAGCTTATTTAAAAAACACCAATAACGCTTTATGAAACATACCAAGCAAGTGCTTATATGCACCGTGCAGTCAAATTTTTCAATCTTACTGAAGCGCCAGAATGCAATGTCTAGCGGATAAATACAGCAGTACTGAGACGGTGTCTGTGAAAATGGAACGCGACGCACGCGTCTCCTTCCCTGCACGCGTGGGCGGATAGTGGCTGTGCTACACGAGGTACGCGTGCATGTGTCTGTTTTCTGTGTGCCCTTTACGACCAATGTCAGCAAACTTCGGACAGGGCAGGGCAAGGAACGCAGCTTCCGCTGGTCGGTGTGAGGTTCCCATGAGTTCCTTAAATAAGGTGGAAATCTGATACTAAGATATCGTATGAGGGTCTGTTTATATTTAGGGCAATCTTTTACATGTTATGAAATTGCTGGGATGTGGAAAGTTTGGCTTTTCTTGAATGTAACATGTCGCAAAGCATTGAATTAATTGTACAATAGCCCTGCCCCGGTGGTCTAGTGGCTAAGGTGCTTGGCTGTTGACCCGCAGGTCGCGGGTTCGAATCCCGGCTGCGGCGGCTGCATTTCCGATGGAGGCGGAAATGCTGTAGGCCCGTGTGCTCATATTAGAGTGCACGTTAAAGAGCCCCAGGTGGTCGAAATTTCCGGAGCCCTCCACTACGGCGTCTCTCATAATCATATGGTGGTTTTGGGACGTTAAACCCCACATATCAATCAATTATTTGCACAATATAACTTTCTTGGAATTATATCTTTTCAAAGGGCCTTTACTGATTGAGCATGCAACAAGTGCTTCACTAATCTTCCCTACAAAAGTGAATCAGGCAAACAAACATGATTGGAACTGATGCACAGCGAAGGCAGATTTTTTCTTTGTTTTACTTTCACTGGCTTTTACTTTCACTGCCTGTGTTTCATCTAACTGCAAATGTACGTGAATTTATTTTGTGATAAAAATTAAAAGTGTGAAAAATATATCTCACAACCTGTTCAGTAGAGACAATATCACTGCAGTGACAGAAAGAAGATCAATAGCCAAACATATCTTCAAGCTTTTCCAGATTTTTCCAGAGAAACATTAAGCCAACACTTCCAGATGTTTCATACATAAGACAGAAGCACTTTACCCTCAAAGCATTATAGCGGTACACAACACTTCTTTTTACCTTGAGGAGTATGTGCAGAATAGTCAAAGGGCTTAAAATCAGTTTCTCCTCTGCTGCTGCTCTCGGCTTTTTCATCAGAAGGAATGACCTGAGCGGAGTTGTACGTCTGGCCGTCGGGAAGGAGTCCCACATCAGGTTCCTGCCTCTTTCTCTTTCCACGCTGCCTACGTGGTGTCTTCTGCAAGTGAGCAAAGTCATACAACCACTGCGGGATCTCCACTGCAACAGAGTTCTAAAAAGTAGTATTGATCCTAGCAAATAAGGTTCCAGGCAGGAGGGACAATCCTTGATGTTCTGTTACAAAATGGATTTCACAATTACCTTAGGATGCCGAGGAAACAGTCCGAAAGAAGCCACTGTAGAATGTGCCTCCAGTGAATGCAGAACTACAAGCAACCATCTTTATGAGTAAGCTGTTAGCTGTAACCTGTTTCATGCTTACAAAAAAGTAGGCTTGTGCGAATAGTAAATTTTAGGTTCGAAGCGAATGGTGATTTTGGTCATATGATTTCAAATCGAATTAGAATAGAATATGTGACGTATAAAGAAAAAATAGGCATATTTATCATGACCTAGCTAACCTGCAATATTTTTTTAAACAAGGCATTTAAAGGAAGTCGAAACAGCTTTGAGAAGTAGCAGGATTTAACTTTCAGTAGGATGCAAGTAGTAACCTCTAAAATACATAACATTATTTATTACAGCTAGAATGTATAATATGGCAAAACAAGCTTTTAGGAATAAAAAATTATCGATTTGAGGATATTATGTTGATTAGAGACGCTGCAACAGCTTTTCAAGAAATGCATACACTAAACAGGCTTACTACCTCATGAATTAACCGCCGCGAAAATTTTTAGAATCTGTCCAGTATGAGTGGAGCCGCACCGATTTGACACTTGCTGCAATTGCAATATCTCTCTCGACCCGACGAAAGCGCTTCAAGCAAAGCCAAGAGAGATGGCATAGTGAAATAAAATACTTCACGTGCGTGTCGTGACCTTGAGAACTCTCTCTCTTTTTGCTTTATTTGAATATGTGGCTTTTCAGTGCGATCGTGTATGTACGCGTGGACATGTCGCGGCCACCCACAGTGATCCAAGTAACGACCGAGCGCCCCATGCTCAAATCGACCAATGCTTGGTACAATGGCTGTGACGAGCGATTTTCGACATTGTGGTCTCGTTTGCCGAGAGACGAGAGCAATTTATATATGACTGTTAGAATTTATTGTGCATTTCAGGATACGTGCTGCACTATAAGATTTAGCTCGCAGTCTTCTTGGTAGCCTTGACTACCGATCGGCAGCGTTTTTTGACCATGCTCAAAAAGTGTTGCAGGGCCCCTTTAACTTGAAGTGGGGCTTGGTGGCAAAGCAAATTTCCCCTGGATAGGTGCTTTCACGGTTTAGCACCACTATACTGCAGTAAAACCACTTTTACAAGCGATCACATGCAGTTTAGTATACACTTATTCGTTCATATCGAATACTTCGAAACATTCGATAATTTAAATTCGAATCGAAGCGAATTCGAATACTCTACTATACGTTCGAATATTCGAAACAATGGAATATTCGCACAGGCCTAGAAAAAAGTTGCCTTCTGTTGTACTCACTGCAGCCAACTGTGATTCTAGTAAATAGGGGAAGTTATCGAATACAATCCATTGCTATGTTTGGATTAGCCTGCAATAGTTGAAGATAGGGTACAAATTGTTTTAAGCAAACCACATCCTTCACATTTTATTTTTTTCTTGACTCTTCTTTACTAACTGCAATTGGAAGCAGCAACATTTATCACTATGATCAAAATAACTCTGGCATTGCTCATTCTATAAAATGTTTACTAATCTTATAGCAGTGTACATTTAGTATTAACAGAACATTACGTGTGGAAAAAGAGAAACAGATGTACTAGAAGACAGACACTTTGCTAACAAGTGTTTGCTGCTGCAACACTCACCAAAATTTTGCACACTTTTTGTTCTGCATTTGCATCTTCAGATCAAGCAGGTAGGCATACAATAATTGTGACATACCTCACATTCGCGTGTTTCGTCTTATTTATTTCTGTTACCTTAAAGGCCCCGTTTAGGTGTTTTAGCAGCGCACATTTATTCTTGGGCCTCTGTGATCATGAGAAGCCAACTAGCCCAGCAATCAGTGTTACTGTAATTATTCAATGTGCTCAATATGCAAAATTTCGCAGATGCAGCAGCTACTGTTAGCTGATATTTTTTTTGTTTAGAAAATAGAATCACACATACATATATCAAGTTCAATTTTTAAAATTTATATGCTATTTAAAACACAGATTACTTAGGATTGCATAGGCTTCATTCTGGCAGAACATGTTGCATGCGCACTTTATTGTTAGATGATGTTATAGCCTACTACCGTATTTACTCGCGTGATTCTCGCACTTGCATATTTCTTACACACCCCCATCGCCCAATAAAAATACGATTTTCTTTTCCTTGAGTAATTATCGCAACCCTGAAAATTGCCGCAATAATGTAGTCTGCTTGTTCCAGCCGTTGATGATAATAGCGCACGACATCTGGCGCCATCTCTTAAGCATCAAACATACTATTATTGCAGAGAGATTCAATTCAATCTAAGCAAGCGGAAGCAGCAAGTGCACGTGCGGCATGTTTTGTATGCAGTAAGACGGTAAGTTGGGCCAGTTCTATAGATCCATCTCTTTTGATCCTTCCCTGTCCTGTGTTTTTCTGGTGTTGCGCTGCAAGTAAGTTCACGTGTTTTGTATGCTGTGTCGGTAATCTTGTTACGTTATGGGGAGATACTGAAGCTACACGGCTGCTTTCAAGTTGAAAGTGATTGATCATGCACTAAACAACAGCAACAGGGCCTCCGGTAGGCCCTTCGGAGTCGACGAGTTTTGTGCTCGCTACTGGTGACGGCAGCTGAAAACCCCCAAGACGTTGGGCCTGCCGTGTGCCTAAGACTGGGATTGATGGTAAACTTCATTTCTTCAGAAGGAAACTGCGAACGATTCTGTTTAATAGCCATCAGCTCAATACTAACGTTCTACGCTTACCTTTTGAGGGCTCCTGTTGAGCTACGAATGCTACCGCTACGCCCGCAACGCTCACAAGCTTTGCGTATGCTATTTACTTGCACTTTTTGTGTCTCAAATAAATCTTGCCTTGTGTTGAACCTCGGCTTTTATGTTGAGGTAAGGCTTAATTAGTACTTCTCAAAGCTTGCCGTTAGTTGCTGGTGTGAGAATTCGATTTGTGGTCACTTCACTTTATTTTTCGCTCTGTACGTTTTCGTGAAAAGTTTTCCCCGCTTAATTCTCGCACCCCCTACTTTGTATCGGTTTTCCGCCAAAAAAAAAAAAAACGTGTGAGGATTATGCGAGTAAATATGGTACATTTATTTTACTGACATGCCTAGCTTACTTGAGCAGTGCATGTCGCATTTGAGTGAGGGGTTGAGTTATAAAGCTCGGTCACATAGATAAATTCTGTCCTCTAAAGGCGAGTGCTTCCCTTTGTACTAAATATTTATTTGATACTGTTTAGCATTTCGCATTACTGTTGAAACATGAGTATACACCAACTTGCCTAATTTATTATCCTCCTCAACACTTTCTGTATTGCTGATGAGTACAGATGGCACCAAAAGTTGTAGCAGAGTGAATAGCCAATATAATAAGGAAATGTGCAGCTTACTTCTAATGCAGCTTTGACACATAGAGGTGGTTATTATCAGGTGGTTAGAGGCTTTATACATAGTTTTTTATTATCCTGGGCTACTTGCACCGAGTGCTGGTGCATCAGATATTTAGAATATTTCTGCAAAATTCATAATTTTCATAATTTTCAGCAGCACAGAGGTGGCTAAGCACAGCCCGTTTATTCAGCAAAGAGTTATCGACAAAAACTGCCCAAACATACCCGTGGTGAACGCAGGGGCTCAGTCAAGGCTGCGTCTTCAAACGATGCTGCTTGGATTTCTGCAGGGGCCTCTTCTTCTTCTTCTTCTTGCTTGACTTCTGTGGCTTCACTGATCTTGCCAGGTTCGGCCTTGACTTTAGCCTGAGATGTTCATAACAAGGCAGTAGGCTTGTGCGAGTATTCGAGCACTTCCAATATTTGAATTCAATTCGAAACAAACTTAGGCTATAACAAATTTTGAAGTATTCAATATGAACGAAAAAACATATATAAACTGCATGTGCAACAACCCTGCAAAAAGTGGTTTCACTGCACTAAAATGGTGCTACGCCATGAACACATCTACCCAGGAAAAAGCCACACTGCCACAAACCTTGATTTCAGGGCTAAACTAACGTATTAACTGGACATCGATTCATAATTTTTGAAGTCTTTATAATGGCGTATATTCTTTGAATACAGCAAATATTACAAGGTAACATTGTTTACACTGAAAGGGTATTCCTGCCTCCACTTCCCTTTGAATAAAATGCAATGACATTTGTACATGCCTAGTTTCAACTTGAAAATATCGTGCAAGCTAGCTGGGTCACGAAAAATATGCTCACATTTATTTATAGTATGCAATACATACTACTCGAATTCGATATGAATTATTCGCACAAATCACCATTCATTTGAATAGGCTTTAAGCATAAATTTACCATTTCCACGAGCCTACAGTGCAGTGTTAAAGGGGCGCTGCAACCCTTTTTCAACATGGTCAGCAAATGCCGCCCTTCATTGGTCGAGGCTCCTAAGAACACGCAAGCCTAGCATTGTCGTGCAGCACACAACCTAGAATTTACAGTCAGCTGAAAGTCGTCCTCTTGTCTTCTACAAATGATGCCATATACCCCAATTCATGGCCATTGGCTGACTGGAGTATCGTCAGCTGCATAGCTGCAGTGGCCGCCACAAGGGGTTTACCACGTGCCCGTGCGCTCTCACAATTGCACTGAAAGTAAGCCATGCTTTTGAAGAAAGAAAAACAAAGAGTTCATGTTACGTAACCTCTTTTGCTAGCACCATCTCTCCCTGTTTAGCTTCCAAAGTGCTTGTTACCGTAATTACTCGAATCTAACGCGCACCTTTTTTCCGGTTAAGCGAGTTTATAAATTGCATGCGCGTTAGAATCGAGTACGAACAAAAAAATTACGGTCAATCTATTGCCATCGGCAAATCCAAAATGGCCACCCCTTACGTGCGTCGGCATGGCGCGTCGGCCATTTCTGCCTATGTGTTTCCCATGTGCGGCACTTCGTACATGTGCTGAGGAGTTCGTCATCTAGTAGTGCATTAGCATCGACGGCGTGGAAGGGCCGACTCCAAAAACTCGATAGCACCACGATGCCGCTTTTAAAAGAAAAGTCATGGCGTGTGCAGAAACGGACGGAAATCGGGCCGCATCGCGGTCGTTCGGAGTTCCCGAAACGTGCGTGCGGGACCGGCGGAAACAAAAGGAGAAGATTCTCGACAGCAAAGCTTCACGCAAAGGCTTCAGTGGACCACAGCAGGGTCGGTTTCCGCAAATTAAAGAGCTGCTCGGCAAGTATGTGCTTGAGCAGCGAGCGGCACAGCGGCCCGTGACGACAGAACTGCTCCAAGTGCGGGCTATGCAATTAGTCTTGGAAAAAGGTCTAATGCAGAGCCAGTTTAAAGCGAGCAGGTGCTGGCTAACTAACTTTATTTAGAGGAAAGGCTTTTCCCTCCGAAGGGGAACATGCATATGCGAAAAGTTTTGCGGAGGAGTACGATGAAAAGCTTCACAGTTTTCAGAGGTTTGTCCTAAACTTGCGGCGCAACAACGGCTACCTGCTTGGGCAAATCGGGAATGCCCATCAGACGCCTCTTTACTTCGACATGCCTGGCACCACAACAGTCGAGAAGAAGGGGGCGAAGCAAGTTCGCGTGCTGACATCGGTCCACAGTAAAACTAGCGTGATGTAAAGCTCTGTGACACGTCAGATGGGCACAAGCTTCGCCCGTACCTCATATTTAAATAGAATACGCTCCCGAAAGGAGTAGTTTTTTCGAGTGGTGTGATCGTGCGGGCCGGCGAGAAAAATGGGTGCGCGTTGCAATTGATGTCTTACGTTTTTTTTGTTTTTTTTTTTCGCAGTGGAAATCGGGTGCGCGTTACAATCGAGGGCGCGGTAGAATCGAGTAAATACGGTAAGTCAGAAGAAGGGAGAAAGCAATTAACACTTGTGACAAATCTCATCTCCTGATTGCACTAAGGCAACTCGAACTTCAAATGGCGTTTACTGTACACACTATTTTTCATCAGAAAAGGAACATTCCTTCTGCAACCACTGCAGCTACCAAGTGCAAACTTTTCTGACTTCTTTCTGAATGATATGCACCTTTACTGCTGCAAAAAAACAGTGCTGACACCATAATTATATTTTTTACAAAAGTTTTTCTTCAAGAAAAAAAGCCCTAAAATGTTACTCATCAAGCATCTAACTTTTTTAACTGAAGACAAGTGATACTTTTTTAACTGAAGACAAGTGATGCTTATAATTAATATTTTGGCTCAGAAGAATACCCTGGGCACATGTAATAACCAGAAAAGATTTGAACATTTTCAATGCGAAATCTTTTTCACAAACGTTCCTTCAAAAAATAAAAATAGTAAAAACATTTATTTTTAGTTTTTTTAAAATGGCATGGTATTTTCCTGCCAAGCTCACAGAACATCTAGTAAAATTTCTACTCAGGCAACTTGCAAACTTTCAGCGCAATTTGCTTTAAAAGTCGCAAGCGATGGGCAGTAGTGGTAGCACACCTGTCCTTGCTATACATCACCCCTTAATGAAGCATTTCAATGGTCACTTAGAAATTGGTTGCAGGGCCCTTTAAAAGACACCATTGGAGTTTTACATGCTGCAGTAAATCGAATTTCTGTCTCTCCCTTTCTTCTCTTCCCTCTTTCTCATCTTTTTTTGTTCCCTTCTCTAAACCTCCAATGTAGGGTAGCCAACAGGATGTCTTTCTGGTTAACCACCCTACCTTCTCCCTTTGCCTGCTCCATTACTGCTTCATAGTACTATGATACAGCAGTCGTACTGTGTACGACTATTGCCAATTTATCTTTGACTGTGCCAAATCATGTAAAAAAATAAATAAATAATAAATTCAGCCTCTCACAGTGCGTCTCTCTTTATAACACAACTTGGCCACCACTCTTAGCAGCATCTCTCTCACTAATCAAGTTAACTGAAAAATGATCTATGGAAGTGCACCTTGTCAGTAGTAACTGATTTACTCTAGCTCTCCAGCACCTCTATCGCTCTCTAGCAATTGCATTGAACCAACTAATTCCAACAGCAATTTATGCCCAAGACCACAGAATGATTGTAGCCACACTCACCACACGAGGCTCAGCTGATTCACCAGTTGCCGTCACCACTTCGCTAGCCTCAACTTCTGTGCCATCTCGCTCCACAGCAGCCATATACTGTATAATGACACAAAACATTCGCTCAGATCAACACTATCAAAGCTGTTGCTCTAATTTACCCTGCACTGCTTGTTCTTGCATATAAGAACTTCTCTTGTTATTTCATGCACAATCTACTACAGTGAAACCCCTCTATAAGAGGCACTGATGTAAGGGACAAACGGGCATAGGAGACACCAATATGCCTACAGTAAAATACGGGATAAGAAAATGCATATATTGGGCCCTGCTCATAAGAGACACTTCATAAAAAGACAAGAATTGCTGCCCCGAAGCATTCCTCTTAGAAAGAGGTTCAAGTGTTCTTAGAAGGGCACGGCAGGCAAGAAAAAACGTGAGCCTGACAACATCTTTCACACAAAAAAGGAAAATTAAACATTAGCTGTCTAATAAGTACACACGACGCCAATCCATTCATGTCTCAATGTAGGTCAAAGGGCGCCACTGACAAAAATGTTCAGTTACCTCAATGCTACTCCCACTATCTTCACATTCTTTGCCAGTTCTCCCATGTTACCATGCCACTGCGAATGACAGGTACTCACAAATGTGTGTGATTTTTCAATTCTTGACACCCATCGTGATACTTGAGCATTTGCTATCTGCTCTAAGCATTACAACTACTTCCTAACTCATACTGCTATAATATATTTCTATTGCTTAATGTTACTCCCACCACAATTCTTCAATGCATTTCTCATTCGAAATAAAGCAATTAGAAAACTTCAATAAAAATTGTATTATGAAACCCAACGTTTCAAAGTCAGACTGGCTTCTTCCTCAGGGTATCAGAAAGCCAGGGATGTGCGTCGCTTATATACGCTTGCTCGCCTTGCGTGAGAGGCTCGGTGCGACGAGTAACAAACCCTGGTAGTAGTGGAAGACCGACATTGACGAGGAGGAACTGATGTTCCCCGCCGTATTCAGGATGAACGAATAGATGCACATTAATCTAAGTGTAATCTTTGTTAGGGTGGTTTCACTGCAGTGAAATGGTGCTAAACCGTGAAAAAAACTTGACCGAACGCACGTCAGTTTTTTTGTAAAGGTGGTTTCACTGCAGTGAGAGAGTGCTAAGCCACAAAAACAATTATTGAAAATCAGCACTGCCGCAAAGTCCCACTTAAGGGGGGACGCGGCCCTTGAAAACCGAAAAATCGCAAAAAAGTCGGTTTCTGAAAAACCAAATTTTTGGGTATGTCTCATAAACTACCTATTCTGTAATTATCAGCACCTAATTCAACCGCAAAGTGCAAAAAAAATACTATTTTCGAGGCCGCCGCGGCGTCCAAAACAGGCGCAAATCCCGAAATCAAACCAAACTTCGCGCGCGCGCCATTCCCGGACCATGCGGTTGTCCCGCGCCATCTTGGTGTTGTTTTGACCGTGAATTCTTTCTCTCTCGTTTGCCACCTTGCAAAATGGCGTCGGCAGCACAGTTGAGACGCTATTGGCGTTTTCCCGCGATGTGATGCGGAGCGCTGATTGGCTAGAGCAGCGCATTCATATCTCGCGGGAGAAAGCATGCCCGCCATTGGCTGCTGTGCAGCAGCAGGGGCGGTCGCTCCTCTCGATGGCGCGTCCAGCGCGCTTCGCTTCGTTGTTGCTCTCTGCTCTGTCCGCCTCGACAGACGTCTGCTTACGAGCCGCTCTTCGCCTTGTGCTATCTTTTCGATCACTTTCTCTCGTTTTTTTTTTCTTTTTGCAGTAGTTCTGTGCTTTTCGTCTTTGTTGTTGCGGGCGATGCCGGCAACGAAGCAGAAGTCAGTGCGGAAGTCCGGTGCGCGGAGGTGCGCTATGCGGCTTGTACGATCATCGAAATTCCACTATTCTGCTGCGTGTACTGACTGCGTAGACGCTTGCAGCGACGGAACTGTGTTGTCGGCTGTCGCCAGTCGAGAATCCGACACATCGAGTGTAGCTGGAGCCGCAAATGCACCGAGTGTTTCCGAGATCGCCGGGCTCGACACGTGCTCCGAATCGATGCCATCCAGTGTGACACCGAGTGCTTCTGATATCGCCGGACCCAGCACTTCGTCTGAATCGGTGCCGCCATCGAGCGTGAGTGGACCGTCGCTTCATCTGCGGACGTGTTTCCTAACGAAGGAAGAAGTGACGCCGTTCGCGCTGAACTCGAGTCTACGCCGGCGACGCAGAAGAAATTTCAACTCATGCAGTCGGCTCTTGCACCTGCAGTGACAAGTGAGGGCGAACATTTTTCGCTCGTTCAAATGAACATCTTTAACGTCGTGCTCAGCCGCACAGTGTGCAAAGAATGTTTGAAAGGTGCTATGACTGTCCGAGAGAGCACCAAGCTTGGACTTGCAACAAAACTTGAAGTCGTGTGCGCCTCTTGTGGCACCGTCGATAAATTATGGACATCACCCCGCAAAAAGGACACGCAGGCCTTCGATGTAAATGTCCGCGCCACAATGGCTATAAAGCAAATATGCAAGGGGCAAACAGCTCTTAATGACTTTTGGACTGCCATGAACGTCTCTTACAGAGGTCTTCATCACAAGACGTTTCGAAAGCACTTGAAAGAGATGTTCAGGAAGCCAGAGGCCACCGCTTTGAAGAAGTTTTATGCTGATTCTGCCACAGCAGTGATCAAAACATATAAAGAAATGGACCCCAGCTTCTGCAAGGACTAAAGCCCTCATTGAAAAGCTGACAGGATATTATGGTTGGGCCCTGAGAAACAATTCAACTGACCTAACAGCCATGCAGCGTGCAGTGATGGCAACATATCACCACGTCACATCGACTGACCAGGACCCTCACCATGAACTTTGCCCAGAGGGGGCTCAATCGTGGTGCCGCCATAGAGCTGCAGAGGCAAAGCGTGAGCCACAGCCAAAACATAAACACAGCCTACCGGACTATGTCGCTGCAGCTATGCTGCCCATCTACGAAAGACTGTCACAAAAGTCGCTTCTTCAGCGCTGCCTGGGAGCGAAGACGCAAAATGCATCAGAATCACTCCACTCCATTCTGTGGTCACTGATGCCGAAGGAACAACACTCATCCTTGATCGCGGTAGAAACAGCACTGCATGAAGCAGTGCTGCGCTACAATGCCGGCTGCTGCAAAGCAACCCAAGTGATATCGAACTCCATTGGACTTCAACCAGGTCATCTGGCCATCCAGCGAGCTCGTGAAAAAGACGCTTTACGCCTAAAAAAGAATTCTAAAAGACACCAAGAGGAGATGGAGGCCAGGCAAAAGAAGAAAAGAGTGCGCCAGGACACTTCTAGCTACTGTGCTGGAGCTTTTTGAAGAAAACACGTGTTTTGAACTTTCTCGGCCTGTTTTCTCAGAATGGACAGTTGTGGTGCTGAGGAAAGCAAGAACTCGAAAACCGTTCATCAGATTTGTGTGCCGTTTTTTTTTATTCTGTTCCTGAATGACCTTGCAAGGGCGTAACAAGCTCCTTTTTTTGAAAATTGGTGCTGTTAATTTATAATAAAATCTGGTCATTACTGGTTACATCAAATTCAAAGTTGCGTGAAAATTTTTTTTTGGGGGGGGGGGGGGGGGGGAATTAAAAAAAAAACGGCTTTGTAGCGCCCTGGGATAGCTATCAAGGAATGACCACAATGAATTTCAGCTTTCTACTATGTCCTGGGATTTCTCACGACTCTTCCTCAGGCACCCATGTGAAGCACCCAGTTAAACCTCCATAACTCTGGAACTAAGAAACACAGCTTCGTGAAACTTAGCAGTTGTGCTAGTTTTATTGTAGTGAACAACCCCTGAAAGTTTCATCCAGATATCTTAAAAAATAAAAAAGTTCGGTCTCCAGGGTAGCCTCCCCCCTTAAGTGAATATTTTAACCTCACATCGATTCACCAATTTTACATATAAAAGCTTGTTATACCGGCTTATAGGCCCGAAGTATGGTAAATATTAAAACGTAACATGGTTTACATGTTATCACTTGCATTCCACCAATAGTCAAATCCTACTACTATTTGAAGCTTTTTCTTGAATGAAAAAAAAAATATTTAATTTGCACAGGCTTTGTTTCAATCTAAAAAAAAATATTGATATTGTGCTGCTAGTTGATGAAAAATCTGGCCATTGTTCTGTATAACATGTGATATATATACACATTCAAATTCAATTATAAATTAATTATTCGACCAAAATTGCTACAGTGAAATCTCGGTATAACGAACTTCAGTGGACTGTGGAAATTTGTTCGTTATTTTAAAACGTTGTAGTAAAAGCTCGAAAATTAATCATAAATACTTATTTTTCACCTACCAAAATGACTTACCTTTACAACGGTAGGTCCTTGAACTAGTTTTTCACGAGAAAAAAACAAATGCACAAGTAAACACCAAAAAATGCACGTTTATTTTTAAAATGTCTACGATTTATTATTATCATTTTTTTTGATGCAAGCAGCACAAACATTGCAGCACGAAGGCCTCCAGCTCATCCACATTCCAGTGGTGCGATTCGGTTCTTTGGTCACAACAGCCTGCTTTTTGCCTTTCACTTGCCAAAGAATATCCATTGTCTCGCTTAGCAAAAACTGCTTCCGTTTCTTCGTCGCAAGCATAGATGAACTCATTTGTAGTATCACCACAGCGTGAACGCCGACTTGCTTTTCGGACGCGATAAGTAATCACCGAAAAGAGATGAACACGAGTGAAAAAACAAGGCCTCCAAAGAAAAACCCGAAGCGTCACGGCTGTCATCGCCTCTTTCAAAGCAAAAAAAGTGCTAAAAAGAAAATTCCTCGCGTTTGGTTTTTTGCTCTCTCGCTGTCTCCGGTTTTCAGTGTCCATGCTTTCTGCTCCGCAACTCCCACTCAGCCTCACTGACCTTTCCCTCCCGTGTTGCTCTCGCCTCTGCGCCGCTTGTACACCTGCTGCGTCGGCATTTCAACAAAAAGAAAAAAAAAAAGGAAGTCGCCCTTTCGTTATTTTTCCTCCACACCCTCGCCCGTCTTCCGAGAAGCAAGGCGTCCGTTCACTTTGTCGTCTACTTGCGTACCGCTCCAGTGGTCGCAACAGATTTCAAAACATAAGTTCGTAGTGTTGAGGCATTGTTAATATAACGCGGCAACTAAATTAACACGCGTTATCTTGAAAAGCTTGGTATTCTGAAGTACCTAGTAGTGAAATAATCTTACATTGAAACTATAAGCAGTCAGCGCGAGATTTTTTAAAAGTTCGTTAATGTCGAGTTTGTTTTACCGAGATTTCACTGTATTCGCTTCGAACCTAAATTCACTATTCACACAAAGCTATGTTCAATTCTTGTAATGTGAAAATGCTTGGTAAGTGAGAAAGCCACAAGGAGTAAATGCAGGTAGCATTTACACCATGAAGTTCCTGCCCAAAGTTGCTGTGATGTCTTGGAGTTAAACAGCATTGATTGATTTCATTGATATGTGGGGTTTAACGTGCCCAAAACCACCCTATGATTATGAAAGACACCGTAGTGGAGGGCTCCAGAAATTTTGACCACCTGGCGATCTTTCATGTGCACCCAAATCTGAGCACACGAGCCTACAGCATTTTTGCCTCATCGAAAATGCAGCCGCCACAGCCGTGCTTCGATCCCGCAACCTGTGGGTCTGCAGCTGAGTACCTTAGCCACTAGAACGCCGTGGCGGGGCATTTCGACAGCATCTCCTAAGGCTTACATAGTTAGCAAAAACAAAGTACACTGTCATTTAATGGAGCTATGACTGGAGCTATGGAGCTATGTACTAAGTTGCAGCATATTTTGTTGAGCCAGTGTGGCCTAAGTGCAGAAAAACACTTTGAAATTCTTGACATCAGCGCTGATAATTATGGGCAAAGTTTGGTGCTAAACTTAAAATTGAAACGTGCTATGGTTGACTTTCAAATGACAGTGTTCAAGGATAATACTTTATCAGTCCAAATTGATCCACTATTTCATTTCAGTGTCCCTAAAGGCAATTTGAATCGAGGACTGAAAGCTCATCTTAGCTATGTCACCCAGTGTCATGATTAGAGCAAACACACAACAGAGACTTACTCGCTTGTACGGCAGCACAAAGGTACCACGCCTTGGCTTTGTGTGTGGAATCTGCAATGCCAAATCACATAATAAGCCCAGTAAATATGAAGTCTTTACGCAACTTCTTTTTTGAACAAGCAACACGCAAGACAATGAAGACAAATGTAGAGCCTGTATATCTGTGCTTAGTTTGTAATGACATCATAATGACATCATAATCACTGCATGCTCATGAAGAAAGAACAGACTAGATCAGAGAACAAACAGGCATAACTGATAATCTTGTTACCACTAAGGGGTAACACTGTTTTTAAAGATAATGTTACTGATTTCTTAAAAGTATAAATGCTGCACCTTGGCTGCTATTGCCTCCAAACTTGGCACTGCCTTAGTCAACAGCTGTGAACTTGGCTTTTTTGCAGGCAGAGGTTCAGCGTCTTCATCTGCGCAAAGAAGCAGCACAAGCAACAACCATGACAACTTTCATCACACACATTAGATTACCTATGAATCAATCAATTCTGGACTTTTATGAGCCAAAACCAAGACGCTACTACAATGCACACCACAATGAGGCACACCAGATTATTGTCAACCACCAGGATTGCATCTAAATTCTAAATGCGTAAACGTTTTTTCATATTGTTCCCATCAAAATACTGCCATGATGGACGGGACTTAAATTAATGCTTTTGTGCTTAGCAGCATGAATCCATAGTTGCTATGCTATGGTCTAGCCACAGTAGACCAAATAAATAGTAACTAAAAAAAAACTCCACACCCTCCAAAGCTAACAGTCATACAAATCTTCCTTAAAATTAATAAGTGAGACACTTATTAACAAAATCTGCAATAATGAAAATGCCACTCGTGCTTTTAGGTGCACTTAATGTTTCAATTGGTGATGCCAAAGTGCTGTGGTAAGAAAAGCAAACTAAAATACTATCAAGAAGAGTTATACAGTTTATTCTAATTGCCAATAAGTATTTTCAATACCACGATTAATTTCGACATGGGGGAGTAAGACTTATTGTCCCAAGGAGCAGTCGCCATGTGACAACTTGGCTACAGCCACTAACCTAGTAGAGTGGGCAGCGCCAGAGTGGCATCGTCGTGCTTAGGCCGATCGTGGACGCAATGAAGCACGCTATCCAAGTCAACTTGCACAGCCTCTGGCCACGATGACTGTTCTGGCACTGACCTCTGCAATGTAAGACAAGTAGACTTACGTTAAGCTAATGGCTCCAATTCAGCTCCACCATGGGGCAGAGCATCTGTCTGTCTTTGTCCTGAACATCTTACAGAATCACATTAGTAAAATAGATTTGAGACAGATTTGAAACAAAAACACCTAGGCCTGTGAGGAACATGGAGCACAGTGACAGCGAAAGCTGGAAGAGCAGCCTTTCTAGAACTCATTGTACTCTCTTGGTGCAACTAATACAAGTACACTAGCAAGGTATGCACTACGCCATAAATCACATTCTTGTGAATTAGGGAGGCACCCGCTATGCCATTATTCGTCATCTGTGGATAAGCGAGGTACCCGCTACACATCTGTAAGGCATAATGAGCACTTTGTTGATGCTGTGGCTGATGACAATGAATTGTGACCGAGCCCTTCGTAATGAATTGGAAGCAATAGACGACCCACTCATTACACAATTCGCATTGTGTGATACCTGAATGTTAATTTACTCTTCTAAGAGGCTATATCATACATGTTAACAAGGCTGCTTGTCCAACATAATGCCTTGTACAAGGCCTTTTTGAAAAGGGGCTTCAAGCACTATCGTGGCTTGTAATCGAATACTCAAATGCCATGAAGACAAGCCGGGTTTAAGTCCCAATCAATTCTGGACATATTTTTCCCTCATTTAGCGCAATACTGAGTAAGGTCATTGGCTGAAGGGGTGGACAACTACACCACCAAAAGTGGCGATTGTTGTGACCTCAGAACTGCTCTCAGAGTAAAATCATGAACAATTGTATGACCAGTGCTTTCGACAACTCAACAGCTCTCTAATATCTGGTCACGCAGGCAAACTGAGATTCATTTATAGAATTAAGTTTATAACAGTGTTTGTGACTTTCATGGCAAGCTGCAACATGGGAAAGAAATGTATACCTCAGAAATGATAGTAGTCTTTGGATGAATCCTGTAAGCCCTATTTCCTATTATGCAGTGGCAATGAAGAGCCGTGTTGCAAATACTGTGGAAGTACTGTCAGTGTAGTCATCTATAAGTAAATATTTCCAATAGACACAAAGATTATAAGTCAGGGCTCAAGCTAATATTTAACCCAGCCATTCTGTATGGAAGTCAAGTATTCTATCACGGAGCTATGCCATTGCTTGACTATGCTTCGAAATAAGACCCAATCTCATTATCGTATTGTGGTTTTGGTAAGTGAAACCACAAATGTTATTATCAAGTCTTAAAATGTAGCCTTTTTTTTTTTACATTGAAAGTTGCTATGAGATCACAGCAACGGTCACGACGCCATAGTTGTCCGTCGCCGCCGCCGCCGGTGTTCGTAAACACTATCACTTGAAATAAGAAAATAGAATAAAAACTTAGTAAATAAAAACACCAAGGACACAGCAGGCTTCGAACCCGGGTCCCCAGCGTGCCAGCCCAGTGTTCTACCGCAGAAACTCCATTGCAAACTTGCCATAAGCAGGCTTGATGTCGGGAAAGGAATCAGGTTAATATGAGTAATAAGACATTTTAGAACAGCAAAGGAACAACTAGGGGTCACACAATGCAAATTATGTAACGAGTGGGTCGTCCAATGCTCCAACCCATTAGAAAAGCTTGTTCTTGTTCACCTATTGCCTGCGGTGCATACTCACTTCAGGCATAACTCATCATCGTTGGCCATTGCATAAAAACTTGCACGAAATTCCTTGCAAGGGTCCAGCGAATACCATGCTTCTCCAAACAACAACGAAGGATAGCATAGTGAACGCCAGCGTACTACCCAGAAATTATGATTATTAATGGTGTAGTGGGTATCCCACAAGTGTGCTTAAATTGGTTACCCAAAGAGTGTTTACCCAAAGAGAAAGGCTCTGAAAGGCCACTCTTTCAGCTTTTGCTGTGACTGTTTTGCACGTCCTGCGCAGACCTGGCGATTTTTCGGCAAGCCAGTACAAAGAAGAAAAAAATGATAACACACTAATCAAAAGAATTTCTTCCTCCTTGTGCAACAAGTGGCCGATTAGTAAGAAAAGAAGAATATTTACAATCGTGCAGTCTTCTTTCACACTAACGCCAGTTCTTTTAACCTTTTCATAACGATTTATTCTGTGGCGAATATCCTACACTGAATGTCAACCATGGTTGCTTAGGCCAACAACATACACAAGGCACATCATCAAGGTAGCTGGATTGCTTTTTCTTACAACCTGCCCACAGAACTAGATAAAAGCCAATCAATAAAACAAGCTTGCCAATAGTCAAGTTTTATACTGTGAAGACTAATTCCTGTAAAAACCAACTGGCAATTTAACAGCAGTCTAGCAGTGCTGTTGAATTGTTGTGCAATCATGTTGTGCAATCACTGTTGTGCAATCATGCATTGGTCAAGCAATCAATGTGCTGGTCCTCATTTCTTTCTAACAAAGTAGCGTTTATTGCTGCCCCAGTACAGCAAAATCCCCAATATGCATGAGCATAGAACCCGCTCAGTCCTTGTCCTATAAAAAAATTGTTTTCAGCACTTCTATACATATGCTAAGATTGATTTCTTGCAGTCATAAACTTAAAGAAGAATACAGACAGCACTGCCCAGAATAAACTATTATGACCACAGAAGAATACAGTTTGACATTATGTCTGCAGTTACAGCGCGCACGACTGCGCACTTGAAATTAAAACAGGAGACATAAGATGATAGTTTCTTTCTGTTTCCTTTCTTCGGTGGTGTTCTCAATGGCACCTTAGCAGCAAGTGCTATATTTTTTTTTTGTGCTTTGACTGCCACGTCAGTGCACTGAAAATGGTCATGTAGACAGCATTGCCATTCTGATGACTGGACCACTACGCTACCAGCCTTAGCACTGACTTAGTCCGTTCGGTTAGAGGACTGCGATGAACTTTTGTCGCGCCGTTTTCTAGCAGTCTCGGGCGATCCAGGAGGTTCATCTGCAAGCGTTGCACAACTTGTAGCAGTAGCACAAGTGGTAGATTTGGTCGAACCTTGCTGAGGTTGTTCAGAACACTCCTGCATGTGTGGCTGAGTGCATTAGAAAATAGCCGTACAGTTGATCCTGGATATGTCAAACTCCGACATAGTATTGAATTATTGGCTATATCAAACAGTTGAGAAATCCCCTTGAATCTCCCATGCAAAAGTATGGGTCTGTTGCACTAATACATCAAACTCCCACACAGTGGGACATTCGCTATATCATACCCTACGCCATGCCAAAGCCCGAAAAATGCATTTTTCACAACAAATAATGACCAATTTTTTAGCCACATTCTATTAAGTTTTGATCCCTGTTTGCATGCAGGTGATGAAAAGGCAGTGTTATTACATAGCATTGATCTGGTTTGTTGCATGACGCTTGCGAGTGCACCGGTATGTTTGATGCGCGATCTGCAGGTCTTAACGCCCGGGTATAGCGTTCTAAAATAAGACTAATTGACGAGAACACCAAAATGAGAATGCGAAGTGACTCGACGATCTCATTGAAATGTTCGCATTCCCTTCCTTGTTTGTGCGCACAATGGCATGCGAGTATAAAAAGCATGGCCTTCGAGATGTGCAACCTCGTGACGTATATATTTAGTGTTTTCAGTTTTCACACACATGTCTCAAAGGCTACGCTTTTTCTAGCTTTTTTGCATTAAAGCAGCTGAAAGCCAGCAAAAAGCTACATGTGTAATCGATATCGCCAACATGCTGATGGAGGGAACTCTGCGCTGTCTTTTGTGCCTTGTGGCTTTGTGTACTTCATGCCTCGTTCCTGATAAATTCTCATTCGGGATTTGAACAGAACATAGACCCGCACGCAGCAATGAAAATTACGACCGGCGCTTGGAGTGACGTTTAAGTAAAGCACTGTCGTAAACTTTCCTTACGGGCCAGGTGACGACTTCGGGTACGTCATGACCACTGACAACGGCATACAATGCCTCAGTGAATTCTGCGACTCATCAGCGTTGCTGGGCTTCATCTTGGACAGTGAGCGACTTCATCAGTGCAGATGACGACATAGCTGTTTAGGACTGCATCGATGCTGAGATCATGGCTGCCGCTGCCAGTGCCATGGAAGCGTACCCGTATGGTTTTGAATACACCAAAGCCTTCGCCACCATTGCTTACCAACCTTTTGCAGTGCTTCAAAGCTTGCATCAGCGCTATGCATTAATCAACGCTGCTGTGGCCAAATGATCTGAATTCGCTTATTTGAAAAGCTTCAAAAATATTGAGGATGACTGCAACTTGACGGTGTGCAAAAAGCAAGACAAGTTTAAGGACTACTTTTGTGCAAAATTAAGTGCGGTAACTTGCATTTGACTTCTTTTTCTTTATTATACTGAGACCAAATTTTCATGTTAGCACCTGTAACAATTTTCGAGGCCTGAAATGCTTTTAGGCCCTAATATGCATATTTCGTATTTGAAATTATATGTCATGATCCCCTTCCAGTTCGATATGCAGTCAAACTCCTTTATAAGAGGCATGCTCCAGGCAGCCATTCTCATCTTTTATATGAGATGTCTCTTATAAACAGGGGACCTCGTACGTATTTCCCTATCATTCTGTATTTTACCGTAGGCACACTGGCATCTCTTATACCCATTTGTCTTTTATATAGGTGCCTTTTATAAAGGGGTTCAACTTTAATGGGATCGACTGTATCACTACTGCCTCTTTTCGATATGCTCCTCAATTTAAGGGGGCTCCTGAATTTTTTTTGTCACTAAGGGTGCAGACTGGTCCCAAAGACCAGTTTGCACCCTTAGTGACAAAAGAATTCATTTTTTAAAATTGACATATTTGGTTTCTGCAAATATTTTTCTATCTCTCTGCAAATTTTCACACACCAGGAAGTGGTAATTTTTTTGTAATGTCACTCTAACTGACCAGATTCTTGGTGCTGTTAACATGCAGAACCTGTAAAAAAATAGGGAACTGACTTCGAGGCTTCTTATAATTGGCCCCCACCTGTGTTAGAAGCTCTGCTACGAATTTATGAGCACCTTTATGAGGATTGCAAAACATGCACACCATGATTGTTGCTTTTTTGAAGAAGCTGTGTGTTTTCAGTCTTTTTCCATTTTACTCAAAAAAGTTAATTCACGACTGCTTAATTTTGAGGCTCAATATCTCTACAGCTAGGGCAGCTACAACAATAATTCTTTTTGCAATGGAAACCTGTATGTGTAGAATGCAAACATGGGAGCAGAATTTAGAGCACAAGCCTTTTTACTTAGTAACTCATCAAAACTGTAATACGGTTCCAACTGCTTTTGAAAATGAATAGTTCATTTTGCTGTAAAATAACCAAGAAAGACCTAAAAACAAAAAAAAAAACTTGCATACTTTCACTCTATAGTCATTTGTCTATGTTGGCATATCTGAAATATCACTTTTAATTATGCACTTTTTTTCTATTGCGGCCTTAAACAATAGGGGGTGAACTTAGCTTAATACGGGAACAAGATGAGCTACAGGAAAACTAATTAAATATTTTAAATCAGGAGAAAAAACTGTATAATCCTGCACAGTTTGATCAAGACCACTGAAGAAATAAACAAAAAATGTCTAAGACCAGGCTGCCCCCTTAACCAGCCTACTATTGAGATAAGGTACATTGAGATAGAATACATAGGAAGTACTCTGGCACTGAGTGTTACTATTCTGGAGCACAATTTTAGCCCCTAAATTGTGCTAAGACATAATAAAGATGCTGAGTGTATTAGATGCAAAGGCAACAAGCAATGGCTGATGTTTTCAATGATACAAATACAAACCAATAACAGTTTACACTGTCTATCTTTCTTTTACAAAGGCTTTCGGACTTCTCTGTGTGTGAATTGCTTGTTTTCCTAAAAAGCCCCCTCCATGCTATTCCCCAGAGAAGGTCTATCACAACTATAACAAGCATCACGCAACCAGGACTTCACCTGCAATCTTGGCCACATGATGAATCGTACAATTATGTACAAAACTTGAGCAAAATGTGCATTAACCAGCAGCACTGGAGTAAGATCTGTGTTTCACAGTATTCTTAAAAGCAACTGTCGGTAGTAAACCACGTCAGCACATTTTTGGTGAAAATTGACAGCATATAGCACTTAAACTGTTTTCGGCATCACCACCACTTAACGCTAAACTAATTGCTATGATTAACCGATTTCATACAATAAAAAACAAATAAAGTGAGGTAGCTAAGAGTGACAATTTTTTATTTTTTTCATAAAGTATATCGTCATTGAAGGCAGTGTTGGAGGCATTCAGTAAGTATGCTTGTGAAAGAGTTGAACATACACAAGGCATAACAAGTCCTGAAATGATGTTCCAAAGTGTTCAAACCTCCTAATAATAGAAATGATTTCAAAAAAAAAAAAGAAGCGTTACAAACCTCGTTGAGGGGCACCTCACGGGCTTTCAGGATGATAGCATGTAGCTCGTTAAGGTTCTGCTGCACTAGAGGAGGGCAGGGATTGCAGCAGGCCATGATACCTTGTCGCTCCCTGTGACAATGATATCATCAGGGATGCAACAGTCGAAAGAGAATTAGGAGAAAGTTTTGGAGCAGTAAGATGTTTTCTTGGAGCAAAAAATCCAAATTCAAAGTAGGTTACGGCAAAATAAAAAAAAAGAACATCCATTTTTCATTACGAAAGATCAAATTTGGAGCAGTATCAACAAATATTACACCTAGAAAAAGAAAAACATATAGAACCCTTTCAACATCATCTTAATTGTGCAGAGTGAACATGAGTACTGCTCTTCCAATAAAAGTAGAATTATGAACCACCACACTGTGTAAGCAATGATGAACCCCACATTAGCGTTTGCCACACCTGTCAAATCTTTAGACAGACTCTGCAAACTTAAATGTGGTTCTGCCAAGCTGGCGACCCTGAAATTCAGGAGATTCGTAAAACAGAGGAGTAGGAGTGGTGAAGAAAAAAAAAAACTGACACACGTTTTCCTTTTTTATTAAGGGCTGCAGAAATATCGTACACTGCTCCAAATGATTGCCACTAAGCCAGTTACCTGTTTAGATGGCAGCGATCCGAATAGTACTTGCAATTATGTGGCATACACGCGCATGAGTAATTGAAAAAAAAAAAAGAATAAGAAAGAAGTGCTGTGTCCCGTGACTAATGCCAACAAATCTGAATATGCTTTTCCGCATGGCACTGGTGTACTGCGGCAAAGAGTGGCTTAAGGAGCGTTCTGCAGTGTTAAAACAAGGCGAAGAAAATTTTCGAACCGCTACACCCTCACCCTTCTTCTCGCTTTCATGATGAGGTTTGGTTTAGAGGCAAAACTTCTCGGCTCTCTTTCAAGGCACAGTCCGACCAGATGAAGTAACAACGGCGCGCGCATGTTGGCTCAGAGTAAAATTCAGGCTCTTTTGCTGATAGGAAAACCGACTCCCACCACTCAGTGCCCGAGACGCACCACCCGAGGCAGTATAGCAAAGTGGGGAGAAGAAACACGCTGCCGCTATGATAATAGCGGCGATTGACTTGCTGGTTGCTTGAAGATTAAGTAAAAATGCTTGAGAAGTTCTAGTAAGGTTGAGAAAAACTTATATTTACAGACTGTACAGAACTTAAATAAGTACGGACATAAAAGTTACCAAAAAAAAAAAATTGGAAATGAGCCCTTTTCTGTAGGGCGACCTTACGGGATTCGGCAGAGCCGACGATGCCTAGCTTCTTAAGCCCGGTTCAGAATGCCTGGCGGAACTCCAGGGCCTCTTCTTGTTCCCTCGATGCTCTGCCCTTACACAACTCTCGGCCAGTCATCGCCTGCTAGTCCTCTGATAGGACAGTACACTTGGTCGATCGAAAACCCACCACAACGATGCCATCTTCGTGCTCGTGTGAAGGGCTCATGCCCCTCGCCCCAAATAACACCACACCCAAAATGTAAATAAAAAACAAAACAAGAAAGGCGGGGGCAAGCTCAAGGGCGCACAATTATCTACACTTGGAGCTGCACGAACTGGGGTTTGAGGCATAGGAACGACTTCTCTGTAACACATCAACTTCTTAATGATGAGGCAATAATCCGCCTGTCCCACGTGCGCTGTAAGAGGTGTTCGCTCGCTGGTCTCACCTACAAGCTCATTTGCATAGATTAACACGGAAGATCGAAGACATGTTAACACCACAATACGCACCAAATCGCCGACCGGGCCCCCGATTACTACCACATCAGCAACGCCTTCACCTATTACAAGCCCGCCTGCTTCCGAGAGCAACCAGAACTAAGCCAGACTGGGACGAAAAGGTTGTCGGCAACCTCCGCGTTCTCGCAACGCGCGCCACTGAGTTTCCAAGCGCGCGAGCAGTACGCGGCCGGGCCGACAGCCGAACCGATGTGAGGAGTGACCCCACCGCACTGCGTCTCGAAGAAGCCCATAGGGACGACAGGCTCAAGTTTGCGCAAGCCATTCACCGCCTTAGCGTAAAAATGGCAAAGCTCCGGTCGCTCGAACGTGCCGCACTTGCTGGGTTTGCTCTTTGCGAGCACGAAAAACGTGTTCCTTGGAGCACTTATCTCGTATTATGCACGCTATGAGCAGCGCTCCTTCGTCAGTCTGGAAAGCAGGCATGCACTAATGCTGCTTTGTGAGATGCTACAAAAGTTTAAACATGACGAAGACCTGAAAACTGCCCGTCAAGTTCTACCGTTTCCAATGCAAGTAGCGCGAGGAAGCAAAGGCGTCAGGAGTGGATTATGGCAGTTTGCTGATACTCTGCCGATACTCAACGGTCTCCTTATTTTGAAAATTTTTTGTCATACACAGTACTTCAACCTATTAATTACCTGAAAGAAACGCATAGCCGGACTCATATTAAAAAGAAAAGCATGTTTGTAAACTGAAAAAAAACAGCAAATGTACAACCGCTGTACATTTCGTGATAGGGCTCTGGCTTTCCGAGACAACCATTGGTAGAAGGAAAGCAGTGGAGCTTGCTAGCTTAATACACTTAAAATACCGTACTTAAATACCGTACTTAAAATACCGTACTGTGAGCCCTGCAAGTGTTTTATTCAGCTGATGGCTGTAGACCTCTCGTCACCGCTCAATAAACAGATTTGTGCTGCGAGTTCGTGCTGAGGTCTTGACATGACCCATAGTAAAACGTACAGGTATTGCAAGCAACACCCACCAGTAAGTCAGCATGATGAGGTGTTGTGATGCTAGGATCAAAGTCATACGCTCGATTCCCGCATACACCAGCTGCATTTCCACGGGAGCGAAACGCAGTAACAGTGCGCTCAGATTTTGGCACAAGAATGACAGACAGGGCGTGTTGGTGTTGCATACTTCAAGCGTACGGTGGTTTGACGCTCAATGTAAACAGAAGTGACTGCTCGGTGTGTGTGCACTCTCTCTCCATTGTCATCGCACCGTATACACTTCAAATAAATTTAGGTGAACGTTAAAAAAAAAAAACCTAAGGTGACCGGAATCCATCTGGAGTCTCATACCACGGCGTGCTTACTAATGTCGTCATGGTTTTAGGCACGTGAAATATTATATCCTTGCATCCACCTGAGCCGCGGGCATTATACAGCTGGTGCTATGAAAATAAGTTGGAAGAAAAAGAACCTAGGTGGCAATAAAAACTAAATGTTCGATCGTTCCGCAAAATTAGACGCAGTTATCAGGGGCAAATCTGAGCGTAACATAAAAACATGCTCCATTTTATTGGGTACTGTATATATGACGAAGACCAAGCTAGCTGTCAAAACAATCGAAGCGACATTCTAATAAGTGAACACACTGCGTGATAAGTCGTGGATATTATCCGAAATGAAACATGTGCTGTAAGAAACATACATAGTCGAAGTGGACATAAAATCCTTTTTTTTTCGTGTGCATCATTATACCGTATTTACTCGCGTAATACTCGCACTCCCATAATTCTCGCACCCCCCACATTGCCCAACAAATATACGATTTGTTTTTTTCCTCGAGTAATTATCGCACCCCCGAAAACTGCTGCAATAATGTCGTCTGCTCTTTCCAGCCACTGATGATGATAGTGCACTCCATCTCTTAAGCATCACGCGTACTATTCTACAGAGATTCAATCCAAGTCAAGCCGAAGTGGCCAGTGTGCGTTGCGGCATGTTTTTGTATGTTATGTCGGTAATCTTGTCATGTTATGAGGCGATACTGAAGTGTACAGCTGGTTTCAAGTTGCAAGTAATAGATCATGCACTAAACAACGGCAACAGGGCCGCCGGTAGGCCCTTCGGAGTCTATGAGTTTTGTGTTCGCTACTGGTGACGGCAGCTTAAAGCCACCAAGGCGCGTTGGGTCTGCCGGGTGCCTAAAACTGGGATTGATGGTAAACTTTATTTCTTCAGAAGGAAACTGTGGACGATTCTGTTAAATAGCCATCAGCCCAATACTGACATCCCACGCTTACCTTTTGAGGGCTCCTGTTGAGCGTCGCTACCGCTACGCCCGCAAGCTTTGCGTACGGTATTCTAATTCTCGACTATTTGCTTCCACTTTTTCTGTCTTTAATAAATCTTGTCTTGTGTTGTATCTCTGCTTTTATTGTTGAGGTAAGTTCTAACTAGTACTTCTTAAAGCTTGCTGTAAGTTGCTGGTGAGAGAATCCCGATTTGCAGCCACTTCGTTTTCTTTTTCGCTCTGTACGTTTTCGTGGAAAGTTTTCCCCGCGTAATTCTCGCATCCCCCAACTTTGCATCAGTTTTCCGGCAAAAAAAGTGCGAGGATTATGCGAGTAAATACGGTACTTTCAAAGGAGCAGCAAAAAATCAAAGGTGTCATTGAACTTACGATACGACTTTGTTAACATCCGATGAAAACCTCAGCAAAAGTTAAACTCTTATGAAACTGAACACACCGCGCTGAAATTGTGCCAGGGACTGAACAGGGCAGACTAAAGTTTAGTCTCTTCACATTGACCTAATAAATTGAAAGCCGTGTGACAAACTTAGCATTCAAGCATGAGAAATCCGAAAGCTATATACAAATGCACGCGAAAACCTGATGGTGGTTTGCCGACAGCTTCGAGAATATATGAATGCCGCAGAAAATGTGCATTTTGCCGATAACATACATATAGAATTCACGCCGTCACCTCACTTTTAATGTCATAGAAATGCAACTGTTCATCATCGACATTTATATAGCACCCGATAAAAGACATTGTGTCTGACTTGCTTGGTCCCACAAAGATGGTCAATGAATCGCTCGGAGTTCTGATAAGATTCACACCGTCAAAACGTTTATACAGTCTAATCTCGATAATTCAAACTTGAAGGGGCCCGAAAATTTGTTCGAATTAAAGGAAGTTCGAATAATTGAAAGCTAAGTAAACAGAAGGCTTCCATGCAGTGGCGCATGTACATTGAGTAACAGCACGAGGGGGAAGTTTCAGAAGACTTACATTTATTCACAAATCACAGGACATGCGTCATTAGCTGAAGAAATCGGTGATGCGCGTCTGCACACGTTTGCCTTGCAGTGAGCCAATCGATTTCACATGCAGCTTGCAAAGCATGTCTACTTCGGCTTCAGCATTGTCCTGGCAATAGAAGTTGCACCCGGCAATGTCCAGCGCGGACACTCTCTAAAGATGACACGACGACTGTATCTCCGCTACTACCCTCTGCGCCAAAGCCACAGCAGGCCAGCATGTGACCAGAAAGGAGGAGCGTTCCCATGCGGAGAGAAGCAGATCGGCATTTGAGATAAACCAACACTCCACGACAGCTTTTTTTTTTTTTGCCTCTCTTCGCGCGCGTTGTTGAAAGGAGAAGGGTCAAGTGGCAGGGACGAGAAAGAGGGAAGCATGGCACAGGCGCGTGAGAGAGAGCCACACTCCGCGACAGCTTTTTTTTCTCTCTCTCTCATTGCGTACGCCATTGGAAGGAGAAGGGCCTTTACGTGGCAGCGGCGGAAAAGGGAGAAGCGTGACAAAGACGCATTACAGATATGCATTTGAGAGAGAGCAAAAATTCCACCGCAGCCTTTTCTTTCCTTTTTCGCGCAGCGTTCAGGCGTCGGAGGTGCCGCCACGGGTTTGAGCAGGGTGCTGAGAGCGGGGCGCTGAGAGCATTTTCCGAGCGTGGTATGTTAGAATTAACCGTCGCAAGAGCTTGGGTGTTCGATTAACGGGCGCTTTCGCCCATTGAAATACACATAGCTTTGACGAGACCTCATCGTGAGTTTGAATTGAGCAGAAGTTCGAATTAAGCGTGTTCGAATTAATGAGATTCGACTGTACAGTCTTTTTAAACCTTCGGAGCAAGTCACAGGTGACGCTGCACGTGGAGGGCAACCAGATAACAGCGCATGCAAAGCGCGTGAATGTGCTGAGATAGCACAGGCAGAAGGCGGGAGCAGGGTACCGAGCGACCGGCTTTTGCTAAAAAAGCGGCGAAACGCGCACGGCGCAGCAGTTCCGTGGCCGAGGTTGTGAGGCCTATTGATGCCCTGGCTGAAAGTGCTGTGAGGCGATTAGGGGGTCGTCACAAGGACGTTTCTAATCCCACCCCTTTTGTTGCTCACGGGGGGTTGGTTTCTTTTTCCTTAGTTAACAGCAATTCGAAACGCTCGGTAGCCTCAGGCGCTGCTGTACTTCGTGAAGTGCCATGCGGGCGCCACTCAGTCGGACACGCTTCCACTGAGTGCCATCAAAGTAATATTGAGAGCCAGAGCAAAATGCTGCGCAACGGCTAGTATGCTTCCCCAAGCTTACTGCACAAAGTAAATAAAAGCAAACCAAAAACTGCCACACAACCACTCCTTACCGCAGTCCTACACCCAGTGATGACACCGGATATCTATAATGGGGACAATGCAACTTTAACACAGAAAAATAATTTACGCGCCTTTTCTATAGCAACCAACGTGGTTGCTGGAAACGCTGGCGTGCGCAGCACGTTGAGTTTCTTCGCGCACGGGAAAAGCGGCACACGCTTTTACCTTTAGTTTCTAGAATTCTATAGCCGCATTTGCTGACTAGGGAATTCATGTTTTTTTTTTAATTGCGTTGTCCCATCTGTGGTCAGTAGACCAACCCGCGCGCGGCATGGTTACTTTATTAGGTTGATCGCGTCTCGCAAGTGTCTTGACCTAATGAGTATATGTCTTACAGTGTTGTTTAGGGTTAGGGTCTGCACGCTTAGACTGATTGATAATGAAAACTGCTGGTGGCCAACATAACCCCCATTTATCGCTCAAGTTAGCGCAATGGGAGAGTCGCTGGGCGGTCCCTATGTCTATATCGTAATTGTCCTCGTGTGTGTGCGTTAACGCTTCAGTATGTAGGGGAGTTTTGAGGCAGGATGGACATTTTTGTGCAGCATGGCGCAATTTCAGCAAATTTCATGGTTTTTGCACAGCTCGGCACAAAAATGTGGAGTTGTATCAAATTGACGCAATTGGCACAACTGTTGCACCTTTTTATTATACAGTAAGGGCTGCAGATGCATTTGCTTAGTTCTATGTAAGCACTGCCTTGATAACATTGTCGCTGGGTGGTCTATGCTACAAGCGCAAAGTATCGACGAAAAGGCGCAGAAACTACATTTCTTTATTCTTTCTTTATTCAATGATTACCCCGCTTAGCCCAAAGGCGCTGCAGCAGGGGGGTTACAATGTCGAGAAAAACACATCTTCATTAATACAGCACACTTGTTCATTTAATAAGTGATTCCATTCTCTAATGGAACGAACAAAAAACGAATTAGCATACAATGTAACTTAAAGTAACTTAATGTACATTGATAAATTCCAGTGTAAAAGAGCTGCTGAACACTTCTAGAAGGTTGTTCACTTTACTCATGCGAAGTACTATTGCACTTCTCCAAAGGAAGCAGGATTGGTACAACAAAAATGACGTGATGACCTGTAGTCGGTGAGAGCCTAAAAACACAGGTAAACTACACCCAGGGTCATCTTTGTCCGACCCACGAAGAACTTGCATAGATATTCCATCCAATTGCCTTTGCTCATTTTGATAATGTCAAGCACATTTAGTGCATCTCACATACATGACTCTTAGAAATGTTGGCATTAGTGGTGCAAAATCTTGAACATTCAGGAAAATTACTGCAAAGAGCTAAGATTCTGACATGACTGCTTAGCCAAGTGTAAGTACCAACAACGAACTTTTAATTATTATTATGAATCGTACTTACATACACAGCAAAAGTGGACTTACAGTTAGAACAGACACTATTTAGCATGACTATTTTGAACAGACAAGTAGCAAACGCATCAAAGTTAAAGGGACCCTGAAATGGTTTTGGCGATTTTGTACAAACACATTGGTCCGGTAGACCAAGTCTCAAGGGTCACTTGGAGATCGATTTGAGCTCTCTGCATAAACTGTAATTTATTACAACGTTTTAAAGCTGCGAATCACCACAGATCGTTGCGACTCAATCAAACGCGTTTTCAACTGCCCATTCACAGAGATACCTGCTCTGGCCATTTGACGAGGTCAAAGCACATCAGCAGCCCCATCACCATGGCTGCTGATCTGATCAGCTGTAGAATGCGCGAAAGTAAGATCGGTTGGTAGGATGGCGGCACATGTCGGAGAGATATGAAGCACATCGTGATCTTCGTTTTTGTTGCCAAAAGGAGTGCGTGCTGCTGGGCGCTCTATGTGATGGCCTCCGAGACTGCGCGCAACGTGTCGGCGTATCATCTTTGAGGTTTAGAAAGGTAAAACCTCCAGTCATCGAGTGCGCTCATGAGAGCTCAGCGATCGCCAGCGATGCTAGCGTGCCTCATGAGTTGAAGAGGCCAGGCAGAGGTGAGAAGTACGGTATGATATAATTGTCTGTAGCGGCCTTGGTACGCGGCGTGTCACTAAATTTGTGGTGCGAATGCTTTGATGATGCTCTAGCCTAAATGCTGACAAAACTGACGGTGACAAAAAAAAAATGCTGAAAAAACCGTTTCAGGGCCCCTTCAAGAGGGTGGAGATTTTATTTATCCTTAGGATGTAACGAACTAAAATCGACGGGTTGAAGTGTTCATTTGCTGTTGCATTTTAAACATAATTATAATGCAATAATTACCTTGGAAGGATCTCTGATATCTCTAGGATCATATGGTTGGGCAACACATATCTGCAAATAAAATAGACAGCTCTATCAGATAAGTTCATGTGAAATGATCACCACAAAAGTATAGAAAAACATGCTTTTGAAGGAGCTATACTTCAGTGCAGTTGCATCTCATGGGAAGAATAGACTTCTAGGCCTTGTGAGCTACGTACATTAATTAGCAGTAGCGTAAAGGTAATAACACTGCATAAAAAAGCTTTAAGGTCAGAAAAATAATTCAATCAAAAGCTTGTGCTTAGAGGATTTTGAATCAGAGCAAACGTGCCACATTTATATAAGACTTCAATATAAAGAAGAATTATGGCCAGGATCATGATGATAAAATGCAGTTAGTGAATCTTCATTCACAAACAGCATTTACAGTGTCAGTGAAATAGTGGAAAACATGGAGAGCGAATTGATAGGGTCTGCTCTACCTTTTGGGTTGCTCTTGCAAAAAGATGTGGCAAAACAAACGTGATAACACAAATAGATCAGCAGTACACACCCAAAATCACACCCTGCTAATCAAGTAATAAGGACATTGAAGGGGGTATAAAGTTATGTTTCAACAGTTAATTACTATTAAAGTAATTGACCAGTAAATGAACAGTGGCAAATAGGTCAACTGCACTAGTAAGTGTGACACTTTGTTAGTCGTTCTAGTTCCCCGTCAACACGAGAAATGCACTAATGTTGCATGCTTAGTAAGTCCGGATATGCAAGAACAAACAAAATGTCGCAATGCCAGCTCGGAGTTTAAGCACGAGTGACCAGTCATTGCAAATTTCGATATCACACTGACTGGTCAAGAACTTATTTTTAAAGATGAACAAGGAACTCACAGCATTTTGTCAAGACAAAGAGTTTAAGACAGAGAGTTCCGAAGAACTTCTTACAGAGTGATGAATGAATATCAAGAGATAAGGCAATATAAGTTTTTTTTTTTTAATGCGTAAGCAGGTGAAACTGAGGAATAGAAAGGCACTAACTAACCCAGTGCTTTCATCTTCGACGCGGGCCACCTTGTCTCTCCAGCTGTACAGGTGGCGCAAGGCGTGCAGCTGGCGGCTGTTGAATGTCTTACGGCTCTTGCGGTACAGCTCCATGTAACTCTGTTCATGGCAGCTGGGCTTTTCATAACGCTGCATGTACAGTGACAAAATGTTTTGCTTCAATCCTGTGCTTACTCACTCGCTAGCAGATTCTGGATCCAGTGTGCTCAATGTGTTTTTGTTCATCTTAAAGGAAGGCAAGGTGCACATACACATGCAAGAGAGAGCGCAATCCAATACAAATGCAGTCTACCAATCGAGGGGCCATAGTGTAGCAGAATATCCTTGCCGCAAATAAAACTGGAGTGGGGCACATACATCTCTCTCGTTCTTTAGAAGGCCAATATTGATTTTTTTATTTTTCATTTTGTATGCACCATATCTTTACCGCAACCATGTACAAAATGGCTGACGTAAAACTAGGACACTATGAAATATGTTCATTGTTAGTGTGTCAAAATGTGGTAGTTAAAACCGCTATATCTGGGATTAAATATATACAGTAGAAATCCGATTATAAGACTTTCAGGGGACCACGCAAAACCGTTGTGTAATCCCGGGCCCTGTATAATCGAAAAACTAAAATTAGAGGCAGTGACACACAGCCTTGGCCAAAAAACGTGTACCTAACTGCAAGAATAAGCCCACAGCATGACGTTGCGCCTCTAGAAGGAAGGTAGGTGAATTTATTCTTGCCAGTGGCAGCTAATGGCAGCACTATTTAGTCGAAGGAGGTGCAAGTGAATCTTAATACTAAATTTAAAAAAAAAAAATCGAATCCAGTGTGCATTTTTCTATACAGTTAAACCTCGTTATAACGAAATTGGAGGGCCACTGCTATTTGCTCGTTATAACCAATATTTCGTTATAGCCGTAGAAGGCATTTACCGCAAATATTATGCACTGTACTTACCCCCAAAAATAGCGGGCGAAATAGCCTCCCGCTGCATGGTGGTATGCAACAAAATAACCGCATTTTTAAATAAAAAAGGAAAAAGTCATGCACCTGTTTTAATGCACTTCAAAATACACAGCTTGCATTTCAGGCAGACTTAGCTGCAAAGAAGTCCGTAATTGGACGTTGATGCATCTTCCTGATGCGAACGATGGCTCGCTCAGCTGCGGCCGCAATGTTCAAGCCATCTTCGCCGCCCTCGTGAGCGCCGAAGTAGCGGCGCAGTACGTCCACCGCATCTAATGCCTCCGACGCTGTCGGCACATTTGTCTCCTGTTCGTCGACAGAGTCATCGTCACTGATTTCGTTACGATCACTGACAGCGCGCACAATATCGTCATCCAGGAGCTGCTTCGTTGCCACCACTTCCGAGTCCGCACTCACATAGTCGCAAAACGACTCGCTGTCAGACACGACACCGGCGTCACAAAGTGCCGCCCATGATGCAGCGACTTCATCTGATGTTGCAAAACCGTCCGGCACAGTGGGCTCGTCTGATGGCTCATCGCTGGCCTCTGGTGCGGCGGCAAATGAGGCGTGTCGAAAGCCGTTTGTGATCGTGGTCGCCGTCACACTTGTCCACGCCGCCTGAAGCATTTCGAGCGCAGCGTACAAGTCAACATCGGTGTCTCGCTTCATCCTCATGTTGAGCAGGAGCTTGTCTATCATACGCTTGCGGTAACCTGCCTTCAGCGACATAATCACGCCTTGGTCAAGCGGCTGTATTTTTGCTGTGCAGTTGGCAGGAAGGAACAGCAGCTCAATGTTTTGAAGCACGGCAGCGGTATGGTGGGCGGTGCAGTTATCTAAAACAAGGAACACTTTGCGGTTCGCCTTTGCCAGCTTTTCGTCCCATTCGCAAAGCCATTTTGAAAAAATCTCCCTGGTCATCCAGGCTTTGCGATTGGCTACGCACTTGACTGGGAGCTGCCTCCCCTTAAAGCAGCGAGGGGATGCACTTTTGCCAATTACGAAAATTGGCAGCTTCTCAGAGCCGGTCATGTTTGCACAAAGTAGCGCAGTGATCCGCAGCTTACTTTGTTTGCCGCCATGGCACGGCTCGCCTTTGAGGGCTATTGTCTTGTGCGGCAACACCTTGAAAAAGAGAGCGGTTTCGTCCGCGTTAAAAATATCCTCCACGCTGTATTTTTTTAGCAGCCGCACAATGTTTTCTTTTGCCCACTTGGTAGCCTCTGCTTCGTCGACAGATTGCGATTCGCCGCAGACGGCTCTCCCGACAATGTCGTGGCGCTCCTTGAAGCGTTGGAGCCAACCCGAACTTGCTATGAAGTTGTCATAGCCCATGATGCAGGCAAAGCCTCTCGCTTTTCTTTGCAGCAAGGCGCCGCTCACTGGCAGATTCACGGCCCGCGTGTCCAAGAACCATTTAAAAATGGCCCTTTCGACCGCTTCAAAGGCAGGTGCCCTCATCCTCTTAGCGCTTCATTTCACGCCACGTGCAACAGCGTCGATGATAGACTCCTGCTTGCTCAAGATGGTTGACAGTGTGCTCGTCGATACGCCAAAGTCTCTTGCCACGTTGCCTTTCTTGGTCCCCGATTCAACGGCTCTTATCGTAGCCGCCTTCTGATCTAGCGTTATGCGCTTTCGCTTCCCGCCTGGCGCATTCATGTTGCTGGAATCACGAGCGCAGCACGATAAAAGATAAGGCAGAAGCGGTCGAAAAAGAGAAGAAACACGCACGCAAAAGCAACGCGGCTCACGTCGGCGAGCGACAACACTTGCAGAGAAAGTGACTGTGAAGAGGAAGGGGCAGAAGGGGCGCTCTTTTGCGCTGCCCTCTAGGAACCGGTTACTCAAGGGAAAAGGAGTGTGTAAGATTAGAAAGCGCGCCTCAGCGCCATGAGAAAGGGGAGAGGGAGAATATAAAGAAGACACAAAAGAAAAGAAAAGGGCGAGACGTTCGCGGAGCTGCGGAGCGCTCTGCTGTAGGTGGTAGCCAAGCGGCGCACGTGCAGCGACCTCTCCTCCGGAAACAGCGCGTTGCGTCTGCTTTGCGCGCGTTGATGGAGGGCGCGTGGCGGGAGTATTGAACTGCTAAATACAGTTCTCGCGCTGCGCGCCGTCTCAAATTCGCCTTGTGCACTGTCGTGACATCGGCTCAAAATTTTACTTCCTAACAAAATTTGTTTGTTATATCCCATAACAGGCAAATTTTGCCTCGTTAAAACAAGGTTTTGAATACATTGGTTTGTATGGGGACTTTCAAGGGGAATTAGGATTTGCTCGTTATATCCATTATTTCTTTATAGCCCGTCTCGTTATAACGAGGTTTAACTGTAGATAAATAGAGTCCGAAAATTGCCTGCGCGTGAAAATTAAACCGGAACCGCATCGCCAACAGCTTACCGTCAAAAAAATCAGACACAGTGCCATTGCTATCACACAATGGCAACGAACCATGAGTTTGCGAAAAATTCCTTCGTGTGCGACTGAGCTGGGCACGCTGTAATTTGTTGCCTTGTAAAGTGCAACTAGTCGTGTGCTGCACTTATTATGAACGTTCATAAACATTTTTGCACAATGAATACAGCTGCGTTGCGCTCTTATGCGTGCGCAAGCCAATGACTGCAAGTGCGACAAAGGCAAGAATCAGCTGTGTGTCGACCAGGAAAAGTTTCCATGGGCCGAAAACATGAAAATATCAGCTTTTCGGCCAGCTGAAGCTTCTGTGTGGATAGAGCTTGACTAGGTAATGACCCCGGATACGTATGCACATGATTGAGGCATATGTAGGAGCGCATGAACTTCGAGAAGAATAAATTTTACATTCTAAGAAGACAACCTGTCTCACTCTACTTTTTCAATCGTCAACCAAGTGGAACGAAAGTTCATATTTTGCACTTGTGAATATTTGATCGACGTTTGGTTTAAGCAAAGGTGTTTTTTTTTTCTTCTGGCAGAATCTGAAAGTTGTCGGAGGGTGCTGGTACACTGTAAGACTGCGTCGTGTAACCAAGGTGCTTAATACAGTACTTCTATGGGGATTTTGCCGGGACCAAGCTAATTAGTCGTAAAATGTGAGTCGTCGTGAAACCAGGGGACATAGTATTACTGAAGTTTTACTGTAAAACACCTAGCTACTTGTACCTTGATACCTGGACACTGATGACGCATAGCACAGTCGTCATTTCTGTACAGCATTGTTTGCAAATAATTTAGGTATCAGCCCAAGTAAATTACATTATTTACTCGAATAATCCTCACACTTTTTTTGGCGGAAAACCGATGCAAAGTTGGGGGGTGCAAGAATTCCGCGGGGAAAAATTTTCCCCAAAAACGTACAGAGCGAAAAAGAAAACGAAGTGGCCGCAAGTCGGGATTTCACGCCAGCAACTAACAGCAAGCTTTGAGAAGTACTAATTAAGCCTTACCTCAACAATAAAAGCACAGGTTCAATACAAGGCAAGATTTATTTGAGACACAAAAGGCGCAATCAAATAGTGAAGAATTAGAATACCGTACGCAAAGCTTGTGGGCGTTGCGGACGTAGCGGCAGCGTTCGTCGCTCAACAGGAGTCCGCAAAAGGTAAGCGAAGGACGTCAGCATTGGGCTGATGACATAATCGTCCGCAGTTGCCTTCTGAAGAAATAAAGTTCACCATCAATCCCAGTCTTAGGCACACGGAAGGCTCAACACGTCTTGGTGGCTTTCAGCTGCTGTCACCAGTAGCCAACCCAAAACTAGTCTACTCCGAACGACCTACCGGCGGCCCTGTTGCCGTTGTTTAGTGCATGATCAATCACTTTCAACTTGAAAGCAGCCATGTAGCTTTCGCATTGCCCCATAACGTAACAAGATTACAGACACAACATACAAATCACGCCGCAATGCACACTTGCCACTTTGGCTTGGATTGAACTGGATTTAAATTTCGGAGCAATAATAGTATGCTCTATGCTTAGGAGATGGCGTCACACGGCACAAGCTATCATCGTCAGTGGCTGGAACGAGCAGACGACATTATTGAGGCATTTGTTGGGGGTGCGATGAAAAAAAAGAAATCACATTTTTGTTTGGCAATGTCGGGGGTACGAGAATTATGCGAGTGCGAGGATTAAGCGAGTAAATACTACATTATCTGGTGGGGCAGTTGTTTTTACAAGAAGAGAAGTGCCAGGCAAATCCCACTTCGCTTGCAGTATTGCACATATACAAACTCACTGGAGTACTAAAGCTTACTATTATTACTAAGCTTTCTTAAATTACAGGCTTCAATTGTGACAATGAATCAATAACTGATACAGCGGTATTCCCTCTCAAAACTCCTGTTGAGGATGCAGTGTGAAGTAATCTGACAAAAGCGTCTCTACATTGTTAGAACGAAGAAAGAAGAAAAAAAGACCCATATATACCACATAAAGTGGATGGAAGAGCCACCGTAGCTCAAATGGTAGAGGATCTGAGACGTTATTCGAAGGTTGCCGTGTCGGTCCCTGCCCACGGCAGGTTATGTTTTCGTCGACTTTACTTCATTCACATTTACATCACAATTGCTAAAAAATAACATCGCCCATACTTTCCTTGGCTTTCTTGTCAGAAATTCTGATCCCCACTGTGCGGTAATTTAATGAGACAAGCACTAGACAATCAAAAGGCAAAAGCCAAATGTATTGCTAACACAATACGCACCCTAAGTGCCACCTGCTTGCTGCGGTCAAACACTGATCGCAGCAGGTTGTCATTCTCATTACTGCGATCGGCCAGGTCACGCTTCAGGCGGTCCATGATGTAGAGCAGGTAGTGAGTGTCCGACTGTGCGTAACTAATCATTACTGGTGGCAAGGGCCTGTGAAGGAAAAAAGAAAGAACTTTCAAATAGAGCAAATATTACACAAAAGTTTTTCAATTCAATTCAATATCAATTCTCACTTGATGGCGGTGCCACTAGATGGTGTTGCACAAAAGCTTTTGAACTTGGAGTAGTAACTATGGATTGTTACCGCATGTGCTCAATGTTGCCGGAATGTCATCATCAGTAATATGTAGCTTTTATAGTTAATTTAGTAATGTACTTGTTATCACTTCGTAATTCTAACAGGTAACACGTTACAGTAACAATTTTCAGAAATGTGAGCCATTATGTTACTCATTACTTTTTATTATAACCCCATCTCAGAAGCTTTACACGAAACTCCTCAGTGCTGTAGGTGTCAGAGAGATTTTTACGCCGCAGCGTCGGACTGCTATTGACCGCCAGGCGTCCAAACCAGGAGTATCGTTTCATGCGATTGAGCACCTATTTACTGTAGCAGTAGACGTATTCACTAAGAAGCACGGCCTACTGTCTAACAACAGCTTAGAAATAGACCTGTTGGTTGAATTCTACAAGTTGTAGTTGTCAGCAAGTTCCTCTTGCAATATTATAGCACTGTTTATCAGTTCTAATTTTTTAAAAACTTGCTTCTTTCTGCTTCTAACTGCAGGTATACATTTACAATTGTTGAATTACTGAGCGAGTGAGGCTAATCTTGAACACCTTTGTATAAACACTCACATTTTTCAAAGCTATTATATAGGTTAAAGAGGCAAAAGTTATTAATGCTGCAAATATTTTCTGGCGACTATGCACATTAATCATTTCTTTACTCCTACAAGATCTGTGCATATTTTTTGCTTACTAACAAAAGCACGCTGTCGGAATAACTGTCAATTTGTCGAGAGTTGAGTGGTAGTTTCATCAGGAAAAGTACTGATGATTAAACATTATTTTATATTTACTAGAATGGCTAAACGATGTGCCACAAACTTATATGCCATCCCATACAATTCTACAGAAAATATTATGCCACATTATACTGCTGAAGTACAACACACTAGGGAAAGTTTTCTAGTGGTATCAGTAATTCAGTCAAGATCATTGTTTTGGTTAGAGGGTTTCTGTGAAATGTAAATATAAAGTTTATGAAATTGTTTTTGTGGTGCCTGTAACAAGAGCACACTGGCTAAAATTTGTTACTCTGCAGTAATGGTAGAAGTAGCGTTCGTTGCTTTTTCAATAATGGTAATGGTAATGGTAACACATTACCTTTTTTTTCTGTCAGTAATGTAGGGCAGTAATGCATTTATTTTTGTTAGCGTCGTCAATTACGCATTTAGCCACTTTTCTTTCGTTAATGCATACGACACTGCTGGTGCTAAAACAAAGAGAGGACAAATACAAATGATCAACTTCCGCAACTTCTATTTACACTCAAACCTCGATATAAAGAACTTGAATATAATGAAATATTGGTTATAATAAAGTAAATAAAGAGTACTCTTGCAATAGACATAGTGCTAGGAATATATGTAAGATGCAACTTCATTATAGGGAGGTCTGAGTTAATTTGCAAAAGCCTTAAAGATAAGATAAATGCTAATTCTGTCCATTTTGCTGACTATGTGAAAACAGGAATGAGAGTTTCAGAAGGCTGAAGTTCACACCGCTGTCTGTTACCTGTCTACCATGAGTATTGGAACACATCCTATATGTGCTAATGGTTCTCCAATTTAATTCGGATGCTGCAACGAAAAGATTAAAGTCAATTACCGTATCCGCCAGTCAGCAAGTTGAAACTGCTTGTCAGCCTCTATCTGGCAGTAATGCTTTAGCAGGAAGGCCAGAGAGAAGTGAGCCAAGCCAAGCACCTTGGCTGCCTGGCCTGTATCAAACAGCCCCACAAGGTACAAGCCGAAGTCGCGCTGCAGCCACAACACATCCATGTCTGCACCGTGAAAGACCTGCAAACAGATACAGACACAACATTACCCCCGCCAACACTGCCTCAGTTGACAATACTTGAAACCTTATGTTTATGTATTAAATGTATTATTATGAGGCTGCAGTGGCTTGAAACACAGTCGATGCCGAATATATCAAACTCGAACATACCGACTTATTGGATAGTATATCGAACAGTTGCGAAATCCCCTTGAATTTCCCATGAAAAAATATGAGACCGGTGCACCCGTATATCGAACTCCTATACAGCGAGACATCCACTGTATTGAACGCTGCACCGCGCTGAAGCCCAGAGAGTGGATTTTCGTTAGCAAATACTAATCAATTTTCTACTGTGATTTAACAAGTTCTAATCCCCTTGTGTGCGCAGGCGACGAAGAGGCGGTATTATTCCATTGTACTGATTTGGTTTGTTGCACAGCACCTGCGAGTGCACTGGTATATTTGATATCATGTCTTATTGCGCGGGCATAGTGCTTTTCAAAAGGACTGATTGCTGAGGACACACAAATAAGAATGCGAAGTGACTCGGCTACAGCCGAACCCCGCTACAACGAAAGTGACGGGGCGCGGAAAGAATTTCGTTGAAGCGAAAATTTAGTTGTAGTGAAATCAAAAAAGTATCACTATCTGAGCTAGAAATACAAAGGAACGTTTATTCTCAAAATTCAAAAAATGTCCGCTGCTTCCTATTCTTTCCCAGCAGCGTCACGACGTGATTCACAGTCATGCGCAACGAGGCCATGGTGAAAACCGCTGAAATAACACCTACAACCGCATTCGTAAACGTACCAAACAGTTGCATTAACACGTTAACAACAGCAGCCATCCGCCGTCAAAGTGTATCCGACAACGCCGAGATGGAGGCATGGTATCGTGGAGCGGTGACTTTTACCTTATTCTATGCGATTCTTATCATCCAAATCTCGCGGCTGGCTGATTTGGTTGATAATGCAGACGAACAGCCGCTCTGATTAGGTACACACTGGGCAAGCGCGAATAAAATGATAAGCATTGGAATCAGAAAAGGCATCGTTCCACAGTTGCACGCAGCAGCTGCGTGAAGGAAACCATGAACTAAGTGACTGAGCTTCAGCTTCGTGTCGTCAGCGACTCGAAAACAAGCCAGTGGCAAAAGCAGGGCCATCCTCCATGAGCAGGGCAGTCTCATCGCTATCGCTATCGAGCAACGGCGGCGCCCAAGTTTGGTGAACAGCGGCGGTTTCTGGTGGTGCCAACGCGCGTTTTAGACTTCTTTGACGCGTTTTCAGGTTTTCAAAATGCATCAAAGTGTTAAATATTGGGTTTTCTGAATAGCAATAAATATCTGAGCCTGGAATCACATCGTGAAATTTTGTTGAAGCGGGACGGCAGAAGAAAAAGTGTTCGTTGTGGCAACAATATTTATTTATGCATTGACTCTTATGGACTGCTGACGGGGAACCATGAATTTTTCGTTGTAGCGGCGTTCGTTGTAGCGGGGTTCGACTGTATAGCGCCGGCGGCAACAAGCCTTAGTAGCGGAGAGCGAAAGATAAGCTGGTCTCTTTTGCGCATGGCGGTTGCCGCCAACGGTTGTACAACTCTAGCGTGGGTCCTCGGTGCATGGCACCTGGGTTAGCACGTCGGAGGCCCTCGTGATAAGTCAAGCGTTGGCGACGCCACCTTGGGGGTGTTATTGTGTTTGTCATATTTTGGAGTATTGTGTAAGGTTGTTTAGTGTATGATCACGATTGATTTATAATAATTCGGGGGACGATATTGTTACGTAAAATGAGGCGTTGCATGGTGCACGTGTCTTTCCAAAAGGCACATTTTGGGTTACAACTACCAGGTGGTAGGTGGCGTTGTGTTCGCGAGCAGTGATTACCACTATACCATACCACTATCATCATCATCATAGTGTAGCGTGGGCGGCAACAAGCCTTGATAGCGGCGAGGAAAAGATAAGCTGGTCTCTTTTGCGCATGGCGGTTGCCGCCAACGGTTGTACAACTCTAGCGTGGGTCCTCGGTGCATGGCACCTGGGTTAGCACGTCGGAGGCCCTCGTGATAAGTCAAGCGTTGGCGACGCCACCTTGGGGGTGTTATTGTGTTTGTCATGTTTTGGAGTATTGTGTAAGGTTGTTTAGCATATGATCACAATTGATGTATAATAATTCGGCGGATGATATCGTCATTCTAAAATTAGTTAAATAAATGCTAATTCTGTCCATTTTGCTGACTATGTGAAAACAGGAATGAGAGTTTCAGAAGGCTGAAGTTCACACCGCTGTCTGTTTACCTGTCTACCATGAGTATTGGAACACATCCTATATGTGCTAATGGTTCTCCAATTTAATTCGGATGCTGCAACGAAAAGATTAAAGTCAATTACCGTATCCGCCAGTCAGCAAGTTGAAACTGCTTGTCAGCCTCTATCTGGCAGTAATGCTTTAGCAGGAAGGCCAGAGAGAAGTGAGCCAAGCCAAGCACCTTGGCTGCCTGGCCTGTATCAAACAGCCCCACAAGGTACAAGCCGAAGTCGCGCTGCAGCCACAACACATCCATGTCTGCACCGTGAAAGACCTGCAAACAGATACAGACACAACATTACCCCCGCCAACACTGCCTCAGTTGACAATACTTAAAACCTTATGTTTATGTATTGAATAATGTATTATTATGAGGCTGCAGTGGCTTGAAACACAGTCAATGCCAGATATATCAAACTCAAATATACCAACTTATTGGATAGTATATCGAACAGTTGCGAAATCCCCTTGAATTTCCCATGAAAAAATATGAGACCGGTGCACCCGTATATCGAACTCCTATACAGCGAGACATCCACTGTATTGAACGCTGCACGCGCTGAAGCCCAGAGAGTGGATTTTCGTTAGCAAATACTAATCAATTTTCTACTGTGATTTAACAAGTTCTAATCCCCTTGTGTGCGCAGGCGACGAAGAGGCGGTACTATTCCATTGTACTGATTTGGTTTGTTGCACAGCACCTGCGAGTGCACTGGTATATTTGATATCATGTCTTATTGCGCGGGCATAGTGCTTTTCAAAAGGACTGATTGCTGAGGACACACAAATAAGAATGCGAAGTGACTCGGCTACAGCCGAACCCCGCTACAACGAAAGTGACGGGGCGCGGAAAGAATTTCGTTGAAGCGAAAATTTAGTTGTAGTGAAATCAAAAAAGTATCGCTATCTGAGCTAGCAATACAAAAAGAACGTTTATTCTTAAAATTAAAAAAAGTGTCCGCGGCTTGCTATTCGTTCCCAGCAGCGTCACGACGTGATTCACAGTCATGCGCAGCGAGGCCATGCTGAAAACCGCTGAAATAACGCCTGCAACTGCATTCGTAAACGTACCAAACAGTTGCATTAACCCGTTAACACCAGCAGCCATCCGCCGTCAAAGTGTATCCGACAACGCCGAGATGGAGGCATGGTATCGTGGAGCGGTGACTTTTACCTTATTCTATGCGATTCTTATCATCCAAATCTCCCGGCTGGCTGATTTGGTTGATAATGCAGACGAACAGCCGCTCTGATTAGGTACCACACTGGGCAAGCGCGAATAAAATGATAAGCATTGGAATCAGAAAAGGCATCATTCCACAGTTGCACGCAGCAGCTGCGTGAAGGAAACCATGAACTGAGTGACTGAGCTTCAGCTTCGGATCGTCAGCGACTCGAAAACAAGCCAGTGCCAAAAGCAGGGCCATCCTTCATGAGCAGGGCAGTCTCATCGCTATCGCTATCGAGCAACGGCGGCGCCCAAGTTTGGTGAACAGCGGCGGCTTCTGCTGGTGCCAACGCGTGTTTTAGACTTCTTTGACGCATTTTCAGGTTTTCGAAATGCATCAAAGTGTTAAAGACTGGGTTTTCTGTATAGCAATAAATATCTGAGCCTGGAATGACATCGTCAAATTTTGTTGAAGCGGGACGGCAGAAGAAAAAGTGTTCGTTGTGGCGACAATATTTATTTATGCATTGACTCTTATGGACTGCTGACGGGGAAGCGCGAATTTTTCGTTGTAGCGGCGTTCGCTGTAGCGGGGTTCGACAGTATAGCGCCGGCGGCAACAAGCTTTAGTAGCGGCGAGCGAAAGATAAGCTGGTCTCTTTTGCGCATGGCGGTTGCCGCCAACGGTTGTCTCTAGCGTGGGTCCTTGGTGCATGGCACCTGGGTTAGCGCGTCGGGGGCCCTCGTGGTAAGTCAAGCGTTGGCGACGCCACCTTGGGGATGTTATTGTGTTTATCATATTTTGGAGTATTGTGTAAGGTTGTTTAGTGTATGATCACGATTGATTTATAATAATTCGGGGGACGATATTGTTACGTAAAATGAGGCGTTGCATGGTGCACGTGTCTTTCCAAAAGGCACATTTTGGGTTACAACTACCAGGTGGTAGGTGGCGTTGTGTTCGCGAGCAGTGATTACCACTATACCATACCACTATCATCATCATCATAGTGTAGCGTGGGCGGCAACAAGCCTTGATAGCGGCGAGGAAAAGATAAGCTGGTCTCTTCTGCGCGTGGCGGTTGCCGCGAACGGTTGTCTCTGCCGCGGGTCCTCGGTGCGTGGCACCGCGGGTTGCGCGTCGGGGGCCCTCGTGGTAAGTCAAGCAATGACGCCGCCGCCTTGGGGGTGTTATTGTGTTTGTCATGTTTTGGAGTATTGTGTAAGGTTGTTTAGCATATGATCACAATTGATGTATAATAATTCGGCGGATGATATCGTCATTCTAAAATTAGTTAAATAAATGTATGTATGTTGTTTGGTTTGTATTGACCACGTCTGCTGTGTCCGTTCACTCCAAAGCGTGGTGGCGATTGCCAATTCGAGACCCCACAAGCTTGCATCGGCATTCTTGCATCATGCTGTTGTGGCTGAACGAGCTGAATTAGCTTATTTGAAGCTTCAATAATATTGAGGATGATTTGAACAACATGACGACATGCAAGAAGCAAGACAAGTTTACGGACTATTTTTTTGCGAAATAAAGTGCGGTGACTTGCAGTTGACTCCTTTTTCTTCATTATACTGTGAGCAAATTTTTATGTTAGCGCCTGTAACAATTTTTGAAACCTGAAATGCTTTAATTTAGGCCTTAAATACACATAATTTGTATTTCAAATTATCGATATATTAAACTTTTGTGATCCCCTTCGAGTTCGATATGTCTTGGATCGACTGTACTAAGGAACAGAAATAATACAGCTAAACGACATTTATAGCCTCAACAAGTTTAGGGGAAGATGGAAACTAGAAGAGATGAAGACTCTATGAACACAGGATGTCACTGGTATCATCGATTCAACAAGTGGGTGGTGTGTCTTCTTGAAGGTTCAGCCTACGTTGCAACGTTTAGACAAGTCCCCTCATCGAAATTTTGGCTTTACCCTATAGTCACGAATTTTTCATTTATTCAGTAGCCTAGTCGGTTCTTTCTAAGAAAACACATTTAGCACAAAGCATGAAGCACTAATGTTGAATATGTCTGTGTGTGCATTGTTTGTTTATAGTTTACTGACAGAGTTCGTTACTGACAAAGCTGAGTAAATGCAGCTCGCTTTACTTTGTTAGATTGTTTGAAAGTATCGCATGTGCCTATACAAGCTTACTATGAGACGTGAAGCAGAACCAGAGAGCATGCCGCTCTGCATGATCAGGTCAAGTGGCATAAGTTTGCAATTCACAAGAACACATGGAAGCACAATCACACATTGATTCCTAACCCACCATGGGGGCAAAAGTGCTTGGAGATCCTGTAATCACTCATGATCTTACAATTATGGTTTTATTAGCATTCTCTCTATTGGCCGCCGTGGCTGTGCTCATGAATGTTTTTCAAAGCACATAAAGCATGAGAGAAACAACAGCGCAAATCAAGCAACATACCGTTGATGCCGTTGGAGTGCAAAATTTAATTCACAAGCTTAAGTTATCCTCTTCTTGTGGCGTAGATGAAATCAACTCAAAGTTTCTAAAAAACACTGCATTGTATTCATCAATTTACTTGTCCTTAATCTTTTCGCAATCTATTCAGACCTCCACTTTGCCGCTTGACTGGAAAGTGGGGAAGGTGGTCCCTCTGCACAAATCTGGTAACACACAGTCTCCTCTCAATTACAGACCAATTTCCCTAACCAGTGTTCCTTGTAAAATGTTAGAACATATAATTTACTCCAACCTTGCCTCATTCCTAGAATCAAATTCTTTTTTTACTCCCTACCAGCACGGATTCCGAAAAAGTTACTCATGTGAAACCCAACTTCTTTATTTTACTAATGACATAGCATCGGCTTTAGATCGCGGCTCACTTGTGCATTGCATTTTTCTTGACTTTCAAAAAGCTTTCGATAAAGTGCCTCACCAATTACTCCTCCTGAAAATTAGTGCCTTAAACATTGACCCGAACATTCTTAAATGGATTGAATGCTTTCTGACTAATCGCACTCAGTTTGTAACAACTAATGGCTATAACTCACCTCTTTCTAAAGTAACATCCGGCGTACCCCAAGGTTCCGTATTAGGCCCTTTACTTTTCCTTATATATATTAATGATCTCCCAGACAGCATTAACTCCGCTATAAGGTTATTTGCAGATGATTGTGTAATTTACCACGAAATAAACAATGAATATGATAACCAATTTCTACAGTCAGACCTTGACACTGTCTCAACCTGGTGCAATAAATGGCTTATGACTCTCAACTCTAACAAATCTAAATGCATGTCAATAACCCGGCGATCTATTTCTCCCCCCTGTACCTACAGAATTAACGCCGTTCCCCTCCAGCATGTCTCTTCATATAAGTACCCTCGGCGTTTACATTACCAACAATCTATCTTGGCACACGCATGTTACCTACATCTGTAATAACGCTAACCGAACGCTAGGATACTTACGCCGCAACTTTTCTCGCGCTCCGCTGTCCCTCAAAATTCTATTATACCGATCACTAATTCGCCCAAAGCTTGAGTACGCGTCCGCTATATGGGATCCCGTGCAGCAAAATTTAATTAACGCGTTAGAATCTGTTCAGAACCGCTCAGTTCGGTTCATTTGTTCTAATTATTCCCGTACTGCTAGCATATCAGAAATGAAATCTAACCTTGACTTACCCAATTTAACTGTCCGGAGGAAACTGGCGCGACTGCATTTTTTTCATAAGATATTTTTTCACAATCCATCAATGAAGCGAGACCTCATTTCACAACCGTCATACCACTCATCGCGCATTGATCACCAGCATAAGGTTGCCATTCCGTTTTGCCGCACCAAATTATTTTCAGCAGCCTTCTTACCGAAAACAGCCGCCGATTTTCTCAGCAATGCTTGTAACTATACGCAGTTTCCATTATCTATCTTTGTCTTGTATGTGCTTGAATTCTTACTTATACATTTTTAGTTGACTTATGTTGCCTTCCCGATTTGCGCATCTGACACTTGTTTCTTTATTTTGTCTCTTTTTTCTTGTGTGTTATAAATGTTGTACCCACCCCCTCTGTAATGCCCTACGGGCCCTGAGGGTATTCTAATAAATAAATAAATAAACAATGAAGTGCCCTAGCTTCATGAGACCTGTGCTCTCATCTTATCATCCTTGTTTCTTCAGTGCCACTTTTTTTCCTTTTCAAGCATTGAACCAACTTTCTCAACAATACACTGTGCTAAAATATATTGAGCTCAACTGTACTGCACTTGCTGCAAACACTTAAGTCTCACACAGGAGGCTGACCTTGACGATCTTGGGGTCGGCAAAAACTTCGTTGAGCATCTGCAGTTCGTGACGCAGAGCCAATGCATCGACGATGTAGTCATGGGTGCGGCTTGAGATCTGCATCAGGCATGTGAAGCCCTGGAAGCTCCTGTATGAATGGTGCTGAAAAAGAGAGAAAAAAAAAGCACAATAATTTTCAGATGATGTGCTCTGAATAGAGATGCCAGAACTGCGCTGGCAAACATGACCAAGAGAGCTTCAACACAAGCTTTACAGAATTTCAATGCAAGAAATAGGTGCAAATAAATGCATGCTGCTCTAAAATGCTTTTGGTATTGGCACTGGAAATCAACTTTTTCCTTTCCGTTAAGCACATATACTTTTAGAAATTCACTGTAGTAAAAGCTTCAAGCTCACTTTGCTTGACCAAGGCTGCTCAAGCATCTGACCTACACAAGCTACAACAGAATATATGTCCCACCTATCCCGTTCACAATGCGAATAATTGACTCAATATCTGCGAATATTTTTTTTGCCCTGCCTGTAAAAACAAACCTGTATTTTGCTACTAAATGATAACAAGCAAACTTGACTATATGTAAAGCATGCAAATGCACCACTATTAAGACATAAAGGTGTCAGTGCATATATGCAAGAAATGTCTTGTCCAGGAAAACTGAAGTCTTTAGGAGGATATGTAAGCATCAGTAGGCATAAAATATCTATTCAGCATGCACAAGGTATACTAGTCAGAATGAAGAGTGCAAGTGTTTTTTGCTTAGTAGACCACGCTACTATGGTCTATATGGGTGTAGAAGTAACAATACATTTTCTGGCCTGCTTTCTCTATGACACTACAATAAAGAGTTTCCTCTGTGCACACACAATCTTCTTCAGAATGCCAACTACATTTTGAGGGCAATTTCAGACAATAGAAAGGAAAAAAATCACATATGTAAAGTTGAAATTCGACCTACTGAATTTTTTTTACAGTACGAGTTTTCCCACTGCAGTGTTATGATTGGTGGTTTTGACAGCTCTATTTGTTTGTAAACATGCTGACCCTTTGGCACTGCAATCAAGTAGTTCAGCAAGTGGAAAATGGGACTATGGTCAGTGAGGTCACTGGTGCGAAATGTGACATGCAAGCTTAGCCAATGTTTTAAAACAATTACAGTACTGCACAGACAATCCCAAAACAATATGAGTGAACAGACTCCTTTTGAGCTTGTTCTGAGAACGACCGCTTGACACTCACGAGAAGGAAAAACTGCAACACTAGAGATAAGGATGACATAAGAACGTAGGATTGCCACCATATGTGTTCTCATCCCATCGTCATTCCTCTTGCACTACTGTTTTTTTTTTCCTTTTGATCTTCTGAACCAACTCGCCCAACGAAACTCAATACTTGGAACGCTCGTGGCGCATACCTCCAAGTCCACAGCAATCTCAGTTTCTTTTGACAATGCCTCACACATGTCCTTCAGCTGATCGACTGTTTCCACTATGGTGCAGGGTGTCTCCTCAAGAGGTGGGGGAAGCCTCTGAAAAGTTGAGAGAAATATACGTTAAGTTAAGCATCCTTGCATTGGATGCACATCACATTAACGTTTCCGAGATAGCTTGCATGGTGTAAGACATGAAAACGCAGTTCTTTTCCCAGAACTGTGACAGACTCGAGTTACCTGCCAGACGAGCTTTTTGCAAGTGAATACAAGGTTCTAAAGCTTGAAAATTATCTCCTTAGCATTTAATGTTTCAATGTACTGTATCTCGTTGCAACTGTTGCAGTTAAACAGGCTTGCTGATTCTTTTAGCATGTTGATTAATATTTATTGTAATTCACTTTTGTTGTTTTTATTGTTGGTGTTAACGTTACCTTCATATTTTTCTTGCCCTTTCTGCTTGAGCCAAGATGTCGGTCTGCAGTATATTCAAATAAATAAATTAAATAAGTAACACACTCTTATCAGTACTTGAATATTCTGCATCTACTGTTTTGGAAGAAGCAGGAAACAGCATAAAGCTGCATACAAATGGCATTTTCTGCTAGTCGCTGCTCATTAACAGGGGTTGCATTTCAAGAAAGGTGGCCGAACTGAACAAGTCAAGCAATTTAATTTTGTGTTGTACACCTACACAGTCCCTCTTTTTAAAGATATATGAAACCATCCAGCGCCTCTACAAATTTCACAAAAGTAGTCGAAACCACCGAAGATGAATGGTGTATCATACTTCTCATGTGAGCACAACTGTTAAACGCTTGTTGAAGCAGCTGGCCTAAATACATTCATGGCTGATAATAGTTCACAAGTACTATGTAGACACACAGAAGTGTTCGTGGTGAACCTGTAAATTGCTGACATTAAAATTATTAAGTCAATGAGCACATTACAAAGACATGACACTCTACATAGCCAGATGTAATAAATACATCAGAGGGAACAATTTCATATCATTCTGCATTGTCAATGTAGAACTGCATCGACATGTAGCCCTTCTTATACATACATGAAGTTTTTCATGAGCTACGTTTGATCAAGCTTTGTCTTCAGCTCAAACAGTACAAACTGCCCCCTGCATTTGCTTTTCCTGTATGTAACGCACTATTGCTTTTATTGGACATGATAGGGCACTAACTACATTTGACAACATGACATAGTTTTATCCAGACGTGTGAGTTTGCTATTTCATCCGGTAGGGGGCAACACATGTGGCATCGACTATGGGAGGGAGAGTCAAGCGAAGCTGTACATTGAAAGATGTTTGCTTGATGAATAAATGTAGATCAGGTGATGCACAATTGTCGTGAACAAAATTGGGAAGTCTGTGCGAGGTTCATTCCAACACTATACTACAAATCTAGAACAAGATGCTGTTGCTAAAGGACTCCTGAGGTATGCAGACTGAAGGGGACTATAACCTAAACTGATATCTCAGATTCCGCCTGTTGTGAAAAATAACAATACTAATTACAAGCTTGACTGCTGTACAGCTTAAATGCTCAATATTGGCGCCACAATTGTGTTGCACAGTCCTGGCATTGTGAAGCCTTAAATAGTTTTTTTAAAGGGGTACTGACGCTAAATTTCGCAGTCCAGATAGCCAGCAAGATCGATTATCGTGAACATGCGAATATCATCCACAAAATATAAACAGCGAACATAGCTAGAAAGGTATTTTACATGAATTTTGAAATTTGCGTGAGCAACTGAGCACTGCCCCGTCAAAAGTGACCTACGGTAACCCCCTACTTCCCTCACGACGCCACACTGCAGTCAATACGAGTTATGATGCCCTGCCGTGGTGGTCTAGTGGCTAAGGTACTCGGCTGCTGATTCGCAGGTCACGGTATCAAATCCCGGCTGTGGCGGCTGCATTTCCGATGGAGGCGGAAATGTTGTAGGCCCCTGTGCTCATATTTCGGTGCATGTTAAAGAACTCCAGGTGGTCGAAGTTACCGGAGTCCTCTACTACGGCATCTCTCATAATCATATGGTGGTTTCGGGCCGTTAAACCCCACATAATCAATCAGTACGAGTTATGATGACATTATAGTCCCCATTTTTTTATTTGCTGCTTTTTCTACAGCATACTATAACACAGCGACTGCTTGAGAGTCCGTTGCCACAGCACATGCATTCAAAGTTTTGATTGATATGTGCGGTTTAACGTCCAAAAACCACCATATGATTATGAGAGACGCCATAGTGGAGGGCTCCAGAAATTTCGACCACCTGGGGTTCTCTAATGTGCACCCAAATCTGAGCATACAGGCTACAGCATTTTGGCCTCTATTGAAAATGCAGCAGTCGCAGCCGGGATTCGAACCCGTGACCTTAGGGTCAGCAGCCGAATACCTTGGCCACTAGATCACAGCGGCAGGGACATTAAAAATTTTGTGTTTGGCAACACTGTTGCCCTAGGCAAATGTGCATCACAGTTCTGTGTGCTAACATGGTCGAGCATTGCACACACTAGGTGGTGATAGCTCCACTTGGTGGCTTGTTGTTTTTGGAGATTGCTCAAACCAAAATTGAGACAGGTCGGTAATGAGGAGCCTATAATTAATTATATGTTGTGCACAGCAGCAAATGATGTGCCATGTTGTGACTAACAGGCCCCAACAACACATTGCAGCAAAAAAAATGTGAGGCCACAAATTTTTATGCCAGTGAACCTTTAACAACTGAAAAAAATTGCGAGCTCAAAGAAAAAGTTATGATAAGTTTTCTAGTAGTGTCAGGAGATGCCTCTAGTTTAGCAGGTAAAAAATGCAGTATGTGATTGCACACTTTTCTCACCTCTTCAGAAGGTGCCCTCAATTGTGAGGGTGATGGCTCAAAATGCTCTATCTCCCACTCATAGGGGTGGCTGTAACTGCAATGGGCAAAATAGGGCATCTTACACTCTCACGGCATATGCACTAAGTTTCTCACATTCACTGAACATTTCTCAATATCATACCGAAGTCTGTGGGATTTCAGGCCGCTAAAATTAATTCCTACTCTAACATAGCTCAGCAACAAAATAAAATAAATTTATAAGATTTACTGTCCCCCCCCCCCCCAAAAAACTGTGTATCTGTCATGTCATATTTGATGGCTCTCAATTAAAAAGAGAGCTACTTTTCAGAACATTTTCAAATTTATGATCAATCTTAACGAGAACTAACAGAAGATATTGCCAAGAAAGGTTTGGGAGGATGTTGCTATAAGTAATTCTAATGTAAATGAGAAAAAAAGAAAAGTGGATAAAAATATAACTTGTCGTGAGCAGGAACCGAACCTGTGACCTTCAAATAACGCGTTCAATGCTCTACCAACTGAGCTACCACGGCAGCTATCCTCTCATACGCTGTATTGGGCATGTGTGTTATCTTTTCAACTACTTTTCTTTCTTCACATTTACATAACAATTATTTCTAATATTATTCCCTATATTACTTTCCTTGGCATAATTGTCGGTGAGTTCTCATTGACATTGTGTCCAACAAAAAAATGAGCCCTTAAATTAACACTTTTTATGGTTAATTTAAGTTATGCAATGCAAGGTGCTAGTAGCTTTATGTTAGCTTGGTGATGCATTCACAGCAGGGAAACATTACGAAGCACTGATTACAAAGAACACAGGACACAGTGCTGACAGAACGAGCGCAACTTTCTGTCAATACTGTGTCTTGTGTTCTTCGTAATCAGTCCTTCATAATGTCTCTCTATTGTAAGTGCATCGCCAAGCCAACACAGAAAAATGTTTACGACACCTGATAAATTCATGTAACTTGAGTTCAGACTCCAAATATCCAGTTGTTTTTAGAAGTGTTCGAATATTTTGGGAATGGCATTTGCTAATCGATTTGATTTGCACTGAAACTTTCACTAATTAGACTATTTGAACTTTCAAAAGGCAAATACAGTCAATGTCAAATTAAAAGTGACCCCTTCAAATATTTATCATGCTTCACCTCCTTAAATTGTCGTATTGCAGCAAAGCTGTTTTTCAAGCTCCGCTACGGTCTAACTTTACGATCAATACAGTCGTCTAATTGAAAACGGCTCCTTCAAATTTTCAAATGCCTCACTTCACCACACTACCGTACTGCAGCAAAGCCGCTTTTCAGGCTGCACTACGGTTGCAAATGGTAGATGTGGCACTAAAATACTTGACACTAAAAATGCTAAACGCTGAACAGCATTTTATTTATTTTACAATGTTCAGACAAGCAGAACTGTTTCATTCTCAAGGAATGAAAAAAAGTTGACATGACCACTAGGTACGATTGATGGGTGATACACAAGTATACCGCACATAGAGGACAGGATAACAGAATGGAATGCATAAAAAATGAATACCACAGTATAAAAAACCACGTGATTCAAGATGTGTGACTGTGACTGCATTGTTTCCATGCTTGTACAATCCTCTTTGGCCATCCAATTTAAGCAATTTGCACTAAAAAAGTTGCTGTGAAATTTTTACTTGCTTATACAAACTAATTTAATGATGGGCAAATGGCAAATTTTAGGTTTAGAGCAAATAGTGATTTATTTGAATAATTTTGTATTAATTAGTTTGAATATTGTATATCGCATATTATAAAAAAAAAAATGAGCATTTTTGTCAAGACCTAACATGTGCAATTCGCTTAAGAACTGGAACTAGGCACATGCAAATGTCACTTTTTTGGGTTGAAGTAAAGTGAAAGCAACTATGAATGGTACTAAGATATAAAGATTTGAATAGCATTAGGGTCCAAGTAATAAGTGATCAATTACAATATGTTTTAAAACTTACCACACCTACCTCATATGAGCCTACATAAGATGATTTTATACATAAAAACATAATTAGTTGAGGAGCAGGTAGCACGTAAATTTAACATTTAGGTGTGGTTTTCTCCTGAACAGGTGGTTTCACAGTAGAGCAACTTCCCTCTGTTGTGAAACCATTTTTTACAGGTGCATACCTGCCAAGTTCAAGGATTCTGAATCCAGGAGATTTCCGCCGTGAGAAGAGGGAGGGGGGTCATATTGATTTATCCTCCCTCCCCCCTTTTTGCACCAAAAGGAAACAAAAAGCATCACAAGAAAAACGGACGGGTCACGTTGGTTTATTCCCCCCTTTATTGCACCAAAAGAAAACAAAAACATTGAAAAAAATTAATGGGGAAACGCGTAAACATTGGCGATGCACTTCCAAGCTTCGCTTGAGACCAACTGAAAACTGAATTCCAAAGTACCCAGATGTTACTGACAATGTATGTTACTAAATTCCTTGGTGAGGAATGCCATAACACTTCTATCTTTTTTTTTACGACTTCATTGCCTTTAATCTATTGCTGCGTTAGCCTTGTGACCTCAGCTACCTCGCTGCGAGCGTGGTTTATCGCATGGCAGTTGCTGAGAATGGTAGTTCTGTTTTCAATTTCCGTGCACTGGCTGCACACATGTCTTCAAAACAAAGTCGTTTTTTCGCTATCTATGATTGCATCTGCCATGGTTTTGTTCATAGCATTTGTGGAAAGCAACGTCACTTTGACTGGTCGAGCAGTGGACGTGCATGCACTTTCGGTTACGTTGTCCCCATACCTGACCATGTCAAGAGAATTTTTGCCCAGTGAATGCTGTGAAATTTTACTGGGAATTTTCACAAACTTGTATCTGCCGGTTTCAAATACCTGATATTCTACTGTACGTTTAGATTAATGCCTCCTAAATTCATTTACAATAAAATGCGATGGTTTCGCAGAAAGCCAAGATCGAACTGGGCTGCATTTTTGCCACTGTCACCAAATCATGCACAGAAATTTCGATTTAAGGGAATTTTTCATGACAACTGAACAAAAGTAAGAATTGGTTGAAATCCGGGAGGCTCCCTGAAAATCAGGGAAACTTGGCCATTATGCAGGTGTGTTATGCAGTCAAATGTACATTTACATTAATTTCAAATACATTTTAAATAAATAAAATTCACGTTAAAGGGAATTCGAATACTCTATTGAATATTTGAAATGCTCTAATATTCGCCCATGGCCCATGCCTAAAACTAACAATAACAAAAATGCATCACGTGCATTTTAAATCTTTTTGAGTTATGCACCCCTATATCATATTTGACAGTAAGTACTTACTACAGGGATTGAAAAGCCACAATAGAATTCGGAGCAACTTTTGGAGAAGCAAAATGCTTTTGGAACACAATATGAAAATTTGGGGCGGGTTACAAAAAAAAGACGAAGTTTTTGTCAGGGAAATCTCCAATTTGGAGTAGTATACCAAAGACACAACTTATTTCTAGAAAACAAAAATATGTGCAAACCATTCAAGAGCTCCTAAATCGTATATATAGTGCTCATGAACACCACTATTTCAGTAAAAGCAGTATTTTAATAAAAGCTATAAAAGCAACCAAATCAACATCAGCACTTAGAGTTTGTGAAATTTTTGACAGACTCTGGAAGTTGAAAGGCGGATCTGCCAAGCTGGCGACCTTGAAATTCGGAGGGTTAGTAAAGCAGCAAAAAGTGGGAGTGGTGAAAAAAACATGGCGTATGGTTTTCTTTATTGTTTTCTAAGGTTGCAGAAGTGTGCCACACAGCTGCAAATGATTTCCAGTAATTTTTTTTAGACATCAGTGGTCATAATAGTGCTCACAATTATGTGGGAAGTATGGGCATAAGTAATTGAGGCGCAAAGTTTACTGTGTCCTGTAACTAGTGCTAACAGTCCCTTCCAAATCACATTAGGCTTTTCCGCACAGTACCAATGTGATGCGGCGAAGATGGCTCAAGCAGCGTTTTGCATGGGATAGAAGTGACCAAGAAAATTTGGAACCAGCTTCCCTTCACTTCCCCCCCTCCTTTTTTTTTTTTTCTTTTCATGGTGGGCTTAGGTTCAGGGTACAACTTCTCAGTTCTCTTGCACGCATCCGCTGTCGGGTGACAACACTGGATATCTATCAGCAGGAAGATGCGACTTCAGGACAGAAAAATTTTTACATGGTATGCACAGTTTTATGTGATAAATGGCAACATCGTCGTTTTCAGCACTTTAAGCTAGGGCATATGCTTCCAGCTTTAGTTCCATTGTTGTGCCACTGTTGTGTTTGCTGACTAGAAGATTCATATTTCTCGCGTAGTGCTGGTGGGTACGGCAATGCATTTTTGTCTTGCAGTTGCATTGTCCCACCATTCTGCTCCAGTGAACAGACGAAGAGGTGTGCGGCATTGTTCCTTTATCTGGTCGATTACACCTCGTGTGTGGCTTCATCGAGAGTCTTACATTATGGTGGGATGGCTAGACTCTGACCGTGGTTTAGGGTCAGCGCACCTGCATTGGATTATTGATAATGCTTAAACTGAATGTGGCCAATGTGGGCTCCATTTCTTGCTGAAATTAGTGCAACTGAGAAAATTTTGAGGCTGATCAGGTATTTTGGCGCAGTGTCGCACAATTTCAAGTCAGGCATTTTGGCGCAGTGCGGTGCAATTTCAATGATTTCGTGGTTTTGGCTCAGCTCAGTGTAAAAATATGCAATTGTATCAAATTGGCACAATTGTCACAGCTGCACCACCCCTACAACTGGAAAAGAAGCAAACTGCCGAAAGTGACGCACCTTTCTTGTCCATCGAAAGTGTTCTCGGGCAAAATGGCGAGTGGCTTCAGTGAGTGTGGCTTGTCTTGAAGGATGGGAACAAAGGGGGTGTTGCTGTTGTCTACCTTTTTTTTGAAATTGATCTGTGGCCGCACCACGTTCTTGGCCGCCAGCAGGTGGAACTTCGCTGCCTTGCTGGCGCTCTGAAACAGCACGCACAGCTGCCTCTGTGTATCTCACCTCTCACCTTCATCCTTATCCTTTTGCACTGTGCCACGTTCCACTACAAAACAACAATTATTAGCCTCACGCACCACTAAACCGTGACGATAAGTTTTGGGCCCAAGCAAAAAGTAAACTTCAGGTTCAAAGCAAAGAGTGATTTGGTCGAATAATTTTGAAATTAATTCTGATGGTATATATCACACATTATATAAAAAAAGAGCATATGCCAGTAGCAGCTACTGGCGAGTGACAACCTGTAAAATATGTTACGTTATACAATTTACTGTATTTAGAGCATATAGGCCGGTACAACGATCTTTTAAACTGAAAAATGATTAATCGATGCAAGAATAATAAGTTCATTTAACATTGAGAGGCTTTGTGGTACTGCGATTTTTTCTTGGATAGGTGTACTCATGGTATAGCAAACTTCCACTACAGAGAAACCCCCTTTACAGACGCTACATGTAGAGCAACGTTTAATAATCCATTTTCAATACTTGAAAAATTTTGAATAACTTAAATTCCACTTGAAGTGAATATACACACTGCAACATTCAATCTTTTTTTTTACTGCAACACAAACTTGCTCTTAAGGCATAATATTTCCAATATTCAAATGCACAACAACCCCTGCTATTTGTTCATGCTCAATCTCTTTACACAAAAAAGCCCTCTAGTTCTATACATTAATCAAGAGAAAACGTGCATACAGTGACCAAAGACACGATTCAAACTTCTGATGCAAGAAGTGCTGTTTTTTGATACAACAACAGGCGACATGGTTAGTCACCAATTATTTTGCTTCATATGGAATGGTCCCATTATTTTTTTTCTGTTTGGTTTTCCTTTCTGGAGAAAGTAGGACTTCTCAAATAGAAAAAAGAGGCAAACTTGGAATTTATACTGCCCATTAGGAGGCCTACTGTGTATAGACTTCCATTTAATCAATGCACTCAACCGTGAAGACACTACATAGCCCTTCATAAAACTGTTTTCACCACAAGGTGTGCTGCCTCAAGTTCAGGCCACTCTCTACAAGGTGTTCAAACTACATGAGACAAGCCCAGCCTCCATCAAGTTCGGCAAAGGCAACACTCTCACCTTCTTGTTCCAGCTGGTGTGAATAGGCCTGTTTGCGGTCACAGTGACAAGAACAACATCGTCAGCCTTTTTCTTGACTCCATCCGCCTCGTCAAGATTGTTTCCCTGCAATGTGACAGGCCATAAATCCCTAGAAAGCGGCCCCTTCTCTCCGTAGAGACATCTCAAATATGCAGCCTCTTCACCCCAGCCACCACTTTCACTCTTTTATTCCCTTCGTCAGGTGAATGAAAGCAATAAATGCATGCATACTCAATGAAGAATTTCATCGTAAGCACGAGTGTGCATTTGTTGTTCTCAGAAGCTCTTCCTACGCCCTTTTGAATATTGATCCATGGCCCTCGAACCCCTATTCTTTTGTTTATGGATGACAGACTGAAGTATGGACAGATAAATACACCAAGTATGGGGCTGACAGGGGCACACAGTCTAAAGTCATTCAGCGCTGAAAACTCAAGAAACCAATAAAGTGTCCCTGCCCTAAACATACTTCATAAGTTCACATGTCCCTACATGTCTACTGCGTTAACACCATGATGCCAATGGCAGAGCTCAAAGTGACTGCATCGCAGGAGTTACAATATTATATTAAGGATAGCTTGTTGGTGTAGCCTGTTTACAAATGTAAGCGCGGCACTGAATTGGCGAGGACGAGACAGAGAGAACACACACAAGCGCTTGAGTGTGGTCTCTCTGTACCGTCCTCGTCAATTCAGTGCTGCGCTTATATTTATGTATACTATTATATGCTTTCAAAACTTCTCAGTTGATAAGCACACAGTTTCATGTGGAAGGTATGCGACACAAATTTTATGCCTCCAGAAGTATGAGCAGCTGCTATGAAAATTACGGATGTGCATGTTCAGATGTTGCTTTTCAAGGTGGCCAGTTAACCCAAGAAACCATTAATATTTCCTGACTTTACCTATTTCAAGTCAACACTAACCGAACAGAAGTGCCCAAAGTACCCACAAATGAGAAGTCCACAAAAGAATTTCTAATTAATGTCATAGTTTTTGTATCGACACTCTCCAACAGAAAGACAGAGCTGATAAAAAAGCACTAGAATAACGGCACAAGATTCAACAGCAAGTACCATGTACACAGCAAGTACACGAGATTACACTTGTATACAAACAACTGAGCTAGGCTTCTGTGTGTGCCATATCAAATACATTTTAAATATTTACTCTTTAATGAACGTCACTCCAAGCCTTGTAGCATTACTGATGTGTTCAGGTGGTTGTGGGCTTTGGACGAAGTACTGCCCAACTCAGTGGACTTGGATTTTCTCAGACAAGGTTTAAGCATGTGATAAAGAACAGCCTGTACTTAATCCTATGTGAACATGGTTATTATGTTTTTAATAGCTCACATCATTTCACTTTTGTATGCGCACTGTCTTCAACAAACTGAAGTAACTTACGCGAAGTATGTGAATGAAAACAATGCAAGCCAAAATACCACAAAATGCCATACTTTAGAATGCCATAATATAGAATCACAAGCGTTTCACTGAACTGCAGTAGCAGAACATACCACTCTCTCAAGCACTGTGTCATTGATGTCGGTTAGAAGATCAAACTTCTCCTCCAAGTCCAATCCCTCAAACTTCCCTTTCCCAACCTGGTGGTTGGCTAGAGATGACATTCTGGAAATCGAGCACATTATTGTATTAATGCCAAGCAAAACTGGTCTAAGTAATTATTTCACAAGGATGCGTGGCATTACAATACCATGATCGCAATGCCTACAGGTAGTGCAAACTATTGGATAAACCAGTGGACCTTTTTAACGCTCCCTTAGAGTACACTGTGGTCATCAATATTGATACACAATTAACTAAGCACAACCGAATGTGAAACTTCTGGTCTTGATGGCAAATAATGTAACTTACCATTCACTGCATTACAAAATTTGGGCAAAAAATTATCTGTAGCATTAATGTGCTAACAAAACAATCATGTATGCTGCCCTAATGGTCATTAACATTACCATCCCTTGAAGAAGAACGGCTATTTGGGCTAGTTGGTTAGAATTCATTGTAATAAGGGCTGCAGCGCGAGCACGAGGACAACACAGCGCTCGTGTTGTCCTAAATATAAGACAAAACACATTACAAGAACATTTATATTGGTTAGCTAATGATAACTTGTCACGATGCTTCACTACAACTCATCTTTTTGTTCATTGCTGGTAACAATCTTGTCCTAATTTAAAAAAAGCTTATGGCACAAGAGCAATAAACTGTAGTACAACAGTCGACAAGCAAAAAGGAAAATCTTGAAGAACTACAACTTTCGAAATCAATATGAGAGAAAAAAAAAACAATTGTAAGACTGCAGGAAGCAAAGGAAGAGCAGCGCGTGTACATGCTATCATTTTTAAGTTTCTTCATACTTGTTCCATGCTCTATGAACCTACCAACTAGCCCTACTAATAACACTTACAGCTTGAGTAAACTCTTCCCTTCTGCCAGCATGACTTGACGAAAACTGGCAAAACTGCTGAAATACTCAAAATCTTCTCCAGCTCCTGGTAGGTCATTAGCTGCTTTCGTTGCCTGGACAACAGAACGAAGGAGACTCTGCCAAGAAATTAAATAAATTAATGGTCAGGACACTCAGCTGGCTGCGTGATAAAATATGCCAACAACTATTAAACCTCATTTTAAATATGAGCTGCCATGCACTTGCTTGCTTTGAAGCTTGCAAGATAGCTAACTAAACATCTTCAATTTTGCCAGGTGCTTCAATCTCGCGCCAGATTCACGACCACACAAACAAAGAAAGCACTTAGGTTTGATATGTGGGGTTTAACATCCCAAAACCACCATATGATTGTGAGAGACGCCGTAGTGGAGGGCTCCGGAAATTTCGACCACCTGGGGCTCTTTAATGTGCACCCAAATCTGAGCACACGGGCCTACAACATTTCCGCCTCCATCGGAAATGCAGCCGCCGCAGCCGGGATTCGATCCCGCGACCTGCGGGTCAGCAGCCGAGTACCTTAGCCACTAGACCACCGCGGCGGGGGAAAGCACTTAGGATAACGTATGCATTATTAAAACATTTCCACCTATGATCTGTTTCCTGCTCTAATTTCATCATATCAGTCAGCATTTCTGTTGTTTATGCAGTTGTAATGTGCCACGGCTGAGCTACTTATCTAATTGGACATCACCGAGAAAACTCCTCTCCCCCATGCTGGCATCCTAACAACGTACATGTTTAGCTTTTCACACACGATACCGTGCGATCGCCTGATTTTTTTAAATTTTTATTTCTTCGAGCGTGTTAAAATAAAACCATTATCTCCAGGCAATGTGTGGAGGCCAAGAAGTGATTCTGACCAACCGCCGCATCTATTGAAAATTGCTACCTAGCAGATAGTAGAGCTGGAAGAAAGACGGCTACGTTTTCTTAACTGCTTCTAGCAAAATTCGCTGCAACTGTCAAGTTTCTAACACGCGAACTGCGAACATAAAGGTATATTGTTTACTTCCGCCAGGACAGACACTGGACTGTCGGAAGTTTAACTGACAGTGGACTCTAATGGCAATAGATAACAGAATCGTCAACAAATTTTCAGTGCGGACGCTAGAAGCAACAACGTGATCGCTTGGCGACATCGGCCGATGCTCGTCCGCGAGGAAAGCCTCACCTCGGAGTATTTGTTGGAGTTATCGTACGCGTTTAAAAACTTTGCTTGACTGGATGAAGCGGCTGAAGGTTCTTCTTCTTTTGAAGCCATTTGAAAATACGTCGCCAGCAACGACGCCCAAAGCTTCACATATATTAGAATATTAGGCTCGAACCTGCCTCCACGATAAACGCCGCCATCTTGAGCAATAAACTGAAAGAGCAGCACGTGAAGATCCGCTAAAATTAGAAGACAAAGTACGCTAGTCTTTCTTTTTTTGTATTATTCTCTATTCGTGCATAAAGTGCAAGGGTACTTTTAAAACACATTTTACATTTATACACTTTGTCGGTGTTATTTATTGGTGTACATTATCTTTATATTTTTCGATTGTAGGAGTTTGAATCCAATCCAAGACAATCTTGTGTTGACGCAGCAACCACGGCAACCACACACGGGCTCGCCGCGCAAACTCCGGTCTAGTCGCGCGGAAGCCCTTACGCACAAGCGCGCGGTTATGGATCGGGAAGATTTAGAACCTCGCGTTGGAAGTGAGAAGAAGCACGTGGCGTCAACGACCTCCGCTTCTCGAACTCTGCAACCATCTGCGACAGTGTATGCAAACTCGCCGGTGTCTTACTCGGTTGCCGTAGTGTCGTTACTGGTCGTTTCGATTGCTTTGCTTTACGAAGTGCGCCAACTATGCTTAAATAATAACATTCTACTCGTATCTCTCAATGCAACGACGAAAGCAACGAATGAAGTCAAGCCCATCGTATGGGTGTATAGTAAAGGGTCAGATCAAAGCCATTTGCGACACGTCATTGAATCATTCCGCCGGTACGGATACCGGCTCGGGGAACGCGCGGACCGGTGGTCTGTGCTTTGGTCGCACGATTACCCGTTCACTGAACTAGCCAGTGACATGCGCGAGTTGAAGCCCGGCCAGGTGGTCAACCACTTCCCGGGTTCGGGTTACATCACCAACAAAGCTAGTCTCTCCACGGACAGGTCTATCCGAGAGCTGCCTCTGACGTTCAGACTTCCGGCCCAGAAGGACGAGTTCTTGCAGAACATTGACGAGCGACCTCATGTCATGTGGGTGCAGAAAAACCGAGACCATCGGGGAATACACGTGGTCGATCCCGTCGAAGTGGCAGCTGCAGCCGACGACGAAGAGACCTTCGTGCAAGAGCTGATCGCCAACCCGCTGCTCATTGACGGCAAAAAGTTCGACATCGGCGTCTACGTAGCCATGACGTCTCTCGAACCCCTGCGTGTGTACGTGTACAGGGGCGACGTGTTACTGCGCTTCTGCGCGCGTCCGTACGACGCGCTGCACTTCAACGCCTCCGACCTGGACTCCTACGTAGTCGGCGACGACTACACGCCTATCTGGGATATGCCGTCGCTGGCCCGCTACTACGTGAGTGATCAGCTAAGCATGAAGACCAGCCTGGACGTTTACCTGCGCACGCAAATGTACGCTATGTTTGCCTCTCTGATTACACAAAACGTATCTCTCTCTCTCTCTTTTTTTTTTTTTTTTGCTTATTGCATGGGAATTCGATCGACCAGTTATTGCTGTGCGCCTTTCACGCAGAAAAAGAAAATCAACTCATTTAGCCGCTACTTTTAACTGAATGTTCCAATAATTTATTAAATTACTTAATTCAACGTTAGATGTAGGTCGGTAAGGGGATAACCGGGTGAATTTTCTTATGACAAAAGTCGGTTTCACTGTGGTTTCCTACTGTTGATACAAGGACAATTCAACCGATAAACAGTGTGTGCTTGCAACGTGACAACAAATAGTTCAGAGTCTGGGGTTTTACGTGCCAAAACCACGATACGATTCGATGAAGGTGAAAATGCTGTAGGCCAGTGTGCTCAGATTTGGGTGCACGTTAAAGAACCCCAGGTGCTCAAAATCTCTGGAGCCATCCGCTACGGCATCTCTCATAATCATATGGTGGTTTTGGGATGTTGAACCCCACATATTTATGTAAACCACGATACGAATATAATCATTCGTGTAGTGAGAGGAGATAAGAGTCAGCCCTCCCCGCCCCCTCCCCCCTAATAAATTAATTTTGCATGTATATGTATATACAGACGCACACATACAAACGTATACACTGATTTAATATTATACGCACCTGAATTGGGCCACATTAAAATCCAGTTATCGTGATTCAGCGGACGTCTGACTGGTCCGCCTTTTTGCACAGTGTAGGTAAATGTGTTGATCCGTACATATAGTACGTCGTTTATTTATTTATTTATTTATTTATTTATTTATTTATTTATTTATTTATTTATTTATTTATTAGACCATATCAGAGTGGCGCGTACAAATAAAAAGGTACACTTGGGCAAAGGACAACAAACGATGTTGATGCAGTTAGTGCAGCACACAGGACACATCAGATGAAATGTTCTTGAAAGGATACCAATGACTTTCCGGTTACAGCATCGTTAGACAAGCTGTTCTACTCGTTTGTTGTAGCAGGAAAGAGTATATTGAACAAAGTTGATTGGATTTATGCAATAAAGGCTTAATTATTTGTGAATGTCGGCAACAAGAGCGTATACCTGTAAATAGAATCAAGATATGCGATGTTCCAGTTTTTTTGTGATGAACACTTACCTACAGGTAGCAGAATTAAAGTCTGCCGGTCAAACAACTTGACAAGGCATGCTGTTTCATGTTGACTACGTACCAACTGGCCCGCGAATAATCTGTGTTTCGAGTCTGCAAGCTGCGACCAGTTGTCTGTGAATCACAAAGCCCGTCTGTAATTATTTTTAATTTTCAATCATTGATTGTGCTAAAGGGCCTGAATTTTCACGGCTTATTCTGGCACGTGATGGATAATTGGCTTGTAGGCAAGCAAATCCACGCGCACTCAAGCTATAGCTTGAGTGCGCGCGTTGAAAAGGCAGTAGCTACAACATTATGCATTTGTGTGTTCTAGGAAAGTTTTTCAGTGCCAATTACCAATCCTTGAAAAGAGTTTCAGCTAAACGTTTAAAAGCATTCGATCACCACTTGAATATGTAAAGAGCAGTGCTTTTACTTTGTTACCAATTTCATTAAAAGTTTCTCTTTTTTTTTTCTTTTTGCCAGGCCGCGGTGGTCTAGTGGCTAAGGCACTCGGCTACTGACCCGCAGGTCGCGGGTTCAAATCCCGGCTGCGGCGGCTGCATTTCCGATGGAGGCGGAAATGTTGTAGGCCCGTGTGCTCAGATTTGGGTGCACGTTAAAGAACCCCAGGTGGTCTAAATTTCCGGAGCCCTCCACTACGGCGTCTCTCATAATCATATGGTGGTTTTGGGACGTCAAACCCCACATATCAATCAAGTTTCTTTTTTTTTTGTTTGCTCCAAGATTGGTAAGCATTTGACGTTGCTTACGCCATAAAGTGAGCAGAGCTCAATTGTTGGTACAAAGCGCCGTTAATAGCACACAGAATTATATGGATGAAAAAAAAAAGTCATATATAAACACTGGAAAAGACAAAATCCTGCGGACAGACCTCTGGCGAACGCCAGAATGAATTGCCGCCCTTCCGGAGGAGAGACGATTGAAATGCACACAGTGACAGTGATTTGAGAGAAATGGCCTGATCCAGCTTACTGCTTCTGCGTTGTTCGATGTGTTTATGAGTCACTTCTTTGTGCGACCAAGATGTGTGTTCTTTTTTAAGTTTTAAGTACCTAATATGCTGCCTCTCGGACTGTCCCGCAGGGTCGCCGACAGTGGTGCCCTGTGGTCCGAAGTGGAGCGGATCGTGGCATCGGTGTACACGCGCAAGGCCGAGGCCATGCGGAGATCGGCATCGCGCTGGCCTCGCATGGGCCGCTTCTTCGAGCTGGTGCGCTTCGACTTCGTGTTGGACGACGCACTGGGCGTGCACCTGCTGGAGGCGAACATGTCGCCCAACCTGAGTTCGGCCCACTTTCCGGCCAACGGACCATTCTACGAGCAGCTGTTGTTCAGCCTGTTCAGCCTGGTGGGACTCGGCGCGTCCAACTCGGCCGATGACTGGAGATTCTTGGACCGGGCCACGTCGGTTCTACCGTCTGACTGTCCGGTAAAGTTAGTGCATAATCACACTGGGTATACGTTTGTGACGAAATGCTATCGTGAAATAGTGACTCGCGCTGCGTTACTTCCATAGGCATGCGCAGAGTTCTCCATTAAAGGGGGGGGGGGGCACGTTTGTTCGCCGCCCCCCCCCCCCCCCCAGTCTCTTTACGCCATGCTCACACCTATGATGACAACTTGTTTGCAGGTCAACCGTAGTGTCACCAGATATTTCTCTATTTATTTATTCTTTGTTCAAGCATTACCCGATTGCGTCATAGCATCTTGCTTGTCATAGCAGCTTGTTACAGCATGTATGCCTGGCATCACAACCATCTTAGAGGGGCCCTGCAATTTTTTTTTTTTCAAAGTACCGTCCAATATCTTCATTACATCAGTTTATCGCCTCATGAATCGACCGCTGATTTTTTTTTTTTTTTCGGATCCGGCAAGTACTGGTCGAGTTGCATAGATTTGTCGCACGGTGCTTTCTCTCGTCCGTACGAACGTGCTGGAAGCTAAGCTGGAAGGAATGGAACGGAGGAAAAAGTTACGTCATTCACGCGTCATCACCATGAGCACTTTTTTTTTTTTTTTTTTGCTTCGAACGCGCGGTTTCCTTTCAGTGCGATGGCCAGCTCGCGCGCGGATTCGCGGCGGCCTCTCACGGTCACCTCGGGAAGTATGCAGCCAATGGCCGTGGATTTGGGTATATGTGACGCGGTCTTTTGGGTGTATGACATCGTTTGTAGAATTGAAATATAATTATTCCAAGCTGCCTTTGGAAATTATTTGTAGATTCCAGGCCGCATGCTACGCGTTTCGAGAAGCCCCTACTACCGATCGGCAGCGTTTGCTAACCACCCTGAAAAAGTGTTGCAGGAACCATGTAAGCCTGCCGCAACCATATTTACACTCGGTGCATCATTTTTGCCGGTATTGGAATTGTTTGTTCGGAAACGCAGCAGATTGTATATATGTACCGAAGTGTTGCTGCTCGGGCGAGCTGGTTATCTCTGGACTCAGCTTGTATTAGCGTGGCACATATTTAAAAAAAAAAGGAAAAATGACGTCTGTGTCGTCTTTTTCTTATTCTTTTTTCATACGTACCGCGCTAATAAAACCTAAGTCCATATATAAGTCCATTCTCGGGTAGTTCACAAACGGACGAAACATGAAGAAGGCACTGCAAGCGCTGGTCTAACAAATGAAAGCTTTATTTCAAAACAAATATGTTCAGGAAGCTTAAACCACATGCGTACTTACGAATGATCAATGAGTAAAACATAATTTTTTTTTATAGTGACGCCGATGGCTGACTAATACAGTTGCTGTCACACTTGTGCATATATCGACCTCTGCGATCTTCACGTGTGCGTACGTTGAGCATGACGATGCGTGATGATAAGATAGCTTAGTCGGGGTAGATTCAAAAATACTTCGTGTATGTTCGTACGTGCGTTTGTGCGTGAGCGAGTATGTACTCGTGCGAAATTGAAAATTCTTGGTGGAGGCAACGTACCCCCCCCCCCCCCCCCGATCCACACCCTTGCTACGCTATAGTGGTGACGACTGAAGTTAGTGCCAAAGGGACGACTGCAGCACGTGCCCTTCGTGTTTCGTCCATGTATGCGTTATCCCGATGAATAGATCCCACCTCGCCCGCTTTTCGGTTCTACTACAATGTATACGCAAGCGCGGGCTCAGTGCAGCGTCATTTTACATGCGCGTGCACGTCTTAGCCATTATTTCTCACGGGGGGCACTCAGGACAGCTAGGTGGTGGTGGTGTACTTCCTTTAGCCAAGGTTAGCCTATGGTGGTTAGGCAAGTGCCTCATCGTTTCTTTTGGTCCGCCTCATTTTTATTCCGTATGAATCGTGTCTCGCGCTGTTCGCGTTCGATAAGGATCGCTATCTATCCCAGTCAGCCTGTACCTGCTCACTCGTTTTCCTGGTCGATAAAACATGCCGCGACGACTATCAGATCGAAATGTCACGCTGCAGTGTTCCCGGTCTTTCGTCTGTTTCAGTACAGGCACATGCGGAAATGTTCTTCACAATCCGTTGACGCTTCTCTACCCATCTATGCACCCCTTTTGGCGACAGTACCAAGTGAAATATCTGACAGCCTGGAGCACTCATAAATACGGACCCAGGAATAGAAGGAGCGACCCCCCCCCCCCCCCCCCAGAGTCTGGTTATTAAGCGTGCTACTAAAATACTGCATATATCCCGCTTCGTTGCCCTTGTGTTTGTCATAGTTTCCCTTGCCTCAGGAAAGAAGGAAAACTCGATTGAAGGTGCACTGCCCGACTTCACCACGGGCAGAAAACGATGGTGACTGGTAGTCGAAGTCCCTGAGAAAACGGCAGTCGAACATTATGGCACAGCACGCAGCCTGGAATTCCCTGCGAATTCTAAAGCTTGGCTAGATTTCGCTTGCTGTCCTCTTCACAAATGAGGCAACGCCTTCGGCCATCGGCTGATTCGAACATCGCGAACTGCATAGTTGTCGTAGCCGCCACGGGATGCCGCGACATGCCATCGCGATCACACTAGATGTAAGCCGTGCATTCGAAGGAAAAGAAAGTGCTCAGGGCCACGACGCGCGCTGACGAACAGATGTCACTTTCCTGCAGTGAAGGTGGGAAGTAGACAATTCTTCGAACGTGACATCGAGGGCCCTCGGCTACCAGTGTCGCCTTAACTCTTACCATCGGTGTCGAAACGCGAACAACTGTAACATGAAGAATGGATATAGTGCGCGCCATCCATTCAATATTATTGACAGGCGGGCACCACTTCGTCATTGCGGCAATGATAATGATCGACGGGACAGTGGCCACAGTACCATTGCTAATGCTTGCCGGAGTAGGCGTTTCATTTGGTGCCGATAGTACATTAAAGAACGCGATATAACAGGTTCGACAGAATAAAAGTATGAAGCAGACTCGCCCTTCCCGTATGCACGCCTCTTCGCGCATGCTTTACGTGCACTTATACCTCACTCACACAGCCGTCAAACGCTCCGTCGCGTCACCGTCACGGCAACACTTTTCGTCAAGGGAGATAATTTCTTAGTCGTTATCTCCTCGAAAACGGGATGACGACGACGGCGTCAGCGGAGAACTTTCGTCGCCGACGCGATGACGGAGCCTCGCTCCTACAAGACGGACCTATCAGATGTCTTCACTAAGTGCTACACCTGCACGTGTTTTATAACCACATGTTTTCTCTCCGTCGCCGGAGCTTCCTGCGGTCGTCGCTTTGCCCGCTTGCAATGTCACAACAGCAACATAAAGCCACTAAGCATCGCGAAATCTAATATGTGGTTGTCATGGCAACCGACCTGACGAAAATCCTTTCCCTGAACTTGGTGCGTTGCAATAATGTCAACGTCGTGTTCGTGTTGTACTAGTATACTGCTAAAGACTCAAGCATTACACAGATAAAGAGTTGTTGAATTCGATTAATCTGAAACGCTCATTTCACTTGTCTATAGGTTTAGGTGACCACGGGATCAATCAGTACGCACTGCACAAAAGCGTGCTAACTGTGGACGTCATTGCCACTGTCGCCTCCTTGTACAGTTGGTCCGTCCCGTCTGCGGTGCGTTTTCTTGACCTGGCGGTGGCGCGACGGAGCGTTCGGCAGTAGTGTGAACTGATGACTTACTGCTTTACAGAGAGCCATCTCATTCCCGCGTCAAAACGCGTGTGTGTTGCGTGCGCCGCAGGTGCAGCCGGTGGATCGAAGGTGCGAGCAGCCCGCCTCGCTCTGCGCTGCCAGCTGCCTGTCGACGGCCCACAAGCAGGCGTTCAGGGCCGCTCTCTGGGAGCACCTACACAGGAAGCAGTTCGCGAGGCTCGTGCCTCGTCCCGATGCCAGCGTTGAACCGGAGGCCAACATGACCGAAGCGGACCGAATCATGGCGCAGTGGTACGCCGCAAAATGCATGCAGGACTCGGAATGGTGCCGCTGAAGAAGTGACTGCTTAGTCGCCAGGGCGTTCTTGACCTCGCGCCAACCTGCGGCGGCGTCAAACTTATTGCCAGGGTCATGCCAACGTGAACGAATATATATGTCCTGCCATGGTTGTGTCACAGAGGCGGCTGGTGTAGTAGTACAAGCGCAGATGACAACTTCTTAAAAGGACACTAAAGGAAAGCAATGGTTTAGATTAATTAATTGTATGCTGAGGACTCTAGTGTTGTTAATTTCGCCATCGCAGTTTTTATAGAGCGAAAAGCCGCGGTGAAAGTTCTGTTTTTTGTTTTCGAATCTCGCCTTAAAATTACCCCACGTGACCTCATAGATATTAAAGAATATTTAATTTTTCGTGTGTTGCTGACATTGGCTCGACTAAATTTCCGTAAACTAGGTCGCAAGACGTTGTAGCTCATTTTGACTTATTAGAAACTACGTAAACAAACTGCTACATGCCATCAAAATTTATGACTTTACGACGTTTGATATAAGAATGTCAAGGCTGCAATGCTATCACCAGCATTTTATTTTTGCGCACTTTGTCTTGTTTTCGCGGCAAACGTGGCGATTTCGGAATTGTGCGAGGGTAATTTACAAACACGAGAAAAAAATATTTTTTTTTATTTAGAGACCTTTCGAACCGAAAGGATGTTGCTAAACACTTGCACTACGGAAGGAAACACGACAGCAACTGCAAGGGCTATAGCTGTTTATGGATATAACTTTATTTATGTCTAACAGGTTGAGCTAGTTTTCTAGCCCGAGTATATCGCAGCTTTCGTGTGGAAAGCTGTCATACTGTTATAACTTATAAACACGGTTTCGTGGTTTCATGCCAGATCAGGGTTAGATATCTTGGCGCCACAGTACAATGCTGACCGACTGATGCCGCGTTGAGTCATCCTCGTGGCGTATTGCATAACGCCTAAAGAGTGATAGAAACACTGTTATAACTATGGCGAGATACACTGTACGAGATAAACTGACAATGCAATATGTCAGCAGCGGCCTTCGTTTCAGGGTAATTGTGCGCAGAGGCCGTCCTTTCGAAAAGCCCGGAATGTGTAGGAGCACAGCGAATGCGGTATGCATGGTTAGCATTGCTACCTCTCGTGGTACTTGGTGTTTTTAGAGACACGTACGAGGCGAAAAATAAAGCACGAGTGGCTGTATGTTCCGTTTTCAGGCCTCGCACTACATTTTCTTGTTCTGATAGATTTTGACCGTGGCTACTGACAGGTAGCTAACGTATATATACAGATAAGTAAATGCAACGTCGAATTCTCAAGGTTGAAAATGCAGCAATCATTTTAAAGTGAGTCGGCATCCAGGCGACGCTATATTGCGAGCACATAGTTTGGTAACCGCGACACCATAGTCATAGCTTATATTGGAACCGTGATTTCGGCTGAATACCATATATGCCGGAGGATCCCTGCGCGCCGCCATAATGCCCTCTGGGTTGTGGTAAATGCGTTCATGAGCATGAGGCGTTGAACGCACGGCAACTGGCAGTACGGAATCAAAGGTCTAGTGGTCAACGTCCCGATAGACGTTCAGAAAACGGTGCTATTCCTTCCTGGAAAACATAGCGAACAACGTAGTCGCATAAAGTGAGATTTGATAAGCAAGGCCTCGTACAAGTTTGGCTAGTCGAGAAACGAAGCATTCACGCGTGGTTGAAGTAGATGACTCACCCCTCTACAAATACCATAATACATAGTTGAAATGTGCATAGGACCTCTTCGTTGCCGACATCAGGCTATAGATCTTATCGAATAACCATTAGCTCTGCATTTCACGCGCCGCAAAGCAGTGACGGCAAAACACAATGTACTAGTTATGAAACACTCGTTGTCACTCATCTACATGCGCGAGTGGATGGATGATTTAACTCCCCAATGCTTCGCCCACTCGTCATGATTCACTTCGTGGAGATGCGTGAATTTTTCTTATGATATTAGGTGGCCGTCTTTGAAGGGGCCAGAATTGGCCATAACGAATGACGCTAGCAATAATTATAGTATACGTACAGCATTGTCAATTCAATTTCGGTACCTATTTCGAAACAAAGCCACTGCCTAATGTAAAGAGGTACAAAAAAAAACAAACTAAAAGAAATGCGGCTTCACGACTGCAAAAAAAAGCTGCGGAGGTGCGTAGCAAGGGCACCCAGCGATTGCAGTTCGTAGAGTTTCCACTGCTCCGTTTCCAAAACTGTCAATAGCCTCAATGTTTCAGGGAAGCACACAAGGCTTCCCCAACACGAGTCAAACCTTTGAGATACGCAAACTTGGTGTTCGACATGCGCGCTACTTTTTGAAGTGGCTCATCGACTTGCTGGTTGTTACGGCTGTTCAGATACATGTCGCCAAGTTGTTTCTGTATGCAGGTGCCGCCGGTGAAGGGCAGAAGGAGGGGACATTATGAGCTCTTTGAGGTGGTGGTGCCCTCTCTTGCACGGCGCAAGAGTCAACCGCGTGTTTTCAAAGGACATTTAGGGATTTAAGTTAAATATTGCAATGACTTCTGGGTTATTTCAATTAATTATATTATTTCAGGCTTGATTCGCTTTTGTTACCCGGCTTTTAGCATTGAGAGCCTTCTTTTAGACCTCTATCGACCACTTGATTTTGAGCGTGACCACGTCACATGAATCTATGGATGGCCGACAATGCGGTTTCCTAAAGTGTTACGCATTAAAAAAAATGACAGTACTCCTTTAAAACGACATTCAGTTTGTCAAAGGCACAGCCTGCAGGGGGTGATATGGGAAGTTCATTCCTCAAAATTTTTTATATATACATTGTTCGCATGTTTGCACATACGTGCGTGCTAACATTCTTACTAAAGAAGTGGGATCTCCCCAACCCTGGGGAAAACTTTCTGGCTACGCCCGTGCAGCTTATTCATGTGTGCCCCTGAACGTTGTTTATTTCGTGCCTCGGAAACTCGTGTACTTCGCATTGCATTAAGTCACGTGCTCCGCGACCTGCGTCCGCGAATTTCAAAGTTCCCGGCGCGTCGTTTGAATAAAAGCGGTAATTCGCGTCAGAGGTCGCGCGACCACAGGGATTCATCGCTAAGCCCAACTGCCCTTGAGGAAGAAACGGAGTGCGCCCTTGTCGCCCGTGACCTCCGCGTGCTCGTCGGCGCTGCTCGTTCGTCGTGCACTTTTCATGGAGTGTAGTACCGGCACAGCAGCAGAAAAACGCGACAGTTAGACACGCGTGCAGTGCATGGTGACGCAGCGGCTGCGCGAGTAGCGCGCCCATCGAAACGGAAGACCTCGGGCTGTGCGCCAGCACGGCGCACCGTTAAAGACGTGCAGCGTGGGCTCGCACAAAGCCAGACGTCGACGTATCTGTGCTGCAGCGCCATTTACCGCTGCATTTCCATGCTCGAGTGCAACGATAATTCTGGCTGTTTTTTTTTTTTGTTGTTGTTGTTAAAAGCGAGTAGCCTCGCTTTGTGCGCCAATTGATCCTCGGTAGACACGCCCTCGGGTGTCAACTTTCTTCTACAGCCCGAACCAGGAACTCGGCAAAGTTGGCGCGCACTGGGAATCTGCCTCGTTCTTCATTCATTTATTTAAATTTATGGCGGAGCTGTTGAAGTCGAGCTTGGTGTGTGCACAGCCATGGAGTTTCTTAAAACTAAGTAGAGGGGACACTGGTGCTGCGATCGTTCAGCGACCATGCACTCTATAAGAAAAAAAAAAGGACTAAAAGGGGTAGGGAGGTTAGTCCTTTTCGGGATCAACTGATTTGATACAACTATTCGTCCTTTTGGGGACTAACTGCACGAGGATAAACAGTTAGTCCTTGAAGGATTACCTGCAAGAGGACTAAAGGTTGCTCATAAGAGGACAAATGGTTGCTCCTGTAAGGACTAACAGCTGATTTTTGGAAATATTCTCCCACAGAGCAAATGTTACTCTCGTAAGGACTAACTGTTGATTCCGAAAAATCATCCCTAGGAGAGGGAGTGTTACTCCTTCGGGATAAACGGTTAATCGATTTGAACAATTTTTAAAATGACTAATGAATAATTCACTATTCATTCACCTGGCCATTTTCACCCGACTGACATGATAGCTCAGTTAAGCTGCGCTTTGCTCAGTACTACTTTCCCGACTATGTGTATAAGAACGAAAAATTGCAGACAACAATTCAAAGCTAGAAACCTTCATTTTCTCCAAACAGTGTGTAATGCAGACCAGCGGTGTTGGTCGTCGGCTGCCGCCCGCCTCTTTCCCTCGAAGAAACACTAGAAAATGTAGTTATATAATAAAATGGCTCGGAAAACAACTTGATCGCCTAAGCCCCAATATTTACGCAGTCACATGGTCATAAAGCATGCCAAAACATGCCGCGCACAGTGCTTTTTCAGCTTTCATATTATTTCTAATGCAATGTGCCAAGGCGATGAAAATGAAAAAAAAAAAAACTGGCCTTTAAAAAATTGACGAGGCACGTGGTTTCCTAAGCCAGCTAATCCAAAAATTGGGGATCACGCTTCTAGGTGACGGCTTCCATTCTTAAAGCTTTGCACAAAAGAATCCGCGAAGGAATCTTGCATGCAAGCTGGGGTGTCCGTTTCTTCGCAGGAGTGTTGCGGTGTTCAGTTCATTGAACATCCGTTCCACAGATGCATGTGCGTCCACAATTGCAGCACATGTAAGGAAGTAGGTTCTTCACAGCTACGGTGATGCCGTTGTCAGATAGGAAGGAAACGCGGCGCCGAAGGCGCTTTGTTTCAGAGTCACACATAACTCATCGACCCATCATCATCCACACGACTGTACCAGCATGTCTCCCCCCCCCCCCCCCCCAGACTCGTGTGAGGGGGAAGTTTTTGTTTCGGGCAGAAGGTCATACCCTGCAGCAAGGGGGCCGCCGCTCGGCGCCAGGCGCCAAACAGACGTGGCCTGCCTCCTAGCGTACAAGCTCGGGAGACCCAACATAGGGGCTACCCTTCGGTGCGGTAAATAGCCTATGATTCGGCTCTCGCCTACCACAGAGCAAGAAAGATCACGACGAGTGACGAACACGAGCCGCACTCCTGACTGCAGCGACGCGAGCGATTCCGAAGAAGTCCGGCGCGGATGGATACACATTGTACGCTCTCAAATGTCCGTCAGACTTGCACGATTGTCACCGATGGTACATATTGTTAAGTTTATTGCACTAGGTTTCAAATCCTTACAACGAATGGTGCAGTATTAACGTCCGAATAATTATTCTTTTCTCGTGTTATTTTCTTCACCGTAAAGTGGGCTGACAAGCCTTGTCATCAGTTCTAGGAGCTCCTGAATCTGCATTTGCCACATTCTTCACCCCTCAGTCCCCCACCTCCCGCAACCACCATTCCACCACCCCAAAAATGTAGGAAGGCGAGTTTCGCAACGATAGGGCGCACCTGACCGAAAGCCAGACCTTTGAAAGGCTGCTGAGCCGTGCATTCAACGAAATCTGCAGAAAAGGGGTCTTTTAGTCCCTTCAACCCCGACCAGAGGGACTATGTGAGCCGTTCGTCTTCTCGTTAGTCCTCCAAATTTGCACACGACACGCACTTCACCACACTAGGTGTTGTGGTGGACTAACGACACGATTTGCGGACTAAAGTAGACGTTACTCCTCCTGTTAGCTGGTTTTTTTATTATATTGTGGGAATGATGGGCAGTACATGAATTCGCCTAGTTGTTGTACTTGCGAGCCTCGAATCGCACTTGTAGCTTCGTTTATTGCTGTTTTTCGGTTTTGTTTCGAATCAAAGAACGGATGGTAATAAACTTCGTGAGCCGTTCGGAAATGGTAAGCTTAAAAGATTGAAGCAGTGAAGTGTAACTGCTGAATATTTGCTGATTGTCGTTTCATGGCAAAGAAACTTCAAGCTACGCGAAGACAAACGTAGCCAGAATTACAAAAATTAGACAAATCCATGTACTACCCATCATTTCCATGCTCGCCGAAGCACCGTGCGTTGTGGCTCCCATAGACACTATAACACCAGAGTTCTCTCTTCTGTATTTATAGGAAACTCTATGTGCGCAGCGATGTTCGATACATACAGCCAATCAGGGTGAGGGAAAAAGTGATTGAATAGCATATATTCAGGGAAAGGATGAGGGAAACGAAAAGGGTAAGGGGGAAGCAATAAGTGAGGCTAGGGACAGGAAGAGCCTTGTTTATGC